TACCCATAAAGTTTATTGACCTTTTATATACTACAGAAGCGTATGGAAACTTAGAAAGTCATAAAATTCATGACACGTTAAAAAATTGATTTGATGTTTTGAGGTATATTGTTGAATTATTCTTTTTTTGTCAGGAGTGTATAAACTCGTACATATTTTGTATTTTGCTCTTTTTCTACTTTAATGGTTCTTTGGTTTTTTATTACAATTTAACCGTTCTTTTTGTTAGGTTCAAATATTATATAATTATACAACAAGCAACAATATATAATTGACAATTTAAAGGAAATTAGCACTTGTTTTTATTCTTCTCTATACTTTGGCTTTTTAGTGAGATTAGTATAGATAACAGAAGAAGTAGAAATAACTTTCGAATGTAGTGCGTGTAACGGAATAAACACCAGAAAGTTTGAGAATTCAATATTCCGAGCGTCACCTTTAGCATTCGATATGAATTAAATTTCAGCGATAGGAAAGCATTTTCCCTGCATTCCGACGAAAGCGCTATTTGACCTACGCGTTCCTTCACAATAAGATAATTGAAATTTTCGTGGCAGACGACTTAAATCATTGTCTGAGAATTTATTGAAGAAAAATCAAGGAGTTGATTGTCCTAAACAAGTCAAGTAGAAATGCACAATTGTTTGTTTGGCCAAATTAAATTACTTATGAGAACGGTAGGGAATTTTATGATTCTAGAGGTTTGGTTAATATAGGTCGATTCAAATAGTACTGTTCGATAGAGGAAGACTGTTTACAAATCAGGAGAAAAGTGGTTTTACTGAATTGCTCACGAGAAATGTTTGCTGTTTCTTATTTGGAAACATATTTGGCATTACTTAATTGAAATCACTTTTGCAAATTAGTTTTTTAATTTTTTGCATCAAAAGTCTTGATTGTTCTTTTTCTTTTGAGAATAAGTTCTTCACGTGATATTTTCACATTTGGTACTCGATAAAATGTTCAGACGTATTTAAATACCTACCAAATGTTCAATATGAGCTTCATATACTTCCATACGTTTTCTTGCGGCGGCTATTTCCCGCTGTCGCACTTGAAATAACATTGATTTATATTTAATGTTAGTTTTAGAATTTGAATTCGGGATCGCGCATATTTTCAAATGGGTTACGAAGAAAAAATTTATCAGATGTTTTATTGAAAACTAGGGTCATTTTACAATTTCCGATGAAAGTAGTTAAATCCTCTTATTTGCTGAGAAACTAGATCTTCTTCAAGTGCCGTGTCCTCCCAGAACATTAGCGATGCATATCACTGACGAAATTAGGAGCCAAGGCGACCAGAACCACATTTTCCCTCTATTTTTCGTTGAATGATTGTATGGAGCACTTCATATTTTTTATTTCTCATTACGTGGGCAAAATACTCCAGCTTTCTTCTTTTAATGGTATCTTTCTTTGTTTGTATATTGCAGAACCGCTTGATTGGTCACTGTGCCCACCCATAATATCTTCATCCACATTCTCCGGTAAGCCCATATTTCGAAAGCCTCAATCATCTTACACAATGTTTCACTGACGGTCCATGCTTCCATACTGTAGAATAATATGCTAAAGTCGTAAAACGTAATAAGTGTATTCTTAAGGTTCTGTTGGTTAACACATTTTGCATGTTCTTAGACGTTGTTTGTTGTTGCTCTTGCTCTATTCTGTTTTTGATTTCTGGAGTTGAGTCCCAGTTATCATTTACCCAGTACCCCAAATATTTGTATGGTTGTACTCTCTCCACTATTTCTCCATTTACGCTGATATTTGTTAAGTTATTAGTTATGTTGTTGTTTTTACTGACGCCTATCCATTTGGTTTTCTTTATATGTAAGCGTAGATCCATTTGTTGGCTATGGTCTGTTATCGCTGATAAAAGTAGCTGTAAATTATCCTCATCTGTTGATAATAAGACCGTGTCGTCGGCGTATGTTAAATTGTTGATGACGATCCGATTAACAATTACACCCTCTGTTCTTTCTTTGACGGCTTCCCTGAAGATTTTTTACGCATATAAAGTAAATAAAAGGGGGGAGAGCACACATCTTCGTATGTCAGCTGTCTGGTTCCAGTATAAGTTGGCTATGAAATGCCCCGACCGTCCAGGTCTATATTGATCAGTATATCTATTAATTTATCATTCTGAACAGTGTCAGGTGCTTTTTCGTAATCTACGAAACAGACATATACTCCATCTAATGATCGTTGCATGAAAACCTGGATGCTAAACAAGGCCTCTCTTGTATCGAAACTACTTTTAAAAGCAAATTGAACATACCAATGTTTTCTTCGCATTTTATGTATATTCTGAAGTGAATGATTTTCAACAAGTTCAATAGATGGCTCATTAAACTGATCGTTCTATAATATTTGCAAAAAAAACATTTAGCTTTCTTTGGCAGAGCAACGAAAGTTGACCCTAGGCAAACTAGATCGGAGTATCAAAATTATGTTTATCGTCAAGGGATTACATTAAACTTGCAGCAAATTGCGTTCTTGTAAATCGAGTGCGCCTAATTAAATTTATTGTGAGATGAAAGAAACCGAGTTTCCAAACTTGTCCAAGTCTAATCTAATTGGCATACTCTATTCGGGTTTCTCCGTGATAACTGTGGAATGCCGCTTAAATAGAATTAATTACAGCACGCGCTCGCATCAAAACTAGTTCTAGACTCTTCCGACAAATTCATACCCCAAGGTTTGCTACCATTCTATAACGCTTCTATTTTACATATAAAACATAAAATGCTTAATTTTAGTCCCATTGTGATTATATACATATCTCCTAATGCTAAGAACAAAAAGGTTTCATTGTCTTGATCTAAAGATGTCGAGATTTAGTTAACTTTTTAAGTCACACGTTTATTAAATACTCGCTCTTCGCGGGTCAAATTAACTCGTGACTCAAATGCCGTTTACCGCACTTGTTGCATAATATAATATATAAATTTATTATAAATAAATTATATTATAATTTTATATAAAACTTATTTCAAAGACCTTTAGATGAATAATATTCTGGCAATAATTAAATAATCTTGTGGAAACTGGTATCTTTATTTCACCTCAAATAATATTCTGACCCTAAATATTACCCAAAATCTGATTTTACATAAGGTACATAAATTATAAGAAAGCAATCTCAAATATATTAAAGGATATTTTTTTATGAGATGAGTTTCACCTAAATATGTGGTCTTAAAATTTTGCAATTTTTATCTGTGCATATATTGTCTATTTCATTTCATATTGGTAAGAAAGCTCCTATATTACCTTGCCGGCGGAGACTCTAAAACACAATCAAAATAACGTGGTGGATAGAAGGCAATTACAGTGAGCAAAAACAATTTACAAATGCATTTGGCGGAAACATCAGCGAGCGTTCTTGGCGGAAGTGACTTTAATTGCATTGAATTCGTGCCAAGTGCACGAGGCACACGGATCCAACGTTTTTTAATGCAACTGTCAGTCTACGAAGTAAGCAAATTAGCGACTACGACTTTGAATGTTTAACTTTGGATACAAACCCATTAAAATGCTTGCTTGCGTTGGTGGTGGTGGCAAGTGCGTAGCAATAGTTGAAAAGGCCAATGCTGCAATACCAACACGCCAATTAGTACCGATTTCGTTGCATTGTCTTCTTCAGATTCATTAACGATTCACATTTCCAGTTTGGGTACTATTGGACTTTAGTATTTTAATGGCGCAACTCAGGTTTGGATATTTGTACAACTGTATAATTGCAAATTTGGAGAAATGGTTTCCTCATAAATCGGACCTCATATAAGATCAATATAAAATAATTGCAACAAAATGTAGCCCCCGTTGAGGTCAGCTTTCGTCCTATACTTATTCCCTAGCTCCCAAGGAGGCAATTTTATAGTTCCTTAGATCCAAATAATTTTTGAGAAATCTTGAACTTGTCCATTATATGACGTCTTGAGGTTCCTTAAGAAATAACTATTACAAAAGTTGCGCGGCGAACGAAATCTTTAAAAATATGTGCAAATTAAATTAAATAAAAATACTTCATGTCAAACTTATACAAGACATATTTATACAGCAAATCGTATTTCGCCAAATTCTGGAGAAAATTCCAATATTCGTTATTATTAAATTCCATTATTATCGTTATAGTGCAACAGCTATTAAAATTGATTTTTAAAGAGATGTTCAATTTATATTATTAGGAGCGGGAATGTATTGTTGGCCTTTTTCACAGAGACCGGTTACTTGCTCACACACATTTTCCGCTAGTTAGTTCACTTTAAAGATACGGATATTTTTAAAATGGTTGCGTCTAATTTAATTAAACTTGATGTTCATCGGAATGATGAGCAATGTGATAAAAAGCTTCGTCCACAGCGGCGGGTCTAGTGAGAAATCTTTCCAATCGTTATGAAATTTTCTTCCTAGGCGTTATAATTCGATTCCTTTCATTTGTATGTTCTGGAAAAAATGAAAAAATAGATTATTCGCAATAGGTGTGAGCGCATCTTAGTAAAAATTGTTTTGGTTGTATCGACACCGACTCTCTTTAGAATCTTGGAGACATAATATTTCGTCTCATTTTCGATCATTTAGAATTTGGATTTCACAGGTAATAAAATATTGAAATAGGTAAATAGATTTTTGTCTTTGTATTTTGGTAAATTATACTCATTTTTTTTTACTCCTAGCCCCAGGCATTAGCAAATTTTCTAATAAATTATACTATACCAAAATTGAAATGTATTCTAGATATCGCCAGTAAAAATTGGCAATTTTCTTGCTTTTATAGACTGACTATTTCGGTAATTAGACCACACCCCCTAACAAAATCAATAAAGAAATGTAACAATGTAATTTAAATGTAATAATAAAAGCAGTAATTTAATTTACTATGGATAATAATCGGGGTTGGAAAAATGTATTGCTCTCCGCTGGACAAATAAAGAAATTAGCATCATCATTAGATTTGCTTCGCCTTTACTTTATAGATGTTTTTCTTTTCAGTCACGTGACCAGGACAGCAGGATGGCTGCCCCCGGCAGAAGCGTGGAAGGCAGGAGACGAAACCTTACCTTACGGTTGGGAACGGGCGGTGGATGATTCCGGTAGACCATACTACATAAAGTGAGTGAATGGAATTAAATTTATTGTTTCGTTGAGAAAAAAAATTCTTAATTATTGTAGTTTTTAAAACTGCTCAGAAAGATTATCAAAAAAAAATCAATAGCAAAACATTTTTTTCCATTTCCATTTGGTGCAGTTTAGATACGAAAATCCATTTAAAGTGTGCATGAAAAGTTTTGTTTTTTTGTGTGAAATAAAATTTAACTGGTACACTTGGCAGTAAAACTCCTCCACCTGATAACCCTTTATGGTGTGGACACCAGAACGTTTTGTAAACTCCTAAAAAGAATTTTTAAATTTAGGTAAATACTTCAGTATTGGAATGGGAGATTTTCAAATTTAAATAGAAATTTTTGCTTCAACATTGTATTTAAAAATTAATATGCTGTATAATCTATCTATATTGATGACAATTGAAGGATTATCCACTAGAAGAAATTATATGATTATTGTGTTGGACAGAGTAATCACTTGATGACTGAAGATCATAATAATTTATTGTTTATTAAAATACATGTTGCTTTGAACAAAATAATATTTAAGAGCGAGGTTCGTAAGATTCGATAAATACATTCCAAATTATAGCAATATTTCAAAGTTAAAAACTCCGTCAAATGAATTGTGAATCTTTAGTTTTATCAATTTTAAATTATTGTGATGTCATGTTTTAGATCGCGCATTGATTGAATACGTACAGACGCACCTTTTACAGTGCTTTGCTATATCACAAAACCTAAAAATCCCTCGCATCTTTACAACAAAATTGCTTTTCGTATCGATTTTCATACTTTAAATATGGTTCTGTTCAGTTTCTCTTGAAGTTACATTAACAAATAACGCTATCCAAGGTTGTGTTATGTCTTTGCATTTCGACGTTTAGCTGCTGGCAAGGTACTATACTTACATCTTATTTATTTATTTATTATTAATATTTTATTAATCTCTATACTGCATCCTGCATAGATTTGTGATTTATATGGCGTAGCGTGGAAGAACACATTGTATCGAAGTGAACTTTGCGTTGTCCTTTGAAGCTAATTTATTTGAAAAATGGTACATTACTTGAATAAAAGTTATTTATTATTGTTACTAAAATTATTATTAATTTTGAATATCAACTGAAATAAATCTCAACTGGACGTGATTTCGAGAATAAATCGAAATTCTGACTCATCTCGGAGAGATGAGACGACGTATAAATAAAACATCTAAAGTTCAACAAACAAATCGAATATTTGCAGGGCATATCGTTCTAAATTGTTTTCTCTGTTGTTGCAAAATACATATAAATTTATTTTTCAATTTAGGTTTCCATTGTTCGATGCAAAAGGTTGACCTAAATTAACGGTCGCTGACGGTAGGGATAACAGTTTTATTTTAATCTCGCAATTAAAACAATCACACTGCACTGAACAACGTGTCGATTTTATTTACGTTCACTGTTAAAGCAAAACGCAGGATTTTTATCGATTCGTGTGTCGATTCGCATAGAAATATTTTGAATTAATTGACAGAATGTAAACTTTCGCAAGGCGCGTTTCAAAAAAATTGTTTATTTAGCATTAATATCTTGACTTTGCGTGGGTAAGTTCTTGTAAAATTGCTGTAAGATGGCAACATCCAAAATATTGTGACGAGCATTGAATCCTGTCGAATATTCGATCCCCATCGAGAGAAGGAACTGCTACAACACTGAGCACTCGTCTGACACAAATAATAGACACCATATAGTAAACAGTTAGTGGCTTATTTTTTTGTGAAATTAATTTCCAGTTTCCCCGAGATTCAAAATTCTGGAAAGTGGTCTTTGCGATTGCTTTTGTGGAACTTCATTTATGATTTATATAGCATTATTTTTTCTTCATTGCAAATTACAAACCATTTTACTTGTTGCGCTTTATATTTCGTAGAGTTAACTAATTCAAGGTTTATGTATAAAAAAATGCCAGTTCATAATCCAGACTATTATCCATATTCTAATAATATTGACATTTTAAAGTCATGTTTAGAATTTAGTAAATTTTTTAAGTAACTCGTGGCTAAAATGCCTTGTTGTCTAATATGAGTTTTATTAATAAAATGTAATAGTCCTAACCTTGTTGTCTAATATACTATTCCTACTTCACTCTAGCCATAAACATTATTATTACAGTTCTTTAAAAACACAGTTTATGTGTTTTATTAATATAATGTAAAAGCCCTAACCACAAATTATGATTTAGGTATCTGATTTGTATTGCGAAAATGAAAATCCTGTTGAAACTTTTTGTGGCCATTTTTGGTTAAATATAACAAGAAAGCGGTTCAGGTCCTTTCTTAGTTTTAAGTTTAAGTAATGCCTACTATAATACAAAACATCAAAATAATTTGCTAAAGTGATTGTCTAAATTTCAAGTTAGTACACCAAGACCAGGTTCCTAGCAGAATTTAACCAACTAACCAAAACTAATTAAGGAAAACCATTTTGATCACTAACTTAAATATTATACTTCTGGTTCTGGTTGTAAAATTGGGAACTAAAAACCAAAGCTCACTTTGCTTAATAAAGTAGTTAGATTGATTATGATCGTCAATGTGAGCTGGGGGGGCAACCTTCATTTTCGCGATAATATCAATTTGAAAAAAAAAGTGCTTGACTTACCGTATATGTTGTTTTAATTTCAGCCATGTAAATAAAACGACCACTTACGAGACTCCTGTCTTTCGGGGCCTAGAACCGTTGCCAAAACCTGAACCTAGGTCGGTTACTTTGGAAAGGTCTCCCAGCCTTGGATTTGGATTCGTCGCTGGTTCCGAAAAACCGGTGGTAGTTAGGTTCGTAACAGAGGGAGGCCCCAGTGTGAATAAGGTGAGAGGTACTAAAAGTTTAGAAGCAAACATTTGCCAAGTATTTTTAATTTCTAATTGTAATTCCCGCGGTTTTACATTTTTTTCGACTTCCTTTGCCTTAAAATATTTTTATTACTCAGTCGACAGTAGTTAGTCTGTACTTTAAAGAGTAGAACATTTCCATTCTCATTAACAAATTAATCAAAACATCTAAAATTTGTAGACTATTAATTATGTCACTAAATAAGAGGTTACTGGATGTTCATATGTTCATATGAATGATAAAAAAAGTGAAATTACTTGAATTGAATTTAAGACATATGTGAAAACCAATTTAAAAACAAGCAAAGGAGTTTTGCCCTATAACGTAGAAAATGATTGGTATACATTTCCATGATAAATATTTTAATTTTACGTATTTTTACAGGTTCATTTTCATCCGAAGCACTTCCATATTTAACATAATCTTTTGTAAAATTGCTCTTTTAAGTTAGTTTTCACTTTACTCCGAGTGAATTTCTACGTATTAATTTTTCTTTGCTTTAAAAATCAAAACTTCAATTTTCAGCGTTATAACAGGCAGCATCACAAAAACAATTAATCCAGATCAGCCAGGTAGTAAATTTAATGCGGTGTGCGGGACTAAGTTTTCAATCTATTCCCGGAATTTGCTTTAGCATTTTTCCCTTAGCTTCGGGGTAAATCAAATTCGATACTCTTTCACAAGGAACTCAAGTTGGATAATATATTTGCTGACTTTTTTCGAGGTCCTCCACGGTCGTTATCCATGTGGAACAAGTATCAAACGATCATCGTTACTTTTTCGTGATTGAGGTTGCACGAAAAGTATAGCTTTAATGAATTGATGCGCTTCTACTTTCTAAGGCTTGAAATTATGTGTGAATGTTAATTATGAAATTTTATTTGATGACATCTTCTAAAAAAATTGTTGAGATTTATCTATACCTCTCTCCTATAATTTTCGAAAAAAATTGAATAATATTTGTTTCATAATTTAATTTAATTTAATACAAAATTCAAAATTTTATAGCACTGTTAGCTTTCATTGTTTATAACAAAAGTGTTAAACCCATGAATCATTTTTTAAAATTTCTCCAGGTTCAGCGTACCTCTGTGTTACGGACGATATGCTGCTCATAATTTTATGATGATTTAGCCTTGCCATTATATATTAAAAATGAATTATTAAATAGCGAGGTAGTGCGAGTTTTTTTTAGTTAAACGCTATCTGTATGAAAAACCTGGGCGAGGAATTAAATGTAATAATCTGTTATACAGTTTGATACAGTATTCAAAGATTAATTCGTGATATAAGAATCGTTAATTGATTTTCATTTACAGGCACATATAGACAGTTCAGCCAAATTCAGTAACATATATGTTTTCCTTGAAATAGTTTATAAGGGCATCTTATTTCAAAGGATTACAATTATTTAGATTTTCCTTTTGTTTTGAATCATGTTGTCAAACAGCGCATATTAAAAAAATTCTAAAGTTGAAAAAAAAAGCTGAAACTTAAATGTAATCTAAAATACAATCGGAAAATTGTTTTGTACAAAAATTTTAGTGCAAATAAGAAAATTATCGAGAGATGGAAAATCCCATACTTATTATAAACGCGAATTCAAAAACTACTTAGCAAAATTCGGACAAGTTCCTTAGAAATTTGCAGAATATTGGCGTATTCGAAAATAATTCTTTGCAGGATTTTCGAACCACTGGTATAGAAACCAAATAATGCGCTATGTAACAAACGCCAAAGAGTTCAATTAATTCAAATCCGATAAAACACAAATTTAAGTAATTAAAAAGAAATTAATTATGAACATTTCCATTAAGTTAACCTGATGAGCGTAGAATGTTTGGTAAAGCTTTTTTTAAACTAATTGAATTGCGATTTCTTTATTGATAATCTGAAAACACTGTACATTTAAAACGCCTATATCTCAAATTTTGTAATTTTTTCGTTTTCAAAATTCAAAAAAAATATTACATTAAGAAATTATATTTTTTAGCTTTGTTACTGGAATAGAAAAACACCTTTTTCTTATCACATCCTTTATAAACTCTATAAATAGCCAATCGATTCAAAATGTGATTTAGTTATTCGGGGTTGATAATGTAAACGATTCGGCAATTAGCAAAAAAAAATATTTTTACTTTTTCGGGATTTCAGTGATTAAAACTAAAGTAGTATAATTAAATTGGCAGCAAAATATATTACAACAAGAAACAACTTTGAAAAGATATTAAAATTTTAGACCGACTGCCCATTTAAGATACAATCTATCCAGTCCTCCTCACAAAAAGAATTTCATTTATTTGCGGAAACCCCTATTATAGTCCTCAGGAGTATGCCATTTCGAAATATCTTTACTTTGACGCAATCTAGCACTTTTATCGAAAGAGATAAAATAATAAAATTTGGGATTTCAGCGTTTTAGAGGATGCAAATAAGTCCGTAATTTCAGATTTCGAAAAAAAAGTGCCATACTTACCTAAAAGTTAACTGGAGGTTTTCTGGGTCAAAGTTGCACAATTACACATTATAATTTAAACGTTCTCTTAAGAAACTAAGTTATGACGAAAAAGTTCAAGATATCAACTTTTCCGCAAGCGTTTTTTGACTTTGACGTCAGACTTAACTTAATCCGTTTCATTTCGATAGCTTCTTCCGGGCGATCAAATCCTGTCGGTTAACGGAGAAGACGTGAAATCATCTCCCCGAGAACACGTGATTTCTATGGTGAGATCCTGCACCAAGACTGTCAACTTAGTTGTCTGTCAACCCCCTGAACAACAAGGTGTGCGAAAATCAACTCTTTTGTCTGCAACAAAACGAGCGAGATTGAAAAGCAAGCCGTCCAGAGTGAGATTTGCCGAAAGTGTGTGCGTTAACGGCGCTCCTCTGTTTCCGGTAAGTTTTGCTTAGTTCGAGTTCGCCACCATCTGTGAGTTAATATGTCGCGCAAATAATGTCGATTTATTCACAATTAAACAAAGCTTTGAGAACAATAGGATACACGTGCACTGAGAAATATCTATATCTTTTATGACAATTTCAAAATTTTAATTTAGAACGTCTTGCTTTATTTTGAGTAACACAGCTTTTTACTGAATTACTGAAAAAATGTAATAGCATATTTTTTGAGTATACAGAATGTCTAGATTTTGCCTTTAATGTTCTCATTTAAATATCGAAAGTGTTTTATTTTAATGAATTACATAAAAAATATATTAGAATATTTTTTGAATATACATAATGTCTTGATTTTGTCTTTATTGTTATCTTTTAAATATCGAAAATGTAAAAATTGATTTTTTCCACAATCGTAAGCAAAACTGATTGTAACTTAACTAAAAAAAGTGAGAAAAGTGCCGTTTTTCACACAAGTGAGGGAAACTAAATCATCGTGTCGTTTGCCTGGCAACTCCTGTCTCACTTTGATAGAGCAACAGCGAGCGAGTGTAAGTTGTTGAATTTCACTGTTGTGGGAAAACATGTGAGCAATGTCCCTTACTTGGTGGTCCCTTACTTTGCGCACATGTACCAGAATAGCTATTTATCTAGTTTTTTACATAGAGTTTAGTGGTTTTGTTGTTTTTTTTTTGCAAAAATCTTCCACAAATTAACCGAACTCTCATTTTTCTTCATTTTTGTTTTCTTGTTCGCCTTATATTAAATATGTAGGTACCACTAATTTACACTTAAAATATTATTATTATTGTTATTACAATATTTCAATATTACAATTACAATGACTGTTTGACCTAGACACCTAAGTTTAAAAAACCTGTATGTGTCAAAATTCAACATTAACAATAATTAAGATTAAGCATACTAGCTAAACCTGGAAGAGTTTTCTAGAATATAGTTCTTGGCCTGTCCACAAAATATCTTAACTTTTAATTTTTCTTACACTTACAGGTAGCCCTTAAATAAATTATCGTTTGCTGATTAGTAGTTCGAGTACATTTAGGGACGATAAAACGATAAGAAATAACAAAATGATATAAACTAAACCACATTATCCCGGTTTCCCTTACATTAGCGCTTATCATATAGCTCCGAATTTGACTGATATCCGCTGACAAAATTTTATTTTTCTTGACAGTTTAAAATAGCTTTCCTTTGATCTGGTCACTTAAATTGGGGCAGTTTTGTCTATATAAAATAAAAGTTGTTCACTATTGAAAACTTGAGGACAATTTATTGTAAATAAGTTTGTGTGCGGCTACAGAAAAAGTAGGCATTGAAAATATTAAATTATTAATTTATGAAATGAATTTAATTACAGGTTTTGGAAAATAAACCCAATAAATGCGTAAGAATATAGAAAGCTTTCCAAATTCGGTTTTATTGCAAATTAAAAATTTTCGAAACGGTGCAAGACGAAGCTTAATTTATACTACTGTATTCGACTTTTTTTCAAATATGACGTTCATTTACATAAAAAAAAAACTGATAGCTGTACACCGTTGGAAAGATCGTCTTAAGCCAATCTACTTTCATTCTTGAGGCATGTCGTTCGAACTGCTGCGACCAAACAATAATAAAACCAGATCCGGATAAAGTCAATTTATCTCAAATCGAGAAGAAATCATCCCCAGAATTTGTAGTTTTTCGTGTATTTTTTAAATATTCGCCACATTTTTGTTCTTTTCAAATAAAAAAAAAAAAAAATACCATTTCGCTCGAATTGGACGTAATAAAAAGTTTACCGCTATTAACAACATTAATTGGTGCCAGAGGGTGCGTGATTTAAAAATATCGCAACTTAACACTTTATCTACGATAGCACAGGTTAGTATCTTTTATCTTTCACAGCCGTCCGCGTTCTCCCTTGGCGATTTATGTGTTCCGCCGATGGCCAACGTCCTCAAAGTGTTTCTGGAGAACGGCCAAACAAAAAGCTTCAAATACGACGCTTGGACGACGGTGAAAGATGTCGTGGCGTCTTTGCAGTCGAAATTATGTATACAAGCGACAGAACATTTTAGCTTAGTGGTTGAACACATTAAGAGTTTAAAAAGAAATAAGCTTACCCTTTTGGATCCCCAGGATACGTTGGCTAGGGTAAGAGAGGCTATCTACTAGTAAATGCTTCTGTTTAATTAAGTTTTTTTCATTCCTGGCAGATAGCTTCTAGACCAGGTGCTCACAAACTACGGTGCCTTTTTCGAGTCGCCTTCGTGCCATCGTCTGCGGCTGCTCTGGCCCAAAGAGACTTAAACGCTTTGGATTATTTGTACATTCAGTGCTGCAATGATGTAATTCAGGAGCGGTTCGCACCAGAACTGCAATATGATACTGCTCTTAGGTTGGCAGCCTTACATATATATCAACACGCTCTGGCCAACAATATTCCAGCTGGCAAACTGACTGTTAAAGTAGTCGAGTAAGTACAAACATGGAAAATTCGCAACAACCTTATCATTTCAGTATATTATTAATTTAAACTCAGGTGTTTTCTTTTTTATACGAAAACTTGATATGCGTTTCTTTCTGGTTCTTGCAATAATTTTGCAACTTTGGAAATGGAACCGATTATTCCCCCAAAATTGTATAAAAAAATGTTTATACTAAAAATATTCATTAATAGTAAAGTTAACTCAATTTTTACAAACGAGATAAATTTAAAAACTAGAATTATAAAAAATACATAGTAGTTTATCAAACCAATGGCTCCTTGTTGCATAAGTGCCTAGTTCCAATTATTATTGGTAAACAAAAACTAAAAAACAATCGTTAAAATATTTTGGTTAATTAATTAATTTATTTATTTATTATAACAAGATACGATGACGAACTAACGTCACAATTTACATAGGTACACGAAAATTAAGTACATTTATCTTAAGTCAAAAGCGCAAGCTTGCTTGATTCGTAAATGAATTGAGTGGCAAATCAAAAATATCTATGTGCAAAAAGTAACTGTTATAATTTCTTTGCACATGCGTTCGAGTCATTACCAGCCTAGCATTAAAGGATAATTTTTCCAGTTTTGTAGAGTTATTTAACAATATTGTGCAAAAAATGCAACTATATATAATTCGCCTAACAGATAATTTCAACACATAATAGAAGTCAAGGCTTGCCTCATACGATGCACCTATTAGATTGTGGTTATGTCTAAAGTTCATGAGAAAAATAAACTTTTTTTGAATACTTTCAATTCTGTGTAGATACTTATGATATTGGGGACTCCATATTACACTGGCAAATTTATGTAGGTGTTATAGAGTACGACCAGCGACTTGTGATCTTTGAATTCTTTGCTAACCCTTGTAATAAAACTCAAGTTTCTGTAAGCCTTTTATGTTTTCCATATGAATTTCAAAACTCAATTTTGTGTCTATAGTCACTCCAAGATGCCTGATATGCTTCACTTCATTAATACTTACTCCAATTTTTAATTTACTGAACATATGATAGTAACATTTGTCAATATTTGAAAACAGTCGATTTCCTAAGCAGTAGTCATAAAACATAATAAGGTCCTCCTGAAACATGCGACTGTCGTCGATGCTCCTGACAGGCGCATACACTTCTTGGTCATCAGGATATGAAATAAATTTTGCAAAACGAAAACAGAATATTTTTTAAAGCAACTTCCACTTCCTGCGTCGGTTTTTGCTTAGTCGAAATTGCTGACGTTTCGCCAATCATCCTGTTGGCTTCTTCAGAGAGTTTCAGTCAAGCTCTGAAGAAGCCAACAGGATGATTGGCGAATCGTCAGCAATTTCGACTAAGTAAAAACCGACGCAGGAGGAATCCAGGAATTTTGTAAAAAGCGTGAAAACAGAATAGGTCCCAAGTGCGATTCCTGATGTATTCCAGACTTGATATCAATAGATTTAGGTTTGGTCCTATTTAACTCAACAAATTAGAGTCCTAGAACTAATGTATGATTGAAAAGTTTTGTAAAGAGAACCGTACACACCGAAATTTTTAAGTTTTACTAACATTGTAGGATGATGTACTTTATTGAATGCCTTGGAGAAATTGGTGTACGCAGCATCCATTTGCATTCTATTATCCAATGCCTCAGACACATCCTGAACATACAGTGAGAGATTTGTGGGACCTACCTCTGAAAAAGCCATGTTACTTTTCATCAAGAACGTACCTATGTTTAAAAAATGTTATAATTGCCTCAAGCATTTTTCCTGGAATAGAAAGAATTGATATGGGCCGGTAGTTTATGAATTACGGTATAATAATTTTATGTCCTGCAAAAAGATACTTTAGAAAGACAATAATATTCGCCCTCCTAGATTCACGGGTAATGAGCAACACAAACAATTGACAATTGCCAAAGTTCCATGGTTAAAGTGCGAAAACATGCATTGGTTTTGCAGTAATATGACTCTCCTGCTCTTTGCTACTGGTCAAAAGATCAATATTTTTCTCACCAATGTTATTTGGTGGACATATCCTTCAGAAGCATATAATTACGTTTATCAACTAACCAAAACAAAAAAGTAATATTTTAATGTAAATTCCTGAAAGCATCTTATCGGGAAAATGATGTTTTCAAAGTGATTTGCTCAAACTGATGCTCTGTCGCCACCCTTCTTCCGGCATCCTCAATATCTGTCATTAAATTGGGCATTGTTACGTCTAGAACACCACTTTTTGACCGTAGAAAAGAATTCGGTTTGGAACGTTTCGTGCCAGCCTCGATATTAGAAAATATGAAGAGGAAAGAGGTCTGCAAACTAGTGGGTCATTTCCTAAAGCTTCACGCCAGCATGACCGGTCCAGGAAAGCAGCTTACTGCGTTGCAGGCAAAACTGCATTATTTAGATATAGTTAGTCAACTTCCCAGTTACGGCGCCAAATGTTTTTCGGCTGGGCCTAGGGGTGATGCCATGGAACGAGTTATTCTAGTAAGTCCCAAATTTGGGATCAGTCAAATTACAGGAACTCGGAATTCAGTGGTAAGTATTTTGAAGTATCAAACCACAGGAAAGTAGGGCGGATAGAATTGTAATGTTGGCCAGTTTCTTAGCAATTCTCTTCCTCCTCTGCTATCCTTATATGACACCATTCACAATTTTCACGTTGAAGAACTTCTTAACTAATTTGATACTGTTTAGTTCCAGCCCATTCCGATAGCTAGCTTAGAGGACATGCGTAGAATTGAAGTGAGGAGCGACGACGAAGTTACGCGTACTGTATTCGTTAAACTTCAAAACGATAAAATACTTTCGATTCCTTTGGAAGAAAGAGATGCCATTGAACTCGTGTTGGTACTGCGGGGTTACTTTTTACTTTGCACAAACCAGATTCTGCCGGTTGATCAAGAAGAAGCTGCACCCATGGAAGATTTAGCTCCACCTTATTTGTCGCAACATAGGGTGGTGCCCGAAAAATGGAGTTACATCGATCAGAGCGCGATAAAGTCCGTATGTTTCTCCGTACAGCCGATATACCGTGGCGTAAATAAAAAGACTAATGGTTTATATAATACAATGGGTCGACAATCAAAACCTCCGCTCATGTTTTCGTATAGTTTGGACGATAACATGAACAATTCGTTGTCCAATCGGAATCATCAGTACGATGATTTCTCCGCGAATTCTTACGATTTTCAGAGCGTGGTGTCGATGGAAATATTGGAAAATGGCGTCACAGATGCTAAGAACGCCGAGGTACTTAAACGTGTTCAGGAGATGCAGCAATTGGTAGAAGATTCAGAAAAATATTTGACAGAACAGGAAAACTTGGAGCGGCTGCAGGAGCTATCCGAGTGGCAAGAAACGAGCGTAGACGTGGAAAGTGATACGGACGAACCCGGAAAATTAAAGCACAGCGATTCATTGTTATTACTAACAAAGGGACACCATAATACGGAAAGGAGACCTTCGTTTTCACATGCGACGATCGAACTACTCCGGCAAGAAGTTGCGCAATCGGAAAGCGATACAGAGTCGCTTTATACGCCAAACAGTTCGCCGAAGCACAGAAAAGACAGTCGCGAAGATGGAGCTAAATTGAACAGAGTAAGTTTCGGATTGCGATCCCCGGACAATTCCGTGGACAAGGACCAAGATTTCCAAACGTACCTGCAGCGTGTGCGCGACCTCAGAAATAACGACACTAACGAAATGGACTCCATTAGTGAAGTTAATTACATTTTCGACCCGGACATAATAGATTTGACTATGATTCCACCTCCAGTAACGCCCGACGAACTTGACTGTGCCTTACCTGTACCTATCAATATGCCACCTAAGTCATTCGCGGACTCTATGGACAAACTGAATCGATTAGAAGGTTAGTATCGTCATTGTGTGTCAGCGGAAACATAGTATCCATTTTTAGAAATTTTGGAAAATTCTAAAGACTTGGACGAGTTCTTGGCAAACGTGGCGGTACCTCCGCCCACGCAAAAAGTCACACCCGCGGTAGAATTGACTCCAGAAGAAATTATGGCTTACATAATTCCCCCACCTCCCAGCAAGGCGAGCTTAGAAAATCTTGTTATAGCCGAAGAACAAAGGAACAATCAAAATGTTTCGAATCAATCCAACGGCACAAGCAATCATTGTCAACCGGTTAAAATTCGAAATAGCAATTCCATCTTATTGCCGAACGTGATAGAATATTCGACGGTGGATCGAAAAGGCACGTTTAGCTGCTGCGGAAAAACTAAAGTCGAAAAAGCTTTCAAGGCGGATGAAACTGTTCAGAACGATGACGTCATTAAACCGCCGCCGAGGAGGAGTTCTGATGAAAAACCACCTGAAAGACCACCAAAAATTGTGACGCAGGTGAGTTAGCAATACTGAATTTCACTGCTCCATCTGTTTCGGGTGCAGAGATTTAATAGCTTGAGATTGGCATAGTTTTCATAGTATATAAAGCTTTGTCATTTGAATGTTTCTTAAGATTTATTGAGATTTTAGAATCAAATTTTCAGACCTATAGATTTGTATATAATATATATGACAGTATAGTTTCAAATAACATGTGGTTCTTGATAGCAGCATTTTCTGTTATAATAGTACAGCGAAAACTCCCACAACTGGACACTCACGGTTCCTCTAGTTTTGTCCGCTTATTAGAGGTGTATGAAAAAAAGAACATAAATCGTAAATATGTATAACGTTTATTTCTTTAAAAACATACAAAAAAACTATAGATAAAAAAGTAGGTGGACGAACTTATTATACAAATTATTATTTATTTATTTAATTATTTATTTGCAAACCCTAAGGTACTATTTATTGTTTTTTGCTGTAACAAACCTGATTGAAATTGATCTTCTAAATTTTTAAGGTGTTGAAATGTTAGCTTTTATATCGGTAATTATTTTTAAGGCTTGTGCTAGGATCCCCACTATCATATTCTTGATTCTTCCGGTTCAGATTCTTTCATGTTTTCAATTGCATCTTCAAAGTTCAAACTAGTCTCCTCAGTCGCTGTAATATTGTTGATTCCAAGATAGTTTCTAAGAGTTTCTCGAGTTATGTTCAATTCTCTAATACATCGTTCCATTTCAAGTATCGTAGTATCTTCTGTTTCCCATTCCAATGATGTAATAAATTCATTATCTTTTTGAAAACCAGCTTTGTTGAAACAATTTTGTCTGACGCCGACATTACTGTATCCATCTTGGATAAAATGTGTTTCAGTATGAGTCCACGATAATAGAATTTAACCTTCTGTATGATACTCTGGTCTAGAGGTTGACATACTGATGTCGTATTTGGAGGCAAGAAGATAATTTTTATGTTTTGTAATTTTACCTTATGGGGGCGCGATGCTGCGTCATCCAAGAATAATAAATTTTTTCGGTTATGTAGAGCCATTTTTCTATGAAATTGTAACACTCATTCATTCATAATGTCTCGTGTCATCCCTGCTTTCTTGTTAAATTTCCATATTGCCAGTAAATTTTTAATTGCTATATGTTTAAATGCCCTAGTTCGGGCAGCTTTTACATTCAAGAACAATTCTATCTATATCTATGCCTAGATATATATATATATATATATATATATATATATATATATATATATATATATATATATATATATATATATATATATATATATATATATACAGTATTCGAAGTGTTTTCGGAGCGCGAGCATTGAAGATGCCAAGTGAGATTTTGGCGAAACGTTTGCAGGATTCCAGTCGGAGTTCAACAAGCGAACGGATTATATCCCGGAATATAGTGTCATCATATATATATATATATATATATATATATATATATATATATATATATATATATATATATATATATATATATATATATATATATATATATATACAGTGTTCTGTTATATTAGCACAAAATAAAATTATAAGCCTCTCCTTGGAAAGCTTTCCACCACTACATTTTTCGGATTTCAAAGCAAGTATTTTGTTAGATAAAACACGAAAGAAAAGGCCAGTCTCATCGGCATTGTAAACATTGTGTGGCTGATATCCGAGGAGTAGTGTGGGCAACTTATATTTAAATTGATTTACGTCTTCTTGAATTACATCTGCTGATTCTCCGGAGATACGCTTAAAACTTATCGCATGTGAACCAAAAAAATCAGGATTAGATTTTATTGTTACGTTTGTTTTTTTATTGTTTTGGCGTTCTATCTATATTCCAGGAGAGGCAGCGTTCTCATTCTTTAACATCAACTGCCTCCAAGGGTACAACAACCGCAGATTTTCCACCTCCAAAATTACCCCCGCGTGGCGATAACAGTCATCCAGCCCCATCACACCTATTCTTGCCGCCGAAGAAACCTCCGCTGCCACCGGTCCCTCCCTTAGATGTTCTCCGTCAAAAGAAAACTGGCCACCATTATAAGGCACCCTCAGAGCTTAGGACGGCTAGTATCGGCAGTCCGCATCTCCAAAGAAATAAAAGCGTCGGCAATGAAAGTGACGAGAACGCAGATACTAGACTGACTAGGCATGTTAGTAGTGCTGTTAGTACACCAACTTCGCCACATCTGGGTAATATTTTTAAGTATCCCTTTCTTTCTATACTGACATTTATAATGGAAAAAGCAGTGTTTGCAGTTGGATATTGTAAAATATTGTTAGATCAGACGTTAAACCCTCAAGTTTTACTCTAATTTCTACTAATTAGTACACAATGCTGTATATTTGAAAAGTACAATGCACAATTGTCCCTAAACGTTACGAGAAGTTCTCTGTAAAAAATAAATGTTTCATAATATTTTATTTCATATACTATTTAGGTAGGAACGCTCAACTGTCAACGGTTGATGTTCATATAGAATCACCGTGTAACCAGTATACTTCCAAAGTTCCTGGACCATCCCCATTTGTAAAAAACACTTCGTATTTGCACAATTCGTACGATCGACACATTGATAAACGACATTTATCACCACGGGCCAACGAACAGGAGGCAGAGGCTCATTTCAACGGGGACTTATCGCCTAGGAATGTATGTAATTCATCAACTCGTGAAAATCTACTAGCAAAAACGGATGTGGCAATGGCGGGATTACTGGTCCGATTGGACCAAGTTGCGGCCCAGTGTACGGCTGCCCAAGTGCACGGTGGCGGGAAATTGATATCCGAGGAAAAGTTTCAGGTTTTGTTTCTAATTGTTGCTATATTTATGCATTTCATGTTATTTACTTCTAGCTCGCCAAAGAAGAGCTAACGACACAGTGCCTGCAGCTCGTGACATCAAGCAAGATGTTGGTAATAGCGATGTCGGATCCGACGCTGCCCGATTTGCCTGAAAATTTGGCAATTTGCCTGACGATATTAAGACGTCTGACGGAATTATGCCAGGACCTTTCTAACCACACAACAGCTCCGTTACAGACGAGAAACTTGATTCTTAAAGTCCACGACGTAACGGCAACATTCCGTTATCTTATTACTGCAAATATCGATCGAAGTTCTCAGAAATCAATCGAAGAACACTTGGCGGCGCAGGCCGAATCGTTAGCTAATGTCTTGGCAACTTTGCTGAGAAGTCTGAGAGTATTTTCGCCGTAGGAGGTGAAATATAATCGCTTCAGGCGATGAGGAGACTAACAAAATAATATCGACTGAATGTAATTTCTAAATGTAGCCACAGGTAGAATGAATTTTATAAATTCGTTAGATAAGAAATAGGCCCACTTATGAGAAGATTTTGAAACTGTGTAAATCTGTCGTGAAATCGGTGTAGACGATTGTACAGAAAATGAAAAAGTACATTGACGGGTTATTTGGTGTAGCCTCTCTAAAACGTCCATAAAATAGTAAATTCGAAACCATCAAATTTGTTTGCGAATGGAACAACTTCTCAACTCATCATTGTAAGGTTGTTTCGTTTACTAGTCGTTAGTTCTTCGTTTTTACTTTTTTGTTTATATTGGGACACTTTTTCATAATAATATTGGTAATAACGGCTATTTTCTCTCTCTCCCTCTCTCTTCTGTGACAAAGTAAATCGTTGATTAAGAAACGTTAACTCCTATTTGTTTCATTAATTTATGTTTTAAAATCGTCGACTAGCATAAAACAAATAAAACCACATAAGTGTACAAAATGTAGTTCATCCTCGATATATCCAGAATTTTATGAATTCCAAAAACAGAGCAATTTTATTTCACTAACATTATCAGTTGACCTTAATTGAAAAATTAATCTCAAATCGAGATCCGTCTCCATGAACACAATAAGAAGGATGCTGGATGTTTTTTTTTTTTTCGGTTAGATCAAATAGTTTTCGATCACCTTTCGCCATAGTTCCACAAGTGCTTAGGAAGAGTAGGTTAGAGGAATCGATACTTTTGACGAAATTTGACGTGTTTCAGGTTATTTTAAATAATATGATGTTACTGGCGGTTAACAACACTTTGCGGAGCACTTTCGTCATATTATTATTCTAAAATAAGCAATCGCAAAGCAAACTAATTGGAGATTGAAAATATTGTGCTATTTACTAATAAATCCTGCAATTAGATTAAGATCTAGTTCGGTGTGGATTCTTCTGGGGTTTTAAGTCGCTCTTTATATACTAAAGCAACGAACTCTAATATCGACTATGGAGTACAAAATGTAACACGAATTCTTCATTTCACTTTAATTCCTAAATATTCGAACGATTTTAAGTCAGCCACTGGCTATTTCATAATCGGAAGTATGTACATTTAAGGTAACTGCCGTAGGATAATATACCACCAGTTAAAGTTAGATTCCACTTTCATAGCCGCATTGTAAAAATAAAATGAAATGAAATGAGTTTGCAGCGAAACAAAAACCGCAGAAACCGTTGATATCGGTTATCTAGAATATCAACAAGAAACAATACCGAACTTGATCAAGTCTGTGAGTAAAGTATCACATATATTAGGGCAACATATCCGTTATATGAAATTAAAAGTTAAGTGATAAATTATATAGTTGTCAATGATTATTCCCTTTTTAATTAGTAAAAAAACGCAAATACTACAATTGCTTAGGAAACTCGAAATAAAATTTTGCTAATACAGTCAAATATCTAAGTAAATTGTCTTTCATAGACCGAAACTCATAAGTGTTAGGGTTTTTATGCACACAAGTATACGACTATAAATATTAATCTTTATGGACACATACATTAAACTGTTTTAACACTTCGATTTCTTCCACAAAAGTTCTTTTTTTAAGACCCCGGGAGATATGGTTACATTAACATTTATACGATCAAGTCTTGCTGCCATTTGATAATGCGGATCACAGTTTAAAAAGTTCTTTGCTTTGTTATTTTAATAATTTTGGATCATTTCAAAAATGCGCCTTTCAGATTTTATTTAACTAAAACCAGGTTTTCGTCTAATAGTTTCAAGAACTTTTCCTCGCTGTCATGTTGAAAATCTTTTTGCTTCTGGTGAACATTACCTTGGATTGGCTTCGATAGGTTTCATAAAGAATATGCGGGGTGTATCAGCTGTGGTTTGTCCGATCGCACTCGGTTTCAAATCGGTTTAATTGACTATTCACTAAAGGCAACCAATTTCAGTATTCCTGCTCAACCATGACATATTAGGAGTGCTGCTTTTAGTTGCTTATCTATTACTACCACATAAATGCAGGAATTTTCTTAGCCCTTAAAATACCTAGTGCACATCTTAGGATCCCTGCTTGTTTGTAATCAATTTTATAAAAATGGAATCTACCTGTTGAATGTTCAATTAAACAAAAGACAACAAAATTGGAATTGGAATTTTGGGAATGTTGGGTCCTTTTAACATTATTAAACCAAATTTGTTCCTTACAGTCAGACCTTATTAATTTAGGGCATTTCACAAAAAGCAAGCATCAAATCATTGAAATGTGTGACCAATTGTTTACATTTGTAGATAGGGAATGAATAAGACTAAGTAATTCGGGAAGTATATAATACTCCATAACTATATGTGATATTCATTATATTATTGGAATAAATGTGTGTACAGTTCATTATACTACATAACAAATGTTTAATATTTTAATGTTGTTTTATATAATTTAAAACTTTGTTATAATTGATGATTGATTTAGTAATTAAGTATAGTATAGTATGTTGTTTTTAGTCAATGAAGTACCTAGAATTGAAATCCTAGTCAGCAGGTACAACAAGATGAAAAATGTAGTTACCCATATTAACATTTCCGTAAAGTATTATTCTGTATGGCCCTTAAAATATATCTGTTAAAATGTTGAATATTTACATAGGTACGGACCAATGTCATACATATTTCCAGATTGTTGTAATAGATATATGAATTCTTAAAAAGAAACTGTTTTATAGCAAATATTGTTTTATTCCATCTTACTGAAGTTCTTTAACACCGGGTTCCGTTGATCTAAAAGTTCTTGCGTTTTCGCTAGTACCAAGTTTTTCTAGAGTTAGGAATGTAACTTTTCTCTGCCTATATCTTCTGTTTTGCACCGTCGAAATGGTATCAAAACAAAAAAAAACAAAGAAGAAATAAAAACTGCTACTAGCGCGGTTACTTATTTTGGAAATTCAGGAGCGAAAATATCAAATTGTATAAAACTTTTTTATGAACGTACATACTGACCTATTGCATATTGCCGTCTGTTGGGCGAGCTAATAAGGTAATTAAGGTAAATTGTAGAAAAATATATTATTTTGAAAACTTTAACTGACGTCAGTTTTAATTTAATCTAATTTATTTATATCAAAACAGTAGCAGTCTAATAATAGACAATAGCGATTTCAAATAATTATTAGAAAGAAAGAAAATATATATAATTACCTACTTTATTCAAAACTGGTTAGGAAAGAAATACCATCCGCAAAATAACTTTTAGGTATACCCAAACTAACCAATAAAGCAAGGATTTTCAAAAAATTTTTAATCATGCTCACTACGAAACGACGAAAAGACACGTTGTATATTTCTTTATACTTTCTATTAGAAACTTATAGCACATCTAAAATTAAAATGATGGCGGTAGAATGCATTTAAGTGGTTCTATCGAATCAGCGACGTCGTATCACTCGACCAATTTTCATTAAATAATTTAGGTCTTACTTAAATACATGTCTGTTCTAGAGGTATATTTTCAGCATGTCAAACATAGAAAATTAAATTTGCCAAAGTAATGCGCAAACATCCGAAATAGGGTTCTCAAGTCAATTTGCCGAAAACTTTTTTTTGGGTTTTTGTAACATTTTAGCACAATTTTATCTATGCGTTATTGTTCATAACATTTTAAAAATCATTTTGTTTTTAATTTACAGAAAATTCTTGAATATTTTATTTTTTTAGACAAAACAGAAGCCAGTAATTTTAATAAAGGGTTTAAGAGTCAAGTATAAGGTTACTATCCTGTTTGTATCATCGCCGTCGCAAATAACAATAACTCTTTATGCAGTAACGTGTCATCTTTCACCCCTGCTGCATTGTATGTAAATTATCTCCGTTAGCCTTTTCGTTTTATTCTGATAGTAATGCTATTTAGAAGCTTCGAAATTTGGCAATTAAGTTTAATTTTTCCATATTGACAGAAATCGTTAAAATGTACTACAAATTTGTAAACACTTCTCTCATAAAAAACAATATTAAAATAAAAGCTATAATGCTATAAGTAATTTGCTTTTATAGGTGAATAACTAAATTACCCATATGGCAAATTATGCGGTATATGGCGGCAATAATGTTTTCACTCACATTTGAAGCTTGAACACTGAAGGGTGAAGCGTTAGAATTTTGATAAGATTAAAGAAATAGAATTAAATATTTTCCACGATGAAATAATATCCACATTAACACATTCAGTGCCACTTTAAGACTTCAACAATATTAACTACTGTAGCTAGTTACTTCCGAGTTTCCGGTGCTTTAGCTGTGGGTTTAGGAGCGATCCGATATTTTCAGTCGAGTTTAGCCATTTGTCAATTATACTGGTCACGTCCTAATGTGCCACTCAGTAAACCTAATGGTCGTACAAAAAGTATTATTATTTTATTTTTAATCCCTCGATTGCTTGTTTGTTGGTTTAATTAATTTAAATGCAAGAGTAAAAGATAACAAAATGTAAACAGTTGTAGCTCGGAAATCTTTTTAACTGGAGACAACTCGCACCAGAAAATACTACACCAGACTAGTCTCACGGAGGCAAAATTATATTTTGACCTTGAGTATAGCACTATTTCAATTATTAGTGACATCTTAGGTACACAAACATTTGCCATAGATCGTAAAGTGCTAATGTTGCACTCTACGATAAAATTACCGGATACGTTGGTGTGTTGCAAATCTTGAGAAACGATTAGTGCCTTGCGTGAATACGAGCGTTAATCGAAAGAGGCTTTCAAATCGTTAACGTAGCGCGTTTAATATTGTTATAAAATTTCCATATTAAACAGCGCTTGGTTATAGCCACAATTGTTCGAATTCAATGTCAGAATGTTATCAGACTTCGAATGAATGAGTGGTTAAGAAGAAAACTCGGGTTTCGCAAGTGTCAGCACTATACATGCGCTAGTGTTTATGAGCTTTACCGGGTCGTTAAAATCGAAAAGATCTCAGATGGCTGACGCGAAAGAAAACAAAGAAGTTTACTCCAAAAAGAGGGAAACTGACTGGATACGAGTGCTGTTTCATCTCCAAATTAATGTATCTGCACTGATTTCCTTGGGATATATTTTTCTATATGGTTGCATGTGGCGAACATTAATCTTCAGTAAGTATTACGTTTATAATTCTTTCTTTTAATAAATTATCTTACACCGTTACAGAAGTGAAAGTGTTTCTGTGCAAAAAAAGACGCTATTATACAAATAATTGTGAAAACGTTGCATTTTTTTTCGAAATGTAAAATGATTTAACAACGCTGCATATAGAATGCATCAAACTTATACGACTCGCATCTCACATCCGAGTCATAACTCCTAAAAAGAAAAGAAAAAATGCTTTGAAAATAAGAACTGTGAAATATTGTTTTTGAAGTTGATTAATTTTGCAATGGGCAAAATATTGTAAAGGAAATTGTCAAAAGATTCATATGTAGCACGGTTTCAGTTATTCATCAAGATCGGTGTTTGGGAATTTAAATCCGAAACAAAACAAAAAATTGTTGTCGATAGAAGAAAAGGAGATATGAAACAATATTTTCACTTAGTAACTATTTCAACTAAAATTCAAATTTCTTAAATATTTTTTTGGAGCAATTGATATTTTGTAATGCCGCACGCAGAATTTCTTTTTTTATATCCAATTAACTAACTGCTGGTAGCAGTTATATGCAATGTTGTGTTGTAATCGCGGATAATAATTGAAATGAGAATTTTCAAGTAAATACAACATTGATTGCATTTAGGTCAAAATACGTAAAGCTTTTAAGTGGTTTCGTAGATCTACGTAAATTTGCAATTTTAAAATCATGTAAAATCGAAACAAACTATTTTGAAATCAGCGCCACATATGGTATGGATACTTAAATTTTTAACGGAATTTAATGACAAAGATGTTTCATTAATATCGAATGAGAATGCAAAATAAAAAATAAAACGCAAATTTGACACCTTAGGATTATACGGGATACAGGATAGCCCAAATTGTGTTGTAATGGTCACCCTGTTTTTGATACTGATTTTTAGTTTTATTTTGTAAATAAAAATCGAATCCCGATTTCCTTCGTTGTTAAAGATCATCCACAGTGAAAGAACGGTCTATATATGGCGATAGACATTCTTTTTTTTGTAATAAGTGGTCATAAAAGCGGACGAAAATTCAACGTTGCGCCCAGAAAAAAAAATGTTGTGTGAGTGTAAATGGTTCAGTAAAAACGAGAAGAAAAATCTCATGGAATTTTGAACAGACAATATTCAGTAATATTTGTATATCATTAATTAATAAATTTGGAGCACTTTTAAGGATGTTTTAAAAATGTAACTATTTTTGCACGATGTCTTCGTTTCCAGGTTTAGTATTACTTGCATTGGGTGTATTAGGAGTAACTGCTGGATCTCACAGATTGTGGGCTCACGGTTCGTATAAAGCAAAGACAGGGCTTAGGATATTTTTAATGCTTTGTCAAACACTCATTGGTCATGTGAGTACTGCAAAAATTGATAATATTCCAAAAATGTGTACTTATTTTTTCCAAATTTTTCTAAACTTTCAGGGTTCAATATATGACTGGGTAAAATGGCACCGACTCCATCACAAGTATTACGAGACTGACTTGGACCCATATAATCCAAGCAGGGGATTTTTTTATGCTCACATACTCAGTACGACTTTAAAGCTGAGCCCCGCCCAAGAGAAAGCTTTAGAGGAAATTGATATGAGTGATTTAGAAAATGATAAAGTTGTTATGTTTCAGAAAAGGTAAGCACCGACTACTTAAAGGCGTATTGAAAACTAAATAGACGATGAAACCTAAGTAGCTGCTTTGTTAATTTTAGGTGGTATAAAGTGTTATTCATTGTGGTAGCTTTGTTGTTGCCAATAAATGCACCGGCAGAATATTGGGGTGAAAATTTATACGCATCTACATTCATTGCCGGTTGGTTAAGATATACTCTAGGTATCCAAATCAGTTGGTTAATTCATAGTGCCAGTAGGATATGGGGCTTGAAGAAAGGAGAAAAGTGGGTAACTGGTTATCTTGGTCAACAATAACTTAACAGTTTCCTGTTGTCAGGTTCCCAGCAGATACAAATCTAGTTTTTCTCATAACGAAGAGTTACTGGTTATCGTACCACCATCTTGCCCCATGGGATTATCAAACGAGTGAATTTGGAAAATACGGGACGGACTGTCCTTCGAAATTTATCAGGGTCTGCGCCGCGCTGGGATATGCCAGCGACTTAAAATTAGTGGACAGTCGTACAGTTCGAGCTTCTTTGATCAAATCGGTTCTCGAAAATAAACCTATTACTGATTGTCTTTTGGAGTTATCAGAGAAAGAAAGTTTGCCTCAGGAACATTATTTAACCCCGGACAAATATTATTAGATCGTATTATTAATTATATGAATTATGTCGTTTCTTTTCAGTAATACATCGCAATTAAACGAGGTGTTTTCTTATTATCGGCGTATTGAAGACACTTTCATGATTTTTTTAAATAAAACTTGAAATAGGCTAGCAAAATATATCTAGAAAGCAACATGATCTAACCTAGCCGCTCTCATTAAAAAGCTGAGGAGACTAGACAGTTGTACAGGCCGTAAGTGACTGAATTAGTATTCAACAACTTGCTGGTAAACATGCATAGGTGAATATTCAAAGTACATAGTGGTAGTAATAAAACAGCTGAGAAAGTAATCGGTTAGTTAATAGCAAGCAAATACGCTAAGTCAAAATTTGTTGCAGAAAGGGATTATGACCCATGAACCATAAATAAAGAGTATTTGGAGAAATTGGAGAAAACTAATTTTGTTGAATGAAATCTCAAAAACATAACATATTTTTGTATTGTCTCCCCGTCCTCATAAAATATAACTGCAGTGATTTCTTTTGGCACGAAATCCTCCGAAACTGGTTTGAAATAGTAATTTTCACTAAAAAATAAAAATATGGTTGTATTCTTAGGCATAGTTCCGAATTCTGAAGATCTGTAGTCCTATGTAAAAATGTGTCGGCGCAAATTGAATGTTGTGAGTGGCGTTCATTGTTCTAATAATAATAAACAGTATTTTACGTCACTAAGGATGCCCTTAATGATTTTTGCAAGAATCCACCATTTAATAAGATATACCGATTGAAAAAAAGAAAAAAAGGAGGCCGTAAGGGGTCCCGAATTCGAGTCCTCGCATTGGGTTCAAGAACGTAGCTACTCAAATTATTCAAATTTTGTTCTTGTGCTCTTAATTTTCAATACCTTTTGTTTTTTATGTGATCCTTTTTTTTGTTTCGTTATTATTTATTATACATTTTGAAAAATATGGTAAATAGTTTGCCTAAGTTTTGTCTAAGATAAACCTAGGGAAAGGTATGAAAAAAGCATCTGAAAAATTTCATATCCATTAATGCTTTGCGATTTTAAGACCTTCTTGCCACGTTGATAGTTTTAATTGAAATTACAAAGTTATATTTGCTTTAGTTTTATTTTAAAATTAGGAATAATTAATTTAGGAGGAACAGTGGAATAATTTGATTTTTAATTTAATAAACAAGCATAGATCACGGTCAGAGAAGAGCAGCAAATTACAAAAAAATATGCCCTAAGTAATATTGAAAATCTGTTCGCCAACTTCTTAATACCCACTTTTTAATGGACACAATAGAATATTCGTTTTGTTTTTATTAGGAGACTCGATGGGACAGTGTTTGAAAAATGACCAGAAAAACTTTAAAAATGTGACCATATAATCTGTGAATCCAGTTTTGAAATTTGAACCCGAACTTTTTATTTTCAAGATATTTCATGCATAAATTATAAGAGGCTGTTTATTTAACTTAAAAAAAAAACCATTTCAAAATATTTCATATATCTCACGCTTAAACCTTATCAGAACTTTCTTTTAAAATTTATGTAGATTATATTCAGAAGAATATTTCTTAACAAAACTTATAGTTTATAATATAGCTCATATAATTAGCAGTGTCAATTAGTACCGAATTTTCCATATAAAAAGTGTTCATATTAAATTACATTTTAAGTAATTCATTTTACAGGTACCGTGCTCAATTAACAATTTCGTCTTGCGTTCATTTAAAAAAGCCGCATTTAAATCTTAGCTGCATACAAATGATCGGACCAGTCAATTGACCAAAATAATTTTAAAACTACAATGAAATTTATATTTATTTATATTGAGCGTTACGTCGCCGTCGCGTCGTTTTCAGAACTAATTCATAGTAATTTATTCTAAAATATATATTCTAATAATATACACTCTACAATTGCAAGATGTTATTTAAAATATTTTAATCCAATCCAATTTGACTACCTATTGCTTTTAGAGGAACATCGTTTTCAAAAGGAATTTGAAAACTCCAAACAACTTAAATTCCCGTCGCACCTTGTAATGGCTCATTTCAAAGTGCTCACATGAAGTGGACCTTTTTCGCTAGTCCAAAAGTTGTTTATAATTGAACACACTCTTACTTCCTCTGCATTAGCACTTGGTAGGCAGAGTGCAAACTCAACTATCAAAGATACGTTTTTAAACACCAGTTACTTTTTTGTACGATTATCAAAAACTTCAAGACATTTTTCCTTTATTAAAGATATTTCGTCACGGTACCTTCATTTATTAATGTTTCATTTTATAATAAAATAATTTTTATTGCAGATTGAATTTTTGAGTGATGTGGTCTGTTTTGAAGTAATAGCCATTTAAATGTATCAAATATTTGAGAAGGTATTCCTCGACTCGGATTTGTACTCAATTCATCTGTCTGGAGTATATTTTTTAAAATGAGAGGGAGGAATGAAGCACTCCCCTTTTTTTTTTTAAATAAACTCAGAATTCTGTTTCCGGATTCTTCAAAAAGTTCTTAATTATTATGGGGCATTTCGATATTGTCAAAAAGTACGACCTACGAGCGGGAAACAGGTAGGAGATAAAATGTATTGGAAAATCAGGAACAATCCAGGACGAGTAGATTTTCCAGGACATGATAATTTCTTCGTTAATTTGGGGGCACACTGTACATATATTTGAAATAAGACTGAACATAATCTAAGTAAGCTAAACAAATTTCGAAACCCCAACTTCCAAATTTAAAATTTTAAAGAAAGTTGAATAGTTATTCTTGTTGCTTTGGTGCATTTTTAAAACTTTCGGTTTGATCCAAAAAATAACATACCTGACTATGAAGACTGAATTAATTTTGCCCACATTTCTTGAAGGTCCCAATTATTTTCTAAACGTACATAAATGTGATGCCAAAGTTGTAAGAACAAGGGGCAATAACATCTTTGATTATTATTTACTTTCGATATTAGTTTTAGTGACGATTTTTTAAAAATGGTCGTCTGGTAAAAAATTCTTCGAACATGCTGATTTCTTATATGAATATTGGGCAAGATTGGGAGTCTTCGGAACGGCCCTGATCGATCCGGACTCAGTGCACGGTATTGGGCTAAAGGAGTTGCTGACCTTTTATAGGAGGGGCGGCATTCCGGACGCCCTCTAGAGCGGCCTGGGGGCACAACGGGCCCGTCTGCAGGCCTAAGTGCTTGGACGCCCCCCTTTAATACCAATACCAATAATATATGAATATTTAGTGACGCTATGATGTTCCTGAATTATTGGTTCATTTTAAAAAGAACACAAATGAGTGTTTCTTTCGGCGTAATGTACTGGCACACGGTACCTCAATTGTACCGCCTGTTCCTAAGTCTCCAGTTTTTTATACTCTATCAAAGTCTTTCCTGATGATGTCAGTGTTAGTTATAGCATCCCATGCATCCGCCTGTAAGACCGAAATGTGAATATTGAGAGGAACAGGATCCTGAGAAAAATGTTAAATATCTATTTTCCATGAATTGAAAGGGTGAATGCATGCAATAACGAAACAAATAATTTTTTACTTTTTATTTTTATTCAATAAAAATAACAAATAGATTTACACATTGGAAAACTAAACGCGACTCGATGAAATAAAGAGCATAATAACGGAAAAATACTTCAAATAAATAGAGCCCGTTATTTCATCTAGACGGGTTCCATGGACTATTTAACACGACATAAATTCGGTTAATGACTATATTAAACCTGTGGAAAACAAGTATCTAAAAACTAAAATATCACTTCTTTAATAGTTTTTCTCTGTTGCCTGTTATTGACGAACATATATTAAAGTGCATTTATAAAAAATATATCCTAATAATTAACATGCATATCCTATGATTTGGCTATAGACCATTATAGTCGCACAGCCTAGTAAAATTGTCCCCAAAAACATTTTTTACTTTGACATAAATTACAATTGTCAGTGAAGTAAGTTATATGTATGATAAATTATAATGCTTTATATTTTCGTAGATTAGCAATGACAACCTGCTGCCATGTGTTCCAGCCACATAATACACGAAATTTATCATGAATAAATATTTTTAACAATCAGTCTCTATTTTTTAAAGACTTACCAATTGTTATTGGTAAATCTTCAAACAACTAGCTTAAATTCTATGAATTTAAAACATGCACATACAATACTTTTGATTGAAATCTGTTACATCACACAAACCAGCTGCATGCTTAATCTGATTTCTTATACATAATTGTGGCATCTTCATAGTCTTCTTTTGGTTGGTCCTTGTCCCCCCAACCCCATACGTCGTGAGTTCCATCCCCCGTTCTCAATACTCTTTTCTTAATCATATCTTCAGATACCGTTTTAAGATCGTAAGCCCAGCCTATTTTGGCAAAGAAATCTATCAATGCAGCTGAGAAATTTACCGAATATTTTCCCAATTCTGATGTCTTATAATCCCACGGGAACGTGTGGTGATAATTGTGCCATCCTTCACCCAGCGCCAACACGGAAACGACTAAGTTTTCTGCTGGATTGATGAATCTGAAACAAGATACCAGTGTCAAAGACTTTCGAAATCGCCATTGTGAGAGAGAGGTCGTTTATCGAGAGAAGAATATTGTGCACACATTAAATTTTCTTTATATAATAATAATATATTAAATAACTAAAATTGTTAGTACAGCGTCAATTTATCAAGGTAGTTTTTCTTTAGAGCTTTCCGCTTAGACACTAAAATGCTTATTTGTTGTAATATGTTTAAAACTAGAATGAGTTCTGAGAAATGCCAGAGACCATCACAATATGTTACTTATATATTATAACAAACACGCTTACCTATCGTATGGCTTCTGTCCCCAGAGGTGAGCAGCAGAGTTAACCAACCAAGTGGCGTGAAGTGTGAACACGTAACGGAATATATTTAGGCAAAAAGAATTCACAAACGTTTCACCCCAGCAGTACATTGGTATCACAACAGGAACGATAAAACAAGTTAAGGGCATAACAATCATGTAGTATCTGTGCTGGAATCGCAAAATTGGATCCGCGTAGAGGTCGGACATGTCAATATTCTTCCCTTTGCTTTTTACTTCGGGATGCTTCTTGCACAACAACCATCCCATGTGCGAGAAAAAGAAACCGCGTTTCGCGTTGTGAGGATCAGCATCGGTTTCTGAATACTTGTGGTGAACGCGGTGATCCCGAGACCATTCGATTACGGAATTCTGCAATGTTATTGTCTGTATAAAATTTGTACCACCGATGTGGTAAAAGTTAAGAGTACGCGGATTAAAAAGTGCGAAAGACAAAAATACGGATATATTGGTAATATAACTTATCATACTGCAGTAACCACATCTTACCTCAAAGGCTAAAGTGTTGAAAATTGTGAGCAAAATTCTCAACGGCCACTTCGCTTTGTACGCTCTGTGCGACCAAAGTCTATGTGCGCCGGCAGTGATCCCAAAGCCACCAAGTTGATATAAGATTATAGCTGAAAAAAATAAGTCAGATATAATTTTCACACAATACAACACGGGGCTAGTTTGTTTCCGCATCTACAGTTGGCGGGATTTGCTTCATAGTGGAAATGCAAGTTGCCAAACCACGTCTAGTGGAATTTGACCAACATATGGACGGTTAGACATTTTGCCCACGGACATTACAGATTCGTGACTAACAAACCACATTATTACTAATAGGTTAACTTTATTTACATCTTTAAATCGGACACTTCATACCAATAAACACAAACAAATATAGAGTGTTCCACAGCTTATAGAGCACAGATAAAACTACACACCAAACTATCAACACATCCGGATTTGTTGAATAAACCTGGTGTCAAATACTGGTGGTTAACAAGATCTTCAAACAACTCGTACATATATTAAAACCATTCACATGAAATTCCTGGGTTTTGTACATTGGTAATATAAAATATTTAGCATCACTTTTTGAAAACGTTAGAACGCTAGTTCTAAATTTGATATATTTGAAAATTATTAGAATTATTCGAAAGAATTTTATTTCCAACCCGATTCACTTATAGTCGAAAATTTGATTTAAAAACTAAAAAAAATATATCACAATATAATTAAAGTAATTAACAGACAAAACAATTATTGTTCTTAGACGAAATGAACAAAGTTTAAAAAAAAGTTGCCGATTCCAACCAACCAGTAACTTTTTTTTTAATGTTAACCGGCGGGCGATTTTTCTCTTGCTATCCTCACTATCCGTTGTTCAGACATTCCATCTATATGTTGATTTCATTTTTGCTTTCCATTTCTTGTACAGGAATTAAAGTTTTCAATTGCGCATATGAGTCTTATGTTTTCATTTGTTTCTGTATCACAAAGCGTTTTCCCTGCTATTTTTCTTAATGTTTTCATTTCATTTGTTTCCAGGCATTTCTGAGTCTTAGATGTTTCTGGTCTTGTCGTACTATAGATCTATATATGCGGGATATTGTTTCGGTTTTTAAGTATTTATTCTTCCATATCGTGTCATTTAGGCATCCTGCTATTCTATTGGCTTTTGCAGTTTGTTCTCTTATTTCATCATCTATGTTATTATCATAAGATAATCTAATTCCTAAATATTTGATGTTCATTACCTGCTCTATAATTTAGTTAACAAGTTCCAGCTTACATCTAATTGGTTCTTTAGAGATTACTAGTGATTTAGTTTTTTTGGCCGATATTTTTATGTTTCTATTTCTTCCCATTTATGTTAAACTGATGTGTAATCTCTGCAAATCTTCGTAATTGTCACCTACCAATACAGTATCGTCAGCGTAACACTTGTATTTCTTGAACTTGACTGATAGAAACATCAAGGTCAAAGTATGGTGCAGAAAAAATAATCTGGATCGCGCGATGTTTAGAAATTAAATGAAATCCTTATCTAAATATAAACACAGCATTCAAAATGTATTAAATACCGCTAGACATGTTGACGACCAATTAACACGATGATCTACTAAGCAGAAATCAAGACTTATTAAAATCATTATGTCGACAATAGTTTACGCAACACTAATCGCGTAAAAAGCAACCGCTCGCTCCTATCACAACGACTCGGAGATCACTCCAAGGGTAAATGAAAGGTATTTGAATGCAGCTGGATTTTTTCCGCTACCAATCGCGATGTACATAATTCGATGGTTATATTGAAAGGCGGCTTACGATATAAAATTTAAATTGAATTGAAAAATATGGTACGCCACTGTCTAGTTTAAAAACAAAACTATTTTGTGCCTGATCTACGCAACATTATATTGGAGGTATGATTTTTCAACTCAGTGGTAACATTACGAGAGGCTTGTATGATAGTCAAAAAGTAGGTACATGTACGTACAAAAGTCAAACTTAAATGGACCATTTTTAAACAATGAATATTGGTGATTATTTTGCTTTTTCTGTCCGTTCAGTTTCTCCAATTCAATCATAACCTCGAACTTGATCTCCAATATTTCATCCCCTGTACTGTACGCATGCGATTGGTTAATTTTGGTTAGTTAGATGGAAATAAGATAATAAATTAAATTTTTACTCCCTACTTAAAAATACCTAAATAGGCACCCCTGATCAGGGAATAATTAGCTATTTTAAAGCAGGGCGTGGAAAAAATAACTAAGCAAAAGTCCATTTATGACTAGACTACTTAAAAATACCCAAATAGACTTAACTTAAAAATACCCAAATAGGCGCCCCTGATCAGTATTTTGAAGCAGGGAGTGGAAAAAATAATTAAGCAAAAGTCCATTTCTGACTAATTATTTTGTAAATACTGACTACATGTATCAAAGTAAGTCATTTGAAGTAATAGAGTTCTTTATTATTACAAAATTATATGTATTATAATTTATGAGTACGTTGGTGTTTTTTGAGGAAAAATATTAAAGTAATAATCAAGACGATCGTTATTGAAATGTCTAGGTATACGTGGAACTAATTACATACGGCTAAAATACAAATTTTGTAAAAAACTAATCTTATGTGTAAAAACGTTGAAAAAAATACTGGCATATTGCCATTACGATTAACGATTTTTTTTTAAAACGATATTTTACAGAAATTTTAACTGTCCATCAAATTAAGTGGTGTAAAATTGAGTTTTTATTGCAAAATTAATCTGTTTACAAAATACCATAATATGTGTTTTTACAATAGCAATTACGTAAGAATCAAGGTGACCCCAACAGAATTGTAAAAAAATCATTTTTAATAATCTGTCACATCTACACAACGGCAATTAAAGATTTAAATTTGAATGTCAGCGGTAATGGACCGTTCCCGAAATTTTCAGTAACTTTTAATAAATAATAATTGCAATGAAAAAACAACTCAATAGTAATACACTTGTATTTTTGCCATTGATAGCCTACATGTGGGGATTTCTTTTATTTGTCAGGGACGGTAAAATTTTTATCTGGGAACCCTCCCATTATTTTCGTTCCAAATTTCGTATACAGCTCCAAAATTTCATTCTAATTATTTCTTCGATATTTCTCATATAACTCTACTCTTTGTATTTTCAGTTCGAATTTATCGATCCCAATGACATTGGTCGAGTGAATGATGTCTAAATAATCTCGCAAGTAAATAAAAATAAAAAAAATATGTATAAAACCATTGCGTATGAGAAATAGATTATGCAACAAATTGGATAAACGCTAGTTGTTGGGTACATTTATGCAAAACAGCACGAATGACGTATTAAAGTGACAATTTCCGCACGCTGAATCATTTGCGTATTTTAGGGTAGGAAGTACAAAAATACATTATTTCTATGCCAAAGTACAAACAAATGTAATTAAATAAATAGTTGCCAAACTGGTAAATAATAGTATATTATGCAACAAGTGCGGTAAATGGCATTTGATTCACGAGTTTATTTGACACGAGCGGAGCGACTGTTTAATAAACGAGTGACTTAAAAAGACAGAATCGACGAACGTCAAAATTCAAGGGGTGGCAAATATCTCCGAGAGCATCCGATTGCTCCCAAACCCTTGCGGTAAAATCGCGGAAATGTCCGAAGTGGTTCAGATCCGTGAGAAACGAAACTGAAGTGGTAAAGTCACGCTTCCCGCACGCTACATCGGTGTGTAATTAGGTATTTTACAGACGGGTGTAGAAAAACTCGATTTGAGACTTACCATAAATGGTAGTGGCTAATTTGGCAGACGTAAATATGAGGTAAACTCCATAGACAGCAACGGCGTGTAAATATGCAAAGATTATGATGTTTCGCCAGACGAGTTGGAGCTTTCTTTCACTGGGTTTGCTAACTTCTGGAGGTATTATGCTGGCCGATACTTCGTCATCGTGCTCGTGTAAAACACCAGTAGGCATGGATATGTTTGGCGCCATTTTGTACCTTTTTCTGAAATAAGAAGACTATTTTACTGAAAAATAAAAATTTGGGGGCTCACATTGCCTGTTTTAAAATAATTACTGTCACTTACGAATGACAGCTACGATAAAGGAATGCTTTTAATGACATTCTTTATCACATTGTGGCTTTAATTGTATCCGTTAAAGAAACTCGTTAAACAAATATTAATTAGGGTTAAGCGAATTCGTGACTATGATAAAGAAAACACTTTGGCCTGTTGACTAGGATACCAGTGAAAAACTTAAAAAATACAAAAAAATAATACCATATTTAGGTGTTATTAATTGCATAAATCGCATTATTTAAAATATTCACACGAAAACAACTTCAAAAATATCCGATAAGGTATCACGTAATGGTAAGAATATAATCATTATTTTAATAAAATCGATTGTTTTCGTTAGATAAACGAAATTGGATATAAAACGTTCATAAATTATAACGTACGACTTGAAGTTAATACCGCCATATATTTCATGTAATTATTTTTATGAGATATTTCCTTTTGTGCCTTTCAGATTGTAATTTGGTACGACCTTTATACCTTCTACTTATTTTATTTTGACTTGGTCCCGCGAATCAAATCGCGATGTCAAACCCCATGTTTTACTTCTCGCTTGACGTCAGGGAGCTAATTAATAAAATAACCACCATATCGGAACTGAAGGAATTCTTCATTAATAATACATTGTTTCTTTTCAAATAATATATAAATAAATTAAATATTTACGGACTATAAATTATTCAAAAAAAATTGACCCGTAAATACGTAATACTACTACTTCACATTCAAAACACGTTACTACAATCTGTAGCTTATTCCATGCCAAGTATATTTCTATGGGCAAATAATCGGATACACCACAAGATCAGAAAATTTATCAGATATTTATACCGTGCACCGCAAACTGCAGAATTGAATCGGAGAAGCTTTATATACCTGTGCAATTGTTCTACTCCGCTTCACTTTAACGTTATTGAAAAATTCATACAGCAATTAGAATAATGTTATTGTACTTTGTTATTACGATTCCAGGTTAAAGAGAATACCAAAACAATACAGTGCTAAGCCGGTCAGTATATTTAACCCAACATTTAAATTTCAAAGGTTTTAATGAAATTGGAACATGAATTAGTGCACGTATATGTCAATGTTGAAAATTTTATGCAGAATACAAGTTGCATCTATTAGCATTATTGCTCATAATTCTTAAGACACAAAAACACAGAATAAGATTTGGTTTACAATATACGCACACAATGAAAAAACTGAAATCGATTGGAGTTATCGCACTTTAAATGAGAATAACAAATGAACGAAGCAGGAAATTCATGGACACAAACCGTCGTTTTACAAATTTTGTGGACAAACTTATATGATGACATTAGTTGCAAGAATATCATTGATAATGGCGGAACTTTTGCGAGTAATGAGAAATTTCTGATTTTTTCATAGCATGGGGATGATTGGTTTCTTGGTTTCATCTGACTCTTCGCTAACCAGGGCCAGAACTTCAACTTATATAATATCTAAAATGTTTAAATAGCAATATTGTTACGCTAATTGCTCCATATCAGTTACAAAGTTAATTTTTTGTCATTACCAAGCGTTAATAGCAGCCATTCGTTAGAACATAAGTGTAATAATCACAATTTAACTCAAACAGGTGGATGCTTTTTATTTATAAATTTTTTTTTTTTTTTTAAATTTAAGAATGTACAAAAAGGTAAAATAATTTAACTCCAACTCTTACATAATTTCTGAATAGAAGCTACTGAAGTATATATGTGCAAAATAAAACTGATTAAAGAACTGTAACAACCAACGTAAAAGATCTTTTACTAGAAGTAGACTAATTAAGTTGATGGATATACAATATAAATTAAATTAAGTTGATGGATATACAATATAAATAATATGAAAAAACTTTTGCAAAATCGGGCAATGTAATCGCAAGTTAATTCTTTAGATATCAATATTCAAAATTTATTTCGTTCCATAATTTACTAAGGTCGGTTAACAGCATTCGTTCGAACCAAATCGAATTACATCCCCGGATATGTAAAGATATTACTCCCTTGATATGAACAGGACAATCAGCTGTTACAATGTTCATTGAGATGTAAGGAAGCAGTTATAACTTATATCATGAATAGATATGGCTTGCTCCTGAAGTATGATGTGCAGTTCAGAAGATCATATGATGTTCATCCTGGGACTCTACATTAGAACATCTAATGATGTATATACCATAGATAAATAAAAAATCCCATACATTTTGGTAAATTACAAACCTAATTCTAACTTAAGATGGCAGTCAAAAACAACCAACACCTTCACTTTACACTAACAGGCGCGGACATCCACAAGTTGGCGTCGTTGCTCTTCGTCGATTCAAAATTGAATACTGACTGACAATTTTGCAATTGAGGATATATAAGTAGATAAGTCGCGCATGTAAATCGCATGATGGCGTTGCGTAAGCTCACTACTTCTGACGTGTGCCTTCGGAGCTTGACGAATGCTCCCGACACAAGTCACGTACGAACTTTGTGGGAGTTGACAAATATAAATGCTATTTTTCAGGAAACGACATGAAACTTTACAGTGCTTTAGGACTTTTCTTCTTTCGGGATTTGGGACTGGAAGAACTAGATGGTGTCAGACTATTCGATGTCTCTATATCCATATAGCTCCAAGTGCGCAGAATACACAAGTGCTTGAAAAATGAACAATCGGCTTGCTACGATTATCAACTAATTGATGTATTTTGCTATAAAACGATGAAAAATTTGGGCTGTTGGTGAAAATTTTACAAAATTATAACCTGCACTTAAGATGTCCCAGGCCAAAACTACACTGAACTCTGAATTTCCCCAGATATAAGACGACAAATACATTATATACAAAAAACGACAAGCCCTTACTGGACCAACATACAGATCACTTCATAAAAGCACATTGCCCAATTTAAAAATTTGAATTATCTAAATACAACAGTCATTTTAAACTATTAGTGGGTCAAATAAATTTCTATTATCGGCATTCAATTGCCACAGCTTAAACTAAAATCTGCACAATCCACCAACCATATATTCGTTTGCGAAAAATAATAAGATTCTTCATTAACTCTTTAAAATTTTAACCTCTAAAACCTAAAACCTAACCTAATAAAAATTGTACAAAATGTCAATTTGCGTAATTTTAAAAACAAAGAATTTTTATTAATTAATCTACTTTTATATAAAACACATTCTAAAGGAACTGGAATTTAGGATTGTAGAGATAGCATTTATTTTTATTACGTAGACTTGGTTTATACGAGAACAAGGGGAATACATAGTTCGTTTTTGATATATTATCGCGGTGTAGGAAACTGCTTGTCAAACTGCATCTCAAACTAGTTTTACGGGGAACACAAATGTTAAGATATCGTGTAAGGCTATTCCTGGAAAGTTTTATTACCGCAGATTTGATGACAGTATATTGAGGTCCTGCCACAGGATAATAAGAAACATTTCATTCAAAATAAATAAGAACTAAAAGTTCAGATTTTCACGAAATTATATTTTATGACATGACAATTGTTTCGACAACAAAAGCCACCTCAGTTCAACATTTCATTCGACGCACTCGGGGTTCTAACAGACCGTGCTATCGATCGGTTTATTTTTAGTGCTATTTAAAGCTGACATGCCAAAAATAATTTAATATTAATCGAAGTAGCGAAAACGCGTGAAAAGGATTGAAAGCAAGACGGGAAATTATTAAGAAAAATACTACAGAGTCCTTGGGATTTACAAAATACGGTAAACAATGTGACCCATTATTAGTGCAACAAAAACACCCCGTGTCCTCTCAAAAAAATGAAAACATAATTAGTATTCCACGCAGTCATTAAAATACAACGTGCCAAAAATCAGCGGGTTACATACATTAAACTAAACCATGAAATGTTTTATTAATGTCACAGTTTGACTTTAGCATTATTATCATTAATTGTATGTAGTTAGGCAACCAATATAAATGTTGTGAAATACTCAAAATCTGGTTTAAAACGCACAGTTCCACGGGAACGCAATGACGATTTTTTCCATTGAATATACACATGGTTTTCCGGAAATTATAGCGGACACGAGGATAGCTAAACAGCATCAAAGTTACTAATTTAAGTGCTTTTCAAAAAAATTACAAAAACCGGAAATACAATATTACGACGTTATTTTTTTCTGACGTTGGTAAGGTAGGCCCAAATCAAAAATACAGATTTATTCTCACATTTGCGAAGTTCCGTATTTCGGCACCGCATTGTATATTGAAATATATATAGTTTTATTAATGCTATTATCCTGTATATGGTATATTACAGGGGTAAGCATAGTATATATCGTATTCTACACTATGGGTAGGTACAGGTTAATTAATATTTATAGGTTCCAAAAACCTTATACTTAGCTTCTCTTATAATTTTCAGCGGTTGCTATAAATAGTAAACAACATCAAGCGAGCTAACCAGTCAAAATATTTTGAACAATTTACAACACCTTTTTTTGTTAAAGTTGTCAGCATTTGACGAGAATCAGTTAGTTTAATTACCACCGTAAGCAATATAGTTAAACAATTCTGACAGTGCAAAGACTTATGTTGATTCAACACTCATGATTCGCTGAATAATACGTTCTTTATAAACTCTTTAATCATATATTCACGCGTTATTAGTATAAAGCCAGTCAAAGTCGCTTACGACCAACAATTTTTCACTTAACCTACATTGTTTCTAGCCGTGAGGTTACCGACACTGATTCTAAACTTGACCGAGAAATACGGCCATGACTGGGTAAGCACACGCTATCGCATATAGCGATTCGGGACTGTGTTTTATTTGCAATGTACTTAACTGACATTTTAAACACATACCTATGAAAAATAAATTTAAAATAATTGCGTTCGTATTACAAAAGGGTTTTTGTTAATAAATGTTTACCATTTTTTCTGTTAATTATATAGGCGAAGACTATTTTTTACCTCTTTACCTTTTACCTCTTATTGCTTCAAACTGTTCATCATCTTCTTCTTCTTTCAACTACAAATTCTTTAAATGGTCTTTGGTCAATTGCTTACGATTTAGAGAAAGTTAGTTACGCGTTGCCCAGGGACATAATTCGCATCAAACCGTTACAATAGAAATGGTTCGTTGCGAATGTATGGAATTCGCTTGTCGTTAAATTTTGAAAGTGTCTAAAATCGCTAAACTACAATTGAGTCACAATCAAGCTGCGGTTACATTAGATTTTTTTAATAATTGTGTTTAAGCCAACACGTATCTGGGAGGCACGAAATTACTAAACAGACAATTGATTATCAATGATTTTATTAATTACAGTTTATCAACAACGGTATTTTTTGAAAAATTAAAAAGAATTTAATTAAATTAACAACGTCGATATTTTACTGATTTTTGGCTTGGTTCAGTTCCATATCTATATTTTAGTTTGGCAGGATTCAAAAATAAAAAATGTCGGTCGTTAGTGGTCACTAATCATATTAAGTCACTACGTAGAAATGGATATTATCTGGGTATCATCTGAGCGAAACTGTTGACTGTTAGCAATATAATAGCAAAGTGAATACTAGCACGGCCAAACTAAAATTTGTCTTAATATTTGACAGGTTCAACTTATGACCTCATAATTTACCAAACAAATATTTGTTATTAATACCTAGCGATTATTCCTACCAACGCTTTGTCCAGTATTTTAAAATATCATTAATCCCAGACGATACACCTATATCATATTCGAAAAAACAGTTTAAATTTGGGCCTAAACTCCTATTCTAAAACACACAACACACAACCACTTACTTTCCAATTTTGCAAAATGTTTAAGTGAAAGCAAAGTACTTACCTATAGAAACAGTAGAATATTCGAAAGTCCGGTAAATGAAAAAGATCGCACAATAATTAAAATTAATAACTTTCGTCAACTTAAGCAATACTAAATTTTTGATGGTTACTTCTAATAAATATCAATACACAACTGCTTAAATTTGACGCTACAAATTATTTATATGATAAATAGATCCTCGAAACGTTTCGATTACGTGGTATTAAAGCCGGTACACGTGGTGGACGGGCCAAAGTCTATCGCAAAACTTTAGAGCGAGCGGATCATTGCGTGTATTGCGCGAATGCCAATACCAGCGGCTCAGCTGTTGTTGAATCACGCGATATCTTCGGTTTGGGCAAAGGCCGACCGCTCATTTGGCGAGAGCGCGGTGGCGTGATGTTGGTCGATCCCCGCTAAAATGATGGGAATTGCAGACAGAAACGTGTATCTCGGCGTTGCCGCACTTGTTAAATTTTCTAGGACAAGTAAAATAAAAAAATAGGTTGTGAGTATCTAAAACCATCATTCTTGGATGACGGTTTTTTCGTGGTTTTTCACGAGCCCTTGCATTATAAAGAAATAAATATAGTGGCCCTACATTGCTACTATTAGTGCCTATTTAGTAGCCTTGTTTTGATTTATTGAATTTTTTGTATTATCATTATCAGTACATGCGTACTATAGGAATACGTACTCATAAAGTAGAAGTAAGTTTCAAATGATTATTTACTTGCCCGGTCCAATCGACGGTAAGATAACGCAGTGATGATGCAAGTTAATTAACCTGATAATTTAACCAAAGATAAAAGGTTTTTTTTCTCCGCCTACTACTGTAGCTGCCTAAAGTCTTAGTTCCGCTTGTATAAACGCAATAGTGAGCATTCAGCCTGAAAAAAATAGTAGTGGTAGCTTATTAGCATATCAAATATTATTGTTGTCAATATTGTCTTGATATTGACTTAGGCTAGCCAATCCTGCGGTATGTCTTAAGGTCAGATATTTATTATCTGTTCCTCTTCAGATTATATTGTTTCTGTACCCCTTGACTCATCGAACCGACGTCTTTGACACGATAAGATCTACAGAGTCCTAAACCCTAAAGAAATTCCCTACAGAACGGTTGATATATTTTATAAACAGAAATATTATTTATTTTATAGTATTTGTCTCCCTTAATGTAAGCTGTGCATATAAAATGTTTTTATTTTATAAGGAGTGCGAATCTTTGGTATGTGCTATCGCTCTTGTTATTTTCGTTTCAAACGCAGCTCATACTTTTGTCTATCCACAACTCTAAAATGTCTAAATACGATTTTCAAATATTTTTTTTCTTTCACGTCCAATTTTTTGTATTTGCCCCCATGACATTGACAACTGCACTCGTGTCAAAATGTTCATAAAAGAATTCTAATCCTTTACAAATTGAAAATTTTGCCATTATGGACACACTGTATAATCCCCGTCGCTGAAACATTTATTTTTTCGATTACAGTAATTAATTTTATACTTTAAATCATCAGTACCAAATGCCCTATAATTTTTCAAAAACTTTTAAAAGGTAGATTCTTTCATATTTAAATTTAAATGTCACATGGTACATAGTTTAGACTCAGAGGCATTTGGGTAGTACAATTTATTATATTGCCACAAACTTCGAGAGAAAAAACTGGAAATTTAAAAATATGTTTTGTTTTTCACATTGTCTAAATATGATTAGATTAAAATGCTAAATAATTTAAGAGCAAAGAGAAGAAAGGTAAATTTTTAAATTAATGAAATGTTTAATGAATCTAATAGAGGTCTAGCAGTTCTTTAGTTATTGTAACTACAAAGTTAAGACGAGTCATGAGTTTCAAATATATGAACTCCTATAATTAACAAAAGAATTACAGAAAATATTTTTTTTCTGGATCAAACCAATCAGTTTCTACATGAAATGACTATGTACAAAAGACTTGGAAAATGGGCAAACATTGTTGAAAAACGGGTTTCCTATAAATTTGCATATATCCTCAAGCCGCTCAGGGAGAATTACTCTGAACTTTAAAAAGTTATAAAAATACCTATGAAAACTGTAGTTTATCTTTATATGCGGTGGGTGATGCTTATAAAAACCGCGCACACTTATTTATTGCTTGCTTTAGATTATTAATATTGTCGACTGCAATTACTGTTTTTATTTTGCTTATTAACACATACTTCCTTGCGGTATTGGTTCAGAGCGAATAAACGCATCGTCATTGCTTTTATGCGATTATTACATGTATTAGCATAAATATTCATTATTACTCCCGTGTTAAGATTCAGCACATGCGATTTTATTAATTGCTTGGTGCGCATATAAACTTCATATAAATTTAAATTTTTTTGTGTCAAGTCGAACTTCAACCCTTATTTCAATATTCAGTTAAGCAAATTTGCAAACATGGACTTGCGTGTAGTACTAAGCTTTGGCATTTTTGAAATATTTTTTCAAGATTCTCTCTTCTTTTTCAATTTCTGTCAATGCGTTCCGAAACAATTAAAAATTAACTACTCCATTATCGGAATTTAACAAAAAACAAGCTTACGGAGCAGAATTTTCTTATAAAAATTAGTGACTTTCAAAAAGTCTTTCCTTTCGGGCTCTAACTTGGTTCATATAAAAAATCCTAAAAATTATAAAGTTTCCTATTTTATTATAGCATTTTAAAATTCTCCGGTCAAAATAGTATGTGCTTGTTGTTCTAAAAATTATAATAACTAAATCATAGCACAATTTAACAATTTGATTTTTTTTGCTGTACTAGACTAGACCAGATTAGAAATTAAAATTCGATTAATTAACATGTAACGCCAAATTTGTAAACCTATCAGTCAAATGCACTTTTTATTTATCCATTATTTCGTGTTTATGTGTACAAAATACGACATAATATGTTTTTTAATAAAATTTGCAACACAAGAAATTTAACAAAACTTTCCTTCTTTTCGCCTTTAAGCATTTTAGTACCAAATGATAAACTATTCCAATATCTTTAAGAATAGTTTCCCTATTCTAGGTCGGTTAAATTTCCCTTTTTAACCACCAACATTTAGCACCATAATTAGAATATCAATTTTCAAGCTGGCATACCGTATACAAATTTAAAACTCTCTTATTTGAAAAACAGTCTCCACCGTACAGTGGGGTAAGGGTATTTTTAGAAAAAAACTTTTATTAATTAACTTAGTGCAGCGAAGTCATCTTCAGCTTTTCTTTTCTAACGAAGAAAAGAGAGCAGCGGACGGAATATTTGTTGCTTTGATAAAACTTTCAGCGAATTGATTTTAATTGCGTCGCCTATGGACTTTCTGCCTTCTCTATTATTTGTTTTGTATCAAATGTGGATCTCCCACATTTTTACATTCTTCGATAATTGGTTCCACTTTGGATGGGACGACCAATTTCGTTGAAGTCTAATAATTTTGTAATTTGTGAAAATGCATTCATATAAATATGGCACGCAAATTGTCCCCAAACTTCTTGTTAACTAATGCTTTCCCGGGCATGATATGGACAAATTTTCCTCAACAGACATCGTTACACTATAGATAAAAGGTTCTTATCATCTTTCTTTATAACCAATTTAAAAATATTTGCTTTCTGACTGCTATCATTAGGTAATAAGCTCATTAGACATAATAGGTTTTGTTTCTAATAAGTTACTAGATGTTGATAAAAATTTCGAACTCAAAATTAATTGGCGCTTCAGAATTATGAAAAAAAGGGGGAGAAGAGCGCATGTAATAAAGATTTGGGTTAATTATGTATATACGAATGGCATTTTTTATACTTAATTAATTCCTAAATATATTGTTGTTTCAAGATTATGCACATTAGTTTCACAGCTTGAGGAGTTGTGTAGAATTAGATATCAGATTCTATTATAACAAGAAATTTGATAAAACGTGTTTTATTATGATGCGTACATTAAAGATACTGCTAAATTTCAAAAATATGAATTATTTGTTATGATGTTAGGCGATAATAACTAATTTTGCCGTTCGACATTACTAGGATTATGGAGGGTTACATTAGAGAAAAAACAATATTAGGATATAAACTGGTAAGAAACATACATTAACATATAATTTTAAAAAATTGTAAAATTGATTGTGTCCCATAGTCAAAATTAATTGGTGCTTCAGAATTATGAAAAGAAGTAGGAGAAGAACATGTAATTAAGATTTGGGTTAATTATGTATATACAAATGAGATTTTTTATACTTAATTAATTCATAAATATATTGTCGTTTCTTATACATTAGATTCGCAGCTTACGGAGTTTTGTGGAATTAGATATCAGATCCAATGTAGCAAGTAATTTGATAAAACGTGTTTTATTATGAAGCGTAGATTAAAAATTTCAAAGATTTCAATTATTTATTAAGATATTAGGCAATAATAACTAAATTTACTGTTTGACATTACTAGGATTATGGAGGATTATATTAGAGGAAAACAATCCTAGGATATAAACTTGTAAAAAACATATACATTAAAATATAATTTAAAAAATCGAAAAATTGATTGTGTCCCATTCACAATAGAGCAACAATATATAAAAATATGATTTGCTTATATTTTTTACCTTTCAAGTTCCTATTCAAGTAGATATTAACAACATTTGCTATTGAACAAAACAAGAGACTGAAAAGGTTTTAAAATTGAAATGTCACTTGTTCTAAGAATTTAAATTTTTATCAAAATTAACAATCTAGTGAATTATTAATTATCGATTTTTGTGAATTACCCAGATAACAGGTCATCGGTGACTATTTATAAATTATTTCATCAACGAAATAATGTTTTGATTCGGGATCGCAACACCAACTACCCCTTTTAATATTGTTGCAGGCTTTGAAAGCATTCAGTTTGGTTTTTAGTTGTCCTTTTTGCCCCACAGCGGATGAGTGCCGTCTCCGTGAGCTTCTACTACTTGCTTGACAACGTCCTGTGGGACGGTTCTCAAGTCATAGGCCAATCCGAGTTTTTTGAATATGTCAATCCAGAATGTGGTTACGTTGTACTTTCCAAATTCCGACGCCCTATAGTCATAGGGAAATTTGTGGTGGTAATTGTGAAAACCCTCGCCATTGGCTAGAAATGAGATTATGTTGTTTTCTACTGGCTGGAGTTCTCTAAAATTTTAAAAGACAAATGGAATTAGATCAGAAAAGTATTCTAGTTGTGAACTTGAATTGAAGTTATTGTTAATTATTTATTTATAGGATAGTGCGTTGTGTTTAATATAAATGTTCCATAGTTAATTTTTAATTATGCGTAATTTTTTAAAGAGAGCACGGTTTCAAATGGAAACAATATTCAAATTCCTTCAAATAAGATCCATTGGTAACTTTGGTTCCATATTTTTTCCTGATCTATGCAACTATAAAAGACATTGCTTTCGACTGAGGTCCTTAGGTGGTGATTTTGTCGTAATTCATGATTTCATTTCTTCCGAAAAAAAAAGCAACCCCGTAAGTTTTTGTCTCATATTTAACTTGAGATATTAATGATAAACTAAAAAAATTAAAAAAAAAATTAAATCGAAGCCATATGCGAAAGTTTATATTAATATTATATATATATATATATATATATATATATATATATATATATATATATATATATATATATATATATATATATATATATATATATATATATATATATATATATAATATAAATATTGAAAAATGTTGAAGGTAAGGTAAGATTGTGCGCAAAAATTTATTTGTTGGCTTTAATTAACAATTAATGATCTTTATAAATTTTGTCAGACATTTTTTGAAAAATTTAAATGTTTTGTTTTCGTTGGTTGTTGTTCGCAATAACCGTTATAATATAACAATAAGACAAATATATAGATATATAACGTTGACATAATTATATTGTTGAGTTTGAAAAGTTATCGACAAAAGTAGGCAACCAAAGCTGCAGTTAATTTGAATGCCAATGAAAAAAACCTAATCTTTCTGATTACCCACAATTTATTAGTTGGCATCTAGAAGTGATAATAAGTACTTGAATATTATTTCAGTTATTTCTCTGGGCCATATTTACAGGAAAACATTTCTGGTGGCTCTACCATTACTGGTTTCCCCGATACAAGCTGATCCTACTTACTTTTCATATGGACGGTTTCCCCAAAGGTGCGCAGCGCTATTAACCAGCCAAGTATTGTTTAGCAGTATAACATATCTGACAAAACATACTGCTAATATGGAATTCTTCCAAGATTCACCCCACCATAGTGGTGGTATAATAGTTGGTATAATAAAGCACCAAAGGGTTCCAAACCAAGCCCAATGCCTGAAATAAAAAAAAACTGCTGCACAAGTATTAAATTATCAATTTGACATTTATATAAAGTTTATTTATACCTATATTAAGTGATAAAATAACCAATGTTGTTTCAAACAGATATATATCGACCGCTATTTTCTACGAAGGAGGAATTTTTTATTAATCATAAAGTTGTATGACCCACGCTATCGCTTGATGCAATTAACCTTGTGAAGGCTAATGGACTACCAATTTTATAACGGGAAAATTTAATAACACCATAATATAATAATTAAGCAACCCATTGCGAGTTTAGTTAGCTTACTTCGATTGGAAGGTGACCAGCGGATCTTCAAAAATGTCGCTTATGTCAACCGTCATTCCTTTTCTCGTTACCTCTGGATGTTTTTTCATGCAGAGCCATCCCACGTGTGCAAAAAAGAACCCCCGTTTCGAATTGTGCGGATCGGCATCGGTTTCACTAAATTTGTGATGGACCCGGTGGTCTCTTACCCAATCCTTCAAACTGTTCTAAAATTTTCGAAATTTTGGAATTTATGATACTGAAAAGCTAACAACTAAATTAAAGTTTTATGATACTGTTTCTCCAGATTAATATCAGTAAGATTTACCTGACCCGTTGTGGAATAAAGAATAAGTAAGAGTACTCGCAGAGGGGTAGTAGCCTTATAGCTTCGATGTGTCCACAGTCTATGAGCACCAGCCGTTACTCCAAATCCTCCAATAATTCCGAAAATAGTTGCTAAAAGAAGTAATAGTAGTCGCAAAATTGATATAAATCCCATTGTCAATTTGTAATTGCACGTTGCAGAACTCGATGAATAAATGAACATTGAGTAGAGTTTCTTCATTATTTAATTTAATAACTTTGGCACTTATTTGTGTAAATCTGTAATTTCACGGATTCTGTTTCTTGTTGGGGATGGGTTAAATCATCTAGAGTTAAAAAGGGTATTGACAGCAGTTTGTGAATCAAAAAATAATAAATAAATAAATTTAGTTTGGAAACATTTGCCTTTACTTGCCAAAATTGCCATTTTTTCTAAATTTTCAAACAAATCAGATAAACGTGATTTTTTTACTTTTTTCCAATCAAAACTTTTTCGGTACATTGCCATGTAAAGTAGTTGATTTTATTACACTTCATTGCATTTGTTTACTTAGCTATCTGTCTGAATTGTGCACCAGAATTAGAATACTTTATTTAGATGTCATTTTTTCTAAGGAAACCGCCATTTGATACTTTTAAATATGTCTATTTGCTGCATTTATTTTTCCAAAGACTGGAAAACGTCAAGCTTTTACTGTTTTTTCATTTATCATTTCATTTTGATGGATTTATATATAAAACGACAACAAATTTAAGATTTGATTATCATATTTGAAAATCCTCGTAAACAATACACACCAAACGATATATCTTTCTGTTCGGAAACAATAATCAATTAAAATATATTAGAGGACTAAAACCATTAAATTTAGTAGACTAAGACCTGTAGAACCCATGAAAAGTGGTTATGTTCTATGTACCTACCGTATATTACTATTGCAATATGTGTTCCCCATTCGTGTTGCCAGATAGCCCAGACTGATACAACGTGGAGAATAAACAACATAATAATATTGGACCAAATTAAGGGCGTTTCAAATTCGCCCAAGAAACACTTGTACTTCCCTGGTTTCTCAACGATTGCTTCATTGGTTGTTGCCTCTTTCAGCACGACGTGGGATGAAGACAGAGATTTTGTCATGGTGACGTTGATGTTTGGTGCCATTTATTAACTAAATGAGATACCTACAAATTTTCTGATATAGAGGAGGAGGTTCTTAAATTACGGACTTACTTGTATAAGAAGAAATACTTTTGTTAACCAAATGTGATAATCACATTGCTGTTATATCCGAAACCTAGTAGGATCTGACTGACGCAAATACAAAAAAAAATTTTTTAAACAAAGCGCGTTTCCTCGAATCATTAATATACCAAAATCTAACGGTTAACAAACCCAAAATCCAAAATTTTGACCTATGAACTTTTTTGTTATAACGTGGCAGAAAACAATAGGTGCCTAAATATTCTAATGCCGAAAATTTGAAACAGTTAAAAAGCTAAAAAAATGAAAGATGTGTTTGCATTTTTCTTATTTAGATGCAATAATGCCTTCAGTTAAGCACCGATTGTGAGCACTCGTTGTAAATTGCAGCTATACGTCTGCAGTGTATGTAGTAAAAGTAAACATAATTTTTTTCTACTCCCTGCTCTAAAACATGGAATTATGCACTGCTCAAGCATGCGGAAAGTGTCACTTTAAGATTTTAGTTTCGTTAGCAACTGCCGCGAATCGCTTCTGACATTTCCGGTAATTTAATCACGGGTTTGGAGCGACAGGATGTTTTCGGTAGATTTTAGCTATGTTGTATGTAAAGTTTTAAAGAAAAAAATTTAATTTAAATTAACTTTAAGTTATATAGAAAGTTATTTATAGAAAAGATTCTAGATATCTTATTAGTTATTTAATTATTAATTATAATTAAATTAAACGTGTTTATAATATATAATATAATTTTAATAATAATAATAATTTTTGAAGATACAATTCTTTTTAGCTTGAAATAAATTACAGCTTATAAACGTGATTGCCAAATCACTCTTCGTTGTGTATTCCGTAAGTTAATTAACTTATTTAATTTGAATTTCCTTTTAAATTTTATGTCGGCAGAAACCGAGCGAGGGTGTAACGAAAGAGTGTCTGTAGAATACTTTATACTTTGCATTTTATAAGTTATACCTTGTCCGCATCTAATAAAAGCGTAATTGAGTATTTAGAGTAGGGAATAAAAAAAATAATGTTATAGACAGTTACGCAGTAAACGAAAACTCACACACGCAATTACACAAAAACATCAAATTTATTACAAAAATGTTATAAAAATATATTAACTAATTTATCACAAAGAGAATAATACAAATAATAAAATAGAATGTGAAAATCTGAAACGAATTGTTAATCTAATCAAGTCTAATGACTTAATTTTTTTCTGGACCGCATCGTTTCGTGGCTTCCATCTCCGTGTTTTTCTATCATCGTTCTGATAAGTTTCGGCGATGTTGTCTTAAGATCGTAAGCCCATCCGATTTTTGAGAAAAGATCCAGCCAAAGTGTGGTGCAATTCAGAAATTTTCCCATTTCGGCGGCACGGTAATCCCAAGGAAATGAGTGATGGTAGTTGTGCCATCCTTCACCCATCGCAACCAAGGAGACAAATTTATTTTCTACCGGTTTGATATCTCTAAAATATAGCTACACGTTAAAATTCCGTCTTTTGCTTGTTTATGTATAATAATAAATACTACGAAAACGTGCTTGTCCTGAAATATCGGTGTTTAAATTGTTTCTAACAAAAATTTCTATTATTGACAGACGCGACGATGGGCTCTGTGACTACCCTTTCAGTTTTGAAAATATTTTTGGTTTTTAACTATTTGCATCTTGAAAATAATAAAAAAAAAATGTCTAAATGGGTCGGAAATACTTATTAGGTCTTTTCGTGTAATTTTAATTATACATTTGTAATTCGTGAAAAATACGTCATTCCTCGACTTTATTTTTTTTTCTTTATTCTCTTTGGTAAAGAGCTTTTGGTGAGTACGTTTGTAAATTAAAAAAAATGACATTAAGACTTACACCAAATATTTGCAAACAAAGTTTAATATCAAACAGACTATTTGTTGGAAGCATATAGGTCAAACTCTTTAAATTGGGCATTCCTATTAAAAGCAATTTGAAACAATGTTTATCCAGGCTAAGAGTAGACTCCCAATGAGAAAAATTGGGAAAACTAGTCATTTTAGCAAATTTCGACGATAGAAGCTAACAAGCCGAACAAGCTGTAAAAAATGCTTTGTGAGTCGGTGTGTGCAATGATAACTTTGTAATTGGACACAATAAAGAGTTTAGGCCATTTTTATTCCCTTGTCACCCAATACCAAAAATACACAAAAATAATACGGTTATGGTGTAGTATAAGAATTTGATCATCAAATTATACTAATTCCTTCAACTGCAGTCGGTAGTAATGATAAGGCATAAGCCTAATTGCGTGTTTACATTTTTAGGTAAAAATTTTAACTACTTACGATGTAATTCTCGTTACTTTAGTGGGAAAGACAATAAATATTTTGATTGTTCAGTAGTACGGCAAACTACATTTGAGTAACATAGACGAAGAATCAATTATTTCAAAGTTCATGAACGGTAAATCTAATTTGAAAATTTAATTTTAGCGTGAAATAATACTTGAAAAAGATGAGTGTTAATTGGGTACTGACATTACGCATTGAATTCATCGCGAAATTTCAACAAAAAAATATGAGCAATCGACTTACTTTTCATAGGGCTTGTTTCCCCAAATATGTGCAAAACTATTTACGGACCAGGTAAAATTTAGTAGTAAACAGTATCTGACAAAACAGTTACACAGTATGGCTGTTTTCCAGGTTTCTCCCCAAAAATACGGTGGAATTAAAGTCGGAATGATGAAACAGAATATTAGCTTAAAGATCATCCAGTATCTGCAAATAAAAATGCATCGTTAGGAATTGAGATAAAAATGACCACTGTAGCATATGGCTTTTACCAGAAAACGACCCAATAGATCGATTTTTATTTATAAACGAAAAACCCAAGACCAGAATCAATTTATTTTTACGTTAAAGGAGATTTTATTGTCGTGTGCAAAGATTTTAGTAAATTTTTTAATTAAATTGATTAGAATTAACTAAAATTTGCTTTTGTATCAAAAACGACTTGATATATAGGCGGAGAACTCAAAATAAAATGAAGTAAGATGTAAATTGTATACCAGTAAGGCACTTCTGCTTACGTCCCCATGTTTAAAATAATTTCCTCATTATCATGTAACATTAAATTAACAATAATCAGAGAAAAAATGGAGACTATTAATTGAAGAATGACAACAATTTACCTTACATGAAAGGCAATCAATGGATCTGACATTATGTCGGTCATGTCGACGGTTTTTCCTTTCCTCAAAACGTCAGGGTGTTTCTTCATACATAACCATCCCACGTGCGAAAACCAGAAGCCACGTTTGGAATTGTGAGGATCCGCATCAGTCTCGCTAAATTTGTGATGTACTCTGTGGTCTCTTACCCATTCTTTCAGCGTATTCTAAATAGCGTCTCTTATTATTATTTTACATATTCAGGGTGGTTCATGTTGATTGTTCTATTGAAATTTCTGGGTTTACTAGTTGATTATGACTATGAATTATGGGAATGGGAATATTTCCAAACTTGGTATACGGTTTCAATATTTTCTAATATCTTGTCTTCTATCTATGTCAAATGATTCAAAGGGTTGGCAAGAAAGGTCCTGTACCAGAGTTGCGAGGCTATACAAGTTCTCCGAAAAAATTTTGCAGTTAATTTAAAAAAATTGTATTATTTTCCTTAAATGATTATTTATATAAATTACTATTATGTCCATGAAACTGCACATTACAATCGCTATACACCATCGAAACTATATATATTTTAAATACATCACAATGAATTTTATCATATTTTATTCTTGATTATAATTCATTATGAATTTGAAGCCATGGAAAATTGTAAACCTGACCTATTCGAATGTGAATATTTTATTTGTTTTTTAAGTCGTAAAATTAGGAATAGTTTGATGTTATTAAAATTATATTCTTGCTGGAGAAATAAACATGCGTGTATAGAAATCGGCCCATTAAGAACTTTTGACTTCAATTTTTTTTTTTTTAGAAACTACTTATCAGATCAAAAAACTAAATGCTGGAAGATAATTTAATATGCTTTAATACGAATTTAAATTGATTAACATTTTTTTCTGCTTTTTAGGTTTAGCATAGTAAAATAACTGCACGAGTGAAATTAACTTTTTTTTATACAAAAAGCCAATAGGGTTATTGACAATTAGGAACTCAACACTTATTTTTTAATAATGGGTATCGCTATTGATTCTAGTGGAATGTAAAGCCATTCTTCTTCTACTGCAACAATAAGCTCTGTGATCGAGGTTGGGGTACGAAGTCTAGCTCGAATTCTCCGTTTTAGCTCTTCCCATAAATGTTCGATGGGATTGAGGTCGGGACTACCTGTTGGCCACTCCATAACTCGAAACCCGACTTCTATAATATCTTCCTCGATACTTGCGGTCTCCGGTCGAGCATTGTCATGTATAAAAATTAATGATGAAAACGGGGTTGGTTCGTGTGTCCATAGAAATTGCACCCCATATCATGCAGGAACCGTCTCCATAAGGGTTCCGCTCTTCATTGCAGCATTCTGCAAAACGCTCTCCTGTACACTTCGGTACACTTTTTTGGTCGGTCACTATCAAAAAGGTATATTCTGGTCTCATCTCAGTACAGAACAGACCTCCATTGGTCCACTGTTAAATATAAATGATCCCGTGCAAAGTATAGGCAAGCTTGTCGATAAGCTGGAGTAAGTTTTGGACACATTGCATTTGTTTTTGGGGTCAGATTATTTTCCTTCAGTATTCTTCTCATTATCCACTGACTAGTAGCCACTTTTCGAACTTGTAATTCGTCTTCTGCCTTTTCTAGGGCGCCTAGCAAAGGATCCAGTCTCCTCATACCGTTAGCATACTCTTCGAACTGCTCCGCATGTCATATCCAGTTGTCGAGCAACAGCTCGCTGGCGAAGTCCACATTCGATTAAAGCGATAATTTGAGCGGCTATTTGCGGTGTAGTATGCATCAATTAAACAAGTTTGTTACTATCACAATAACTATTGCATGAACACGTTTCATTTGTTGAACCGTAGCTACGCATATAAAAGATTAACACTCTTGACAAATTTAAACTCACACTAGCATGTTTATTTTTTGGGTCAGACGAATAGTTTCTAGAAAAAAAAACTAAAATCAAAAATTTACGGTGGTCCCATTTCTATGCACTGGCAAAAATATTTTTTTATATTCATTTTATTTACAGTTTATAGGTAAATTTGCTAAAAAGGAGAGTTTTCTTTTACCCACCTGGCCGGCAACGGAATAACAAACCAATAGAATTATCTTTAGGGGAAGCTTCGCTTTGAAACATTTGTGTGTCCAATATCTGTGGGCACCACCCGTGACACCAAATCCTGATATCCCCCCTAGTATAAAACCTGGAAATATATTAAAAAGACAACTGCTATTACAATGTTGGAAAGAGCCGAATATCACTCCTTTCTAATTTGTTTTAATTTAATTCAAACTAGTACAATCGGTTATGAGAGTGAAAATCTAATAATTATATTTATTTTACAAAAATTTGCACCACACGATGAAAATGGTGCATTTCCATATACGATTTCTGCTTTTACTGGAAAATCAAATACCATTCACCAAGCAGTCAGATATTTTTGAAGTAATTTTATGGTGATTATAAAGTATCGCACTATAATATCTTACAAATATTACAAATATCACTGTATAATACGATTTTTTTATGCTTTATATTTAACTATTGTCTTTGTGAACGACGAGACAATTAATAGCAATAAATATAGAATTTTGGCGTGTTGGATTAGTAATTTTAATTTAATTACCTATTAACGATGATTCGTAAAACTTTTGGTACCTTACTTAAAAGCATCGTTTGCATACGAAATCGATAAGGTGACGAAGCACATTCTTAAATTAAATATTTTTACTATAAGTATGTTTACGAACATTGTATTAAAAATAAAAATTCCAAGTTTGGCACCATATAAAAATAATCTTTACCATAAATCACTGTTTTCCACTTGTTGATGTAATCATGTGTGGTAAGACCATATATCGCCCCCAAATGTAAAATAATCAGTCCTATTATGTTGGTCCATATAAGAGGGGTTTTGAAGCTTCCCAGAAAACATTTATATTCTCCTCTTGATGCCGATTTTTGCGAATTTTTGATATTAGGTTTCGCCTCTAGGACTTTAACATGGTCTATCTTGCATTCTTGTGTACTAATTTCGAGAACGTTAGCTAAAGCTGCCGTTGATGGTGGCACCATTGCCAGGATCTGGAAATAAAAACTAATCCAAATGAAAATTAGGGGCACATTGTCTCTTAATTCTGAAATCAGTTTGCAAAGCAAGTTTGCGCTAGAATACGGATACTATAAATTTAATGGATTACTTAATTTACGTAAGTTTCGCTTTTACTTGCCCACAAAAACTATATATGCATCTGAAACGAAACCTTCCAATAGATTTGTGTTCGTAAATTTCAAATGGGAAACATAAGTGACACAGGAATAAATCCGGAAGTCTAGTCAATATGTTAACAGAATCAATAAAGGCGAATTAAATACAAAAAGTGGACCTGGAAGATTTCAAAGCGTAAATTTTGGGTACGCATAATATTTAAAATTGTTAATAAATGCAAAATATCCGTTACCACCCCCGTGAACTTCAGCAAAGTATTAATGACTAATAAATACAATTACTCACGTAAAATACACGAACCAGTAATCGTAAACATAAATGAAAGAATAGTAACAAAAGACTGCGGACCGAACTTTGACACAATTTTCAGATGCAAACGCACGAGTACACTGAACGCTACTGAAGAAGTTTCTTCCTCTTTAACAGATCTAGCCGTCTCATCCGAATTAATTCGTCATTTTCATATATTTGTGTCAATAGCACTTGGGCAATTTCTAAGACATAAAATTCGCTAACGAAATCAATAACCATTTTTCAAAGTGACCAATAAATATTTATTAAACAAAAGATTTGGTTATGTAACGTGAAATCATGAAGTCCGCGAAGCCGGTTCACTAATTTTAGTTATTTTCTGAATATTTTTACATATTTGTTAAGTCCTTTTCTTTGACGTAATTAAAAATGTCGCTAATACGGGTTTGTTTCAAAAAATTGACGGGTTGAATTGCAGTGGGAATAGTGTACAGCGTAATTACTTTAAATACTGAAAATATTACTTTAAATACTGATAATTCGTTCATATTGTACGCCCGAATTCTTCTGCGGTTTCTCTCGGAAAAAAAGATTCATTTTATCCGACAAGCACCCTATTTGGTAGATTTGTACTGTGGCGGGTAGTAGTTTCAGCAAATAAGAAACTTATAATAATCAACAATAATTTTATTAGGCTATATTTCTTGAATTTTTGTTAAAAAGTGTTATGAATAATCTTTTAAGTATTTTGGGGTGTAATGTTGATCTCAATGTGTTAATTCAATTTGTTTGGTTGATAGGTTTTTATCAATTATTCCTTTTTGAAAGGTTTCAACACAAATAAATAAATAAAAAACTATAAATGGATAGACATTTGAACTTTTCGCTATTAAAGTCAACATCACAATATTATAAGCAGCATTATTCTCCTTTTGTATTTCGTAAAATGATCTTCGTGATACCGTTTGCCAATTTCTAATCACGCTTAATAAACATTTTTGATAGCCAAGAACTTTAAAAGCAGTTTTTGAATATAAAACTCTAAACATAAAACGAGCGATATACAAAATGTATTTTAATGATCACACATCCATATCTGAATTGCAATATTAATTTAAATTTTATTAATAATTGAACTAACCAAAATATTTTACAATAAAAATTGATCCACGGTGTTCATCTATTAAATAATTGAATTGCTATTGGAACTAATATGTGCGCCTATATTCAAGAGTCCACTTTCCTGGTATAGGAGAGTGGTTGCGTTTCATTTTGTTTTGTGGTATTTTGTCTTAGCATTTATATATTCGAAAAGGGCGAGTATAAAAAAATCTATGATAAGAAAGGAATGTATTTTGTTATATTTGCACCAATTATTTAATTTTTTTATATCTTGAGTCGAGCTGCTTAATTTAACCATTGTTTTGTGCCGTCATTTTGCACTGTTAGAGTTCAATCTGGCAAATGCGTATTACGATGTATTGATTATCAATTAGCTTTATTAAAATAAGCAGGCATTTGCATATCGACTATTATATTGCTTTTTCCTACTATCCGATTATTTTCCCCCGTTGGTTTCCCCTTCATTAATAATTAATATACATTTTCATTCCATTTTACAGTAAAAAAATCGTAATTATATTGATATTACTTAAATTAGAAAAAACTTTGTGGGTAGTTATTAATAAGGTTAATCTGTTAAGCAAGAGTTTTATTTAAAATTTAGGTTTTGGTTTAGCTTCAGCTTCAAGGAATATAAAACGTCATAAAGAAATCTTCTAACATAATTAGAAAGTTGGCTTGTATTTAAAAAAATTATTGTGAAATCTCCTGCTAGTAATAAATACACATAATAGAAATATCTAGTTAAATGTTAAGGTACATTCTCCCAGACTGCAATATAAATTTTGAAGGATAGTCCGCTAACTACCTGTGTGTGCTTGCCTAGGTCTTAAAATAGTGATTTTTCTTTAGTGCCAACAGCACATGCAACTGTTGCAGAACAATCTCCAAAATAATTTTTTATTTCGCAGGCGGGTCTATTCACAAGAAAATAAATTATATGTTGGTATCGACAAATGCATCTCTCCAGTCTCTACTGCTACTCAGGGTTCGAAAAGGTATTATGAAATTTCGTTTATTTAAGCTTTTGTGCGTAACTACCATGCAATTGTTTGTACTCCTGCCTGTTTACAAATATAAATATTTATTGCCCCGAAATTGAATTTGGCTTTCACAAAACCTAGAGAATGGGGAAATTGCATTGTGATGCAACACGGTATAACCTTTAAACAAATAGAAGTGTTTATTGTATTGGAAATAAATGATGTACGTGTACATATGATTGACGAGTTTGCGCAACTGCAGAAAGATAAATATGAACGAGGACTAATACACACTTGAAGACTGGCTAAATAAATTTGACTTTTTGCGATGATCTAAAGACAAACCGAGGAAAAACTGCCAACTTGGCAGTAGCACGGCAATAACCGTACTTCTAAGCAACCTACCCATTTTGTAGGTTGAAAAATCAAACGAACACTAGTATAACAGTTTGTTTGCTTAGATATTTACAACTTCCAATGTCTGCCTTTCTAGTCATATTTAATTTTGCTGTTTGATAAAACTATCGTTTTTGCAGTATATAATAACAAGTTGAGAAATAAGAAGAAAGAAGTTTTATTAAAAATAATACAAACAAATTTTAAGCTTACAAATTTTTGTCGATTAAAATGACATTCTTGAGAAGATTTAGAGGCTATACTTTTTGCTTGCCGAACACATTGAACTATATTCCTGAGTAATACTAATTAAATAAATTATATTTACCAATTTGTTAACCAATTTGTATATTCCTATAGTCATTAGTCTTTAAATAGCTGGTATTAGCACCTTTTGAAAAGCCCATTTAAAAATCCTAATTAAAACGAGTTTTTTATTTTTTTAAATACTGCTAATCAAGTTCACAAATAATTCAAAACTGACAGAAGGAACATACTATACGGTTGTTCTTGGGTAATTATTATTACATGTAACATGTAGAATTAATTAACTTAAATGATTATGATTATGATTATGATGATAAATGAACTTAAACTCGACAGAAGTTATCCCTATATTTATTTGAAAACATTTGTTTTGTTTCTGTATCTACCTATAGGTTTTCCGGACCGGAACTCCAAAACTGAAATACGGAACAATAAAAAATAAACACAAAACGTAAACTAAAAACGGGCTTTTTGAATAGTAATTCAATTGCTAATATTTATTTAATTTTTCACCAACCTTCTTTCGGATATTAAATCAGTATTCACAATTCACTCTGTTGTTCGTATCAACTTGAGAATTTTATTTCACCATGTGGGCTCTAAGCACACAGAAATTAAACTATCAACGAAAATGAAAAAAAATCACGTATATCAAACTTTATTTAAATTTCATCCGCCGCGTCCTCGTAACAATTTATTAATTAATAAACATCAATATATAGGTAACAACAACAAGATTTATTGTTTAATAGTTTAGTAATTTTCATTCGAATTGATGGTTGCTATTTTGGTTAGCTCTTTTTCACAAGTGGACGAGGAACAGAAAACACGTTTAATTAATCTTCACGGCTTAAATAAATTATTTAACCGGCACGGCGTTATTGCAAAGCACGTGTCGTTCGGTCACTGTTGCGTTAGGAAAAATGTTAATTTGGCAGATTTGAAAACGTTATTTCGGCATAAGCAATTGCGAAAACAAATGCCACGATTCGCTTAGTGTGGTAACATTTTTTAATTAGGGCAAACTGCAGCAGCTGTTATTCCTTTAACGTCACCCTTCATCCGAAGGTTTCCACTTTGATCCAAATGATATATTTCGCGCCAATATTTTCATTCCAACATTTTAACGGTTTGTTCCTTAAACGTGTCAGTTTTTGTTACTTCCTACGTCAATTATGGACTAACTAACAAACGGATGTTTTCGGTAGATAGACACTGTATTTTGTATTTTGATGTTCAAGCACACGTAAAGAATGTAAATAAAAACTTATAGTCGTTGGAAAAGTATAGTATGCAAAAGCTCGATATTATTATTGTTATTATTAGACTATATGAGTAGCCCATATCCTACAGTACAAAATGTTAGGCCAGTATTGGCCAATAAATCATTAAGTGTGATACACGTATTTTTTCGACGATCCAGTTCTATCAAAATATTAAATAAAATATGCAAGTCTGTATTTAAAAATATTGAGTTGATGATGGTCACACAAAAGCGAAACGTCATACTTAAAACTTAATAATGCCAACTTATAGGGATAAAAAATGAGAAAAAAAAAAGAAATTACGCACCAAAATGCTCAACTTTGCTTCTATTTAAGATCCTTCGAATTTCGATCACCGTTAATGGCTTTTTTATTATATAGTTTCCAAAAAATGGTGAAAGTAAAAGTGTGGTTGTTCAAAACAAATTTCCAAAAAAAATATACATTATACAGGGCGTTTCAGATATACTGAACATAATTGGTTTTTATTAACTTGCAATTTAATTTTGATTTTTGAATTTTTTAAAAAGCTTAACCTAACCTTACTTTTACAACTCAAAGTTTCTAATGCCCTTAAACATAAATTGTTAAGCCCTATTCAAAAGGTCCAACTTAAAATTGTGAATTGTTAAAATAAAATGGGGTGACATTTGAAATTTAGATATAATACGCCTACCAAGAAAAGAGAAAAAAGGTGTAACGTCTCACAAATTCTATGGTGGTCATTTGTGATTCTTGCGAAGACGATAAGACTCCAGCCAGCATGTTCCTTAACAAAAATATTTTTTTGCGGACGTAACATAAATGCAAAGAAAGAGTGTTCCCGTTTTTAATGGAAATGAATTCTTTCTTTGCATATTTATCTAGAAACTGAGAATAAACTTCTGATGACAGCTGGATGGGTGTACAAATTTTTCTTAAAATGCACCCATAATTATAGCGGATAGTAATAAATCTTATATTGATTTGTAATAAATAATTATAAAACGCCAGCTACTTTTGATCAATTAATTTAAAGTGACATGTTATTAACGGCATTCCAATTACCATTATATGGCGACGTTAAAAAGGAAAATAAACTTTTTAATTTAGCTTCCAAACACTAACTAACTTTGATTACCGTTTCTCGTGACTGAATTTTCTATAACAAATTTTTCTTTGATGGCGTTCTTATCCAGACGACGTATGATTTTTAATACAGAGCTGGTTATTCTCGAAACGTACGTAACATGAAATTTGTGACTCTTTGCTTTTTGCTGTACTATTCATGCTTTAGTAACTGTCAAAATTGGAAATGGAAGACCGAAAAAAAAATTCTTAATTCGGAAAACTCAACTTGCGCTACTTTTTTTACGGACGCAGTTGCTCAACTGATAGTAGATTACGCAAAATGGAGAAACATTCCTCATTTGTATGTGGTCGATGAGATGATTAAAACAGGTACCATTTGGACAAAAAAATTATTATTACTCCAAAGACAACCGGATATTCAAATTTATGTCGTAAAATTAAACGAAACCATTTCTCGCATAATATTATTTCTTTCACGTGCCCGCCTTCTCCGGCCAAACAGGTTTGTTTTTAGGGTGTAATTTTCAAGCGTTCAGAAAAAGAATGGATTGCTTTACATCTAACGGGATATCTGTCAGCCTAAAAAAGAGTCTCTATATTCAACAATTTTCGGCGATTACGAGAAGTCAAGTACTCATTGTTACGTTTATTGACTCCAAATTTGATACTGACAAATATATGGAACAGGTGAGTTATGGTATTTTATGAAGATAGAGAGTATATAAAAAATGGGATAGTCAAGGCTGACAACCAAGTCGACTTTGATGTTTTACTACTTTGCGATTTGCGAATATTTTGAGTGTGTTGCCCTAATTTACACATTACACGTATTTTCGGTTCCAACATTTGGAGTCGGGTACACACAAAATTTTCATTTGCAAAAAATCCATATGCTCCCTTATTTGAAATAGTGTGAATTTTGATTATACCCATACGAAACAAAAGAGGACCATTTGGCAACGCTGGCATTCTCAGCTTTCAGTCAATCAAATTTTAGCGCGGATAAGAATATTATTTTTAAAAATTTATTTATTGATATCGTTTTGTTAACAAAATACATATTTGTGCTTGCGTTTTCGGTCACGTACATTCTGAAAGTGCTTTGAATTCAAAGATATTTTTTAGCGCATCTGAATATCACTAACATTATCTGGGGCTATGATGATATTGTAGCCGCTCAAACCAATGACAAAAATATTGTTTTGTAAGCGCCCTTTGACCTTTAGGCCCTTTGAGGCAATTTGAGCTTTATTGCGGACAGTATCTTCAAAATATATTTGTTTATTATATAAAATTAAATGCAAATATTTTAAGGGTAGGACATGTGTCCTAATTTGTTATGTTTTGGGTGTCAAAGTACTTAAAAAAAATGTTTTTCTATTAATTACACTAAAACTCTTTAGTTGATAGCGAAAAAGCTTAACACGCTTATTTGTTGTCATAAGCATTTGTATTTTGTTTAATTAAAATCAAATAATTCACTTCGAGAAGTTGATGAAATTGAGAATGATCAATTGTTAATAATTGTATTTTGGAAAGTTAACTTAATTAATTAATGAAACATTTTTCTTCCTTCCGACTTTTATTTTGTATTAACTTTCGTTTTCAAGAGAAAAATTCAAAACCGTTGCCCTGCATGTTCTTGGAATTATTAATTACTTATTTAAGTTGGTGCAGGTTCGACAACCATGTCAAATGCACCTAGAATAGTTTGAACCACGGTTTGGTATGACCTCCTAAGCAATTGTTCAAACTCAAATATATTTGAAAAACTGACTTAGATTTTTATTGGTCTACAAATTAAATTAGAACAAAAAATGTTCTGATTTTCACAGTTTTTAAGGTTTTATGACAGCTGTTTTGGCAAAAACCGTGCCTTTATCAAATACAAAATATGACTATATTCCAACACATATATAAAAACAGGTAGTAATAGATTTTTCATTACATTAATTAAAAATCTAATACTACCTGTTTTTATATATAAATGACATTAATTAAAAATCTAGTACTACCTGTTTTTATATATAAGTGACGGAATACAGTCATATTTTGTATTTGATAAAGACACGGTGTTGCCGAAACAGCTGTCATAAAGCATTAAAAACTGTGAAAATCTGAACATTTTTTGGTCTAAATTAATTTGTGATAGATTTTTGTATTATTAGCAAATAAAGCTAACAATCAATCAATAATAATACAGCAGTAACTATTAAATGCTATTGAACTGTCATAATGTTCACTTTTAAATCATAATTTGTTTTAAAATAATCATAGGTAAAGTCTGTTCATAGATATAAGAAAGTGAACTGATACGCATTAAGGAAAGACCCTGGCAAGCTGTAAGAATGAAATATGACCGAACAGGTCCGTACTCTGCTTAGAATTTAATTATTTGGGGATTTGTTAGGAAAGATACTAAACAATATTTATTTATTTATGTATGTATTTATGTTTAAATCTAAAATAAAATTACAAATTATTTTTGTTACGTACTTAAATTACTTAAAATTATTCACATAATACAATCACTATCGCTATCATCGCCTGTTCTAATTATTATTTGTTCTATATTATTTGCAATATGGATATGGGATTGTTCTGATTTTTCTATATGTTTAACAGAATTTGCCCAACTTTGTGGAGGGATGTTACAAACTTCGGTTTCTATAAGTTTGAGGATATTGGAGTTAACACGGAGAAAAACATTGTTACGACTAATGACAGATTTCAGTTGGTGCCAAATATGTTCACTGGGATTAAATATACAGTGGTAAGGTGGAAGCCTTAAAACTGTATGCCCTAGATTTTTTGCATAATTATCACAGACGTATTCCTTTTGTAGGTTCAAGCCTTGTAGAACCTCAATTAATTGCTGTTTGGTATAATCTTCGTTAAAATAAATGTCGTTATTATACATGTAGTTTTGGATTGTTGCTTTTGTGTCACATGAGGAAGGGGTTTTAGTCAACTGACTACTGTGATAACTTGCATTGTCCATTAAAATTACGCCATTAGGAGGAATGTTTGGAACTAGTTAGTTTTTAAACCAACTTTCAAATAAATCAGCGGTGGTGTCTTCATGGTAATCCAGAGAAGAATCTTTAATATTTTTCTCAAACAGAGAAACTCTATTTGGGATCCAACCATCTTTAGAGCCAGCATGCAAAATAGTTATTCTTTTACCTCTTTTTGATGTCGCGTTTGTTTTACACTCATTAGTTGAGTCAACCTAACCAAGTAAATAATTGGCCTTTGTTGTTCTCTGTAAATCCAAATTTTTTCTAGATATTCCAGTAGCCATTTCCGAATTCAAAAAGATTCCATTAAAATTTGCGTTTTGTCAATTTTTTTAAATCTAAAACCCATGTGTTGAATACACTTACACCGGTTTCATCTTTTAATTGTTTCTTTCTAATTAAGATATCTAATGTAGGCAGGCTTTGTTCCTCGTATAACTGGTAAATTTTACGCCTTTTTATTTTTTTATTTTATCTTGATCACTTTCATCTACACTCGAGAAAATGTCAGCATCGCTTCTTTTTTTCCTCGCTGAAAATTCACAATTTTCCATACAGCTGATATTGGAAAGTTCGTCAATGTGGCCGTTTCTTCTAAAGATGCTTGCTTGCTGGCACCACGTTCAATGAGAGTCAAATAAACATTGTTTATAACTTCCTTAGTTTCAATAGAATGGTGTTTTCTACATTTGGGCGGGAGCGTCTCCTGAGATACACTAGACTCGCACATATTTTGCATAATTCGCACACGATTCAACACACGCTATATTACACACGAAATAAGAATGATTACTAATAAACTTAAACTAAGTAGTATACCAAACCAAAGAATATTAAACCCAGCTAGGTATAAAATTATTTTCTATTACGGACCACAATTTTACCTGAATTTAAATTCCGAAACTTTAGGTAATTATCCTGTTGCATTGTATGTTAATGACCACCCTTGAACAATGCCATTCAAAAACAATTGGTCACTTTCTTATATCTATGAACAGACCATACATATTATGTTAAATAGATCTAGAATTTTCATGCTTTCATTTCTATTTACGCAGTAGTCGAGACCTAATAAATGTTATTTCTTTTGTACACCGCTTTTGAGCAGTAAAAGACATTTTTTGAAAATATTTAACAGTTACATTTGTATGGAAAATGTTAAAAAAAAATTCTGAAATACCAGGCATAAACGCTGTAGACTTTTTTTGGGGAGACAATCAATTAGAACTGGCGGCTAACTACAAGAATGAATCCAGTCCTAACATTTATTAGAAAATACAACAAGATTTTGTTTATGTGGAAGAAAACGATTTACACTAATGAACACGTTTTACGGAATTGACCTGAGTTAATTTTACTTTTTATTAATTAAAATTAAACAATCAAAAAGTAAACAAAAAAAAGCGAAAATAATTTGATATATTAGGTTTTTAATGTTTAACATTTATATCACTTATTTTTTTACTTAAAAACGGTGCAATGTTTAGATAAAAATCAAGAGGTCAAATAAATCAAAATAATTTTGTTTTGCTGAGAAACAGATTCATTTTTTTAAATCCGTGTTCCATACTGTTATCGTAATTTTGAAAAAAAAATCACTTTAAAAAATAGCTTTTGCTGCTCGAAAGTAGTGTACAAAAAGTTAGCTTGGAAAATTCTGAAAAAAAAGGTTTTTTTCATAGAATTGATTACAAGAAACAATTGGTACTCTGACTTAAGTTAAGGGCCGCTAATTGTGGAGTACCAAAAAAACTCAATTGCTGTAAACTTAAGCGATAAATTTTAACTCGTTTGGAGAATATTACTAGAAACTGTTTTTTATCAATGATTCATCACTTCATTTATAGGTTAGTGTAATATCAAGCTACACTTTTGCGATATGGTTCAATATTCTTTCCGACGGGGACGTGTTATCTTCAACGGAAAATAACTTGCTCAATGTAATTCGGTTCTCGCCTCTTGACCTGTCAGATGATTTGGTTATCGCCGTTAACATGCTGCGAGCACGACCGAAACAGGTACCTATCAAACGGCTCACGAAGATAAGATGTGTGAAATAAACGTAAAATACATTCTTTTATATTTCTTCTTGGTTTTGCTAAGCAACTGAAATGCTGCCCCTAAACTGTTTTTCTATATGAGGCATGTGTTTTCTGTGTAATTGAATTTGTAGTTGTTTTTAATTACTTTACGTACTTTTACCGATTTCTTATATTACCATTTTAGACCCGGCATAGACATATAGCGAAGGAGAGTGTTGGACCAAGTTATTCTTTCTTCATAAAAAACCCACAAGTGTTACACTCATAATCTTTAAAGTATTTGTGTAGAAAAACAGGGCTTAACTGTGGTTTTGGAAGATAATGATAATCATTAATACAGAAATACAGCTACTATCTCAGAGCCATTACCTAATGGTTGCTGAAAGTAAAAAAAAACTTTTGTGTTAGTGAGCGTTTATGACTTCAGCTACCATAAGCATTCATTTATACTTATGCCGGTAGCAATATTCACTTGCCAACAACCCAAAAAAAACCGCAACTTACACGCTTTCAAAGATGAAGTATATATTATTGTTTATTTTACAAATGATGAAGCTTTTAGGCAGGGAAACGATAGCTATGTTAAAAAATCAATTTTTTCGCCACAAATATGGCAAATAATACGAAAATATTAGTTCAAAAGTCCCATACTTCCGAAAAATGTTCTGGTAATTTGCAGCTTGTAATTAATGATCTATTTACAAGTTTCTTTTAATTTCATCCGGGTTACTTTAAATATTAACCAGTTTGGTACTCGTGCGTGCATAATAATTTTGTTTGATAAAAAATCGGTTGTTTTAGATTAGTTAATAGCAGTCATCAGATGCAATTTGGATACGAAGTAGATGATTGACAAATTGACGATAATAATACCGAAACTTCAAACTTTTTAAACTATTCTGCTAAACTACGTGTCTTCGTGATTAAATTACCGACATCCTGCTGACTTAAAATCGAAATTTATGAGTCACCGCATAGCTGTCTACAGAAAAATTAACTTTTGTCCAGAAAACTACTAATTGGATTCCACCCTTAATTAGTTCAATAGCGTGGAATATTGCGAAGTTGCTCAATATGAGCTGTTGTTTATTGACACATCTTTGCTGTTATACAACGGCTCGTTTCATTGCCGTTAGCCTTTCGTTTATTTGTAAATAAAATTAATACTCAGGTATATTAATTACCTGCCGACAAAATACCAATATATTCTAATTCGAAACGCATTCAATTAAGATACATTCGGTAACGTTTAACTAAGCCCACAACAGAATGGCGTAGGTGGATGAACTTTAATTTTTTGCTGTTGAATTATGAAATTTGTCTTTACACTATTTATTTTTGTAAAATACTCAGCAAACACTCGAATTAATTAAATAAAAATTAATTTAAATGCTGAACAATATTTTATAGTAATTAGTCAGTTAATATGATTATTCTTTAATTTTAGAAGTTTAATTTTAGAATGTTCTGATAAAATATTTCGTTTTAGGTCGTACTTAATTGCCAAAGAAAACGTACAAAATTAGCACTGCTTGACGACATAAATACAAAGCCAGTTGAGTTCCTTTTGCCGTTTGTAAAATCTCAACACTCCAACGTCACAGTAACTGCTCCGCGCATGGAGCAATTTTGTAAATATGAAAATGACGCCCGCGATACTGTTTACTGTATCCTTCAAACGTACAAGATACGAAGAACCTCAAACACATCCTTAGCCGTCGCGCCATTAGGTTGGTCTCAAATAATTATGATCACAACAAATCTTTAATAAAAAACATATGATAAAAAAAATAATTTACTTATACTTAACTTACAAGCTAATTAGTATATTCATCAGTATCTAGTAGTTCAATTAATTTTATATGCATACCTATTAAAATAAGTTAGTCAGTTAGTCAGTCAGTATCACCAGAAGGGTTTCATTAAAAGCGAAAGTTATGATAAATAAAATTTCATGTGTGCTTTAGAGGGCATCATACATGGCCTCTTTAGAGCGCAATGGAATAATCAGTAGCAATAGGATGATGACTAATTTTCTAAATTTACATTTCAACAGCAATAACATCAGTCGTAAGGCGAGAGACAATCAATATTCTACTAAAAACTACGGTTGAAAATTTGCATTGTTGAAAAACAAACAAATATTTAGTGTTCTGTCGAATTATCATTATCATACAACAATGAGTACCGCATTTTAAATCTGTGAACCAATAAAAATATTACATAAAAGTTTTAATCATTTGAAAAATTTTGAAATAACAAAAATTTTTACGATTACTATTATTCACGCCAAAAAATACAACAATAATTCCTTTGGCATTTTTAAGACAACCTATGATATGATAAGGCAATAATGGGTAAGGAATTACTTGGAGTTTCATATATATCTATAACCATAGGACCTGTTTTGTTAATTCTGTAACGGTTTCAAACTAACCGTTTTTTCATCTCATCAGTCGACAGTTGACAGTTTAAAACAGTTCCAGTGTTAGCGAAACATATCCTCTGCCCTCTGCTTATATGTGAGAATCCTAGTAAACATTTTGTCTTTTAAAAAACAATGTTGTAGATTAGACTAATCATAAATGAAGTTCTAATTATTTTTCGATCTGGAATTCTAGTCAGAATATCTACTAAACAGATAAACTGTATTAAACAAGATCAACCAACGTTATTGTTCTTGTTTTGCAGTTTGTGATTAAAATCTTGATCGGCAGAAAGGATAAATGGCATTCGATAAAATCAATTGCGATGTTTGGTGGACGTACGACAGTATATTAGGTATCTTTATCGATAATAATCTACAACGGAATCCAAACGAATTGACCTTTGATTGATGATATACTGTTTGCTAAAACCAAATTTCAAGTATATGGAATTTAAAATCCTCGACCTTTGTACAAATCGCACTTTTGAAGACTACTACTCATTTAGCTGTATTCTTTGGCTAAAAAAATAAGGTAGACATTGTTTTAGGTTTTTGGACGCTTGAAAATGGTACTGAAAATTTAAGATCGTTTTTACCGGTGGAGCGTAGACTAGATTTTCACGGATTTCCATTAATTCTGGGGAAAAAGAAGTACACTCAAGATGCCACTGTGGCAAATGAAAACATTATCGAAGAAAACAATGATCCGGATAATATGGAAAAAATAGCGGATTACATCAGATCATTTTTGAATGCCAAGTAAGGAATATTTTTTTAATATAATATAATGTATTAATTTAAATTATTTTAATTAAAATTATTGAGTGATTTTTCATTACTGCAAAGAACACTTAAAACTAAATTATGTCCATGTAATATTTTTTATGACAAATCACACTGCCCCCCTAATAATAAACAAACAAGTATATTCCAACGCTATTTTACATTTCCAAAGCTCCCTTAAGCAGCAAAATATTTTTATTACATTTGCTACGTGCGTCACACCATGCCCATTAATTCTATAGTTACGACGGTTCGAGTCGTCTCCTAATCTGCGATCGATATTATCCAAATCGTCTTACTGACACTTTAATTATTATTAAAAAGGAATCGGCAATAATAATGGAAAAGTACAATTTAACCGTCATAAGACAATAATTCCGTCTAATTCTTTACAGTTTCATAAGGCATTTGTTTGAAGGTCATATACAATTACGAAGTTTTAGCAAATAATTTTGCATATTAGGTTTGTGTGGATACCACTATCAGGAAAATGTAACCTTAAATTGTGAACTGTAGATAAGCACGCATGACCGCACCCTGTCTCTCTGTTTTTTATCAACAATTTAGGCCTAACATTAATTCAATTTTTGTGACCAATGAAGACAATTGCGGGCACTTCTACGATCTAAACATAGAGAGCAAACAGAGAAAATAAATACATGTATTTTTATATTGATCAAAATAGTGGATAACATGACATCGTCGTATGCAAGTTTTCACCAGCACTAGATTTTGCTTTCCCATTACACTTATATTAACGTTTGAGGAAGTTTTCGAAATGGTTTTTAAATCATTCAACAAGTCAACAATTTTGAGAAAAAAAATACACATAACATATTTACAATGCCCTGCGAAAGCATTTTATCCAGTTTGTCATAAAACAGTCATAAAACACTCAGTTGCTCAAGATCAGAGATAAACTTGGCCACTAGGAAACAGGGTGTTGGCTCCGCTGCTATTTGCCTTATATGTCAATGACGTTTTCGAAATTTATATTCAGGCTTTCAAGTGCGCTGTGGGAAAGATAGTGTAGTTAGTGCGGACTTCTGTGGCGATCTCAAACTCATTGCATACTAATAATGCTAACAACAATTAACTTTGAAAAAATAAATTTATGATATTCTCGGTGTATGAAGATAAATTTCATTACATGCTTTTAAACCTCTCATGTAATTTGAATTTCTAAAGATCGCATAAAATTAATATTTGAAATTGAACCTGCAGCTAAACTCAACTAAACTCAATTTAAGTATACCTTACAAAATCATCGCATTATGAAATTCGCAAAGCAATTATTTTCTGGCATATGTTTCTAAAAAACGTTTTACTTGTTCAAATTAATGTAATTATATTAAATCGCAGTATTAGTGTTAGTATTCGGTACATGTTTGCAAAATAAGAACTGACAAATGTCAAAATACCATCAGTGTTTTCAACCTGCCGAAGTGGATCGCGACAGGTTTAATGAAGCCGACTTCTTAAAGTGACATTTTACACACGCCTGATAATTGTGCATTTTAGAGTAATCGAACAAATTTTAAGATTCGTTTTACTTGCATATGTCGTTCTTGTACAATAACTCAATAACTGATTATATTATTTCTTTAAAATTCATTTTTGCATTTTGATATCACAAACAGTTTTTTGATAATATAGTCGTATATGATGCCCATAAATAAATTAAATATATTTTCTTGGTAATTGTTTGAATTTATAACAAAATGCTATTTCTTATTTGTAAATCCTTGATATTATTTTTATCTGTTTCACTTTAGGGAGCGGGATATAACATATGTAAGTCTGGGATTAAAAGGGACAAATGACGAATGGAGCGACCTGTTGGGAGCAGTAGTTAAACAAGAAGTCGATTTAGGCTTGGACACGGTTATTAAAACACCCGAGAGATACGAAGATATGTCATTTTCGCATAACGTCATGTTATCTATGTAAGTGTTATATTGAAATAATATCGAAATTTATCACAAATCATAGTCCAAGTTTCGCGATTTATTTATAAACATAACACCTAATCGCTTGGTGTGATAAGGGAAAACTTTGAATTATTATTTATTTTATTGTACTTATGTAGATTTTTTTCAGACGAAACATTTACCTGAAGCCTGAAGAGTCGCACTCAGCCCGAGATATTTTTCTCGTTCCGTTCGGGAAGAAATTACTGCTCTCATTGGTTGCTACCATCATTATAATCGCCATCGTCATGGCGATTTATTTGAGATCGTTACAACGAACGAATTCCTCCAAAAATGTTTTGGGTCAGCGATGTTTCTCTGACTCTGCCGTCTGGTGTTTGGCTGTGTTTAGTATGCAGGGTAAACGTCTGAATAATTTAATGCCGATTTTTGTCCATTATAATATGTTTTTTTTTTGGTATTTGTAAGTTTTTGACACAAGAAAGAAAACATTTGGGAAATGCTCACAAACAACAAGGGTTATTAAAATATAATTTAATGTATTGCTTTTATTGGTTACTGAAATTTGTAAACTTCATGACTACTTTCATTCGAAAAGAAATTACTCCTCTTATTTGAGACGTTAAATTGGGCTCCTCTAAAAATGTTTTGAGTTAAAGCTGTGTTTTACCATTTTTAGTTTCCAGGGTCAAGAGAATAATAAAGATTTATGCTAAAACGATTATAAATATTTAAATTGGTTTTAATTTAAAAAAAGGTTGAATGTATTACTTTTATTCCTTATTGAAATTTGTAAACATTAAAACTGCCACCTTGTCGACGTTACTAACGATCTTTTTATCAATGTTGAAAAACTTTTTTTGTCGGCTTTTTTGTAATAAGCTGATGACGGATTCTTGTCAGGGAGTACTTAAAATATATCCAGCGGAGAGAAAAACTGAAAAAAATATTTTTTTTTATAAAGGAATTTTTGAAATATTTCAGGATCCGCAATATTTAAAAAAAGTCAAAAGGTAGACCAACCGAACTATTTAAATTTTATTTTATTTACAACTTACAATAAAAGTATGTTAGGCAACAAGTTTGAGAAACACAGTTTTAGTCACTAGTTTCATTAGACACGAGCGGAGCACAGCGGAGCGAGTGATCAATAAACATCCTATGGCTAGCAATCGCGAGACTAAAATACCGGAAACGTCCAGAGCTGATTGGATATTTTGTTAACTGTTTAGTGTGGGTTAGTTCACAGTATTGACTTTAATTAGCTATTTCTTTATAAATATGTAGTATCTTCCCTCATGATAAATTTTCTTTTCGGTAGTAAATGAATGATGAAGTAGGAACTGCATGGTTATCTATTTTTAATAAATCCCCTCATAAGTAAAAACATAATTGAAATCTTTTCTTAGACACCCTGTGTTGTGTAACATTGAAATTAAGTATCAGTATGTTTTAGGCGATCGTCTATACGAATTTACCATCAGTTTTTTTCTAGAATATCTCTAACAGCACATAAAATTTCAGCCTATAAAAGTGGCTGTAGTAACAACAAACAAAAAAATTATCCACTAATTCATTTCGAATTCGATTTTACCATTATATATTAAATATCATATCGTATATCCTGGCTTATTTCTCTTCCCGTTAATCAATAACATTGCCGCCACTGATTTATAATTATTATTGCGTAGAGTGAGATCACATCTTGTTTATCAAAAAGGAATTGCGCTTGTATGAACGACAATTTTATACCATGGCTACCAATTGTTTTAATTCCCATGATTATCAAATATTGCAAAATGAGTTGATAAAATAAGTATGCATCGTATTTAGATATTTGCATCATTTATTATTATTTATTAACATTTTAAGGTTATCTTCACAACGTCCCCATTGTAGGTGGCGCTATTTGTTTATAGCTTACAACTTTAGTTTCGATTTTGTAGTTTTCTACATCGTCAAATTGAAGCTATTGGTTATGTTTCTAATGATCTGGCACTATGAAAATGAATTATTTTAATGACCAAATAAAATTTTTAGGTAGCTTAATAAAACCGAAAACATATTCAGGAAATGTTATTGTGGTTACATCGTTATTGCTTGCCTTGATAGTATACAATTCATACCAGGCCTTCATCACCTCTGTGCTGTCAATAAAACTCACTAGTATTCGCACTGTAAGCGATTTACTAGATAGTGATTATGATATCGGCTACACGAAGAATAGCCAGGACGAAATTTTTTTACGAGTAAGTAACAGCAATATTTGATCGTTTATGAAATTCACGATTCATAGCCTTAACTTAACTTAACTTAACACCATAATTTCCGTTACCAAGTAAAATGGTTTAAGTTTCAATAAATATTGGCACTACGTATAATTGCTATTTATCGACAGCTCTGGGGGTATTAATTTAAATTGTACAATTTTTATGTTTAGTTGCTTTAAGTTGTTTTGATTTTGTTTCTTGGCCAAAAATTCTTTGCATTATCGTGTCATGTTATTAAATGGAATAGATAGTATTTTAATAATTAATCCCTACTAGCAATGATTCCTTTTTTAATTACTTTGTCGTTTGACCTGCGCATCCGGCAGGAATTCAAATTTCTAAAGTGGTGTGTATTATGTTATATTTTTATTTTTGAATGTTGTTTTATTTGAGTCCATGAACAACGTGTCTCAATTGAAAGAAATTTATCTGCGAGGATATTTACACAACAATATAAAGAACATTACCGAAGGACTAATAAAGGCAACGAATGGAAATTATGGATTTTTTGCGACAAATCATTTGGCGCGGAAACAGCTTCTAAAAATTAGTAGCTACAAATGTAAGTACGAAATTATGGAAATTCCCATTGCATCTACAATGAAGAGCGTCGCTTTTCCTATGGCAAAACACTCTCCATATAACAAGCTTATCAATTTATGGTGAGTTCCGCAAGTAGAGATGTAGCTAGTAAGATTAGTGTATGATTTGGGATATTACATTAGTTTTGCCCGTTTTGAGTTTTTAATTTTTCTGTTTGATGGAAAATGTTTTTCAGTTTGAGACATGAGTTTGTATTGTTATAGCCTTATAAAAATGTATGAGTCCGGAATACACGACTATATAATTACACTGATCGCACCCGGCTTACCAGCCTGCAATAAACCAAGAACTTATCAAAGTGCGAGGATCAACGATTTAACTACAGCTTTCGCCATATTGGGTCTGGGTGTTATGCTATCAATGGGAATACTAATAGCAGAGAGACTTTGGAAAAACAAAAATAAGGTTTTTAGGTTTCTTAAGGGCGATCGACATGGCGTACGCCCTTTTCATTTCACAAAATAAAGAAAAACTGGACCAACTGCATAATGTTTTCGGCATGGAACCTGAGTATTGTAGCTGGTATTTAAAGTTATGAATAGAGCATTAATCAAAAGTTAAGTGGTTTCAGTTTTACAGAGTCTTTTCTTAATCTTCTTTTTTTGGTAATTCTATATACGAACCAATATTTAAATAAAATATGTCACTAACTTAGCCTAATGTTAATAAAATAAATGCTAGAAATAATAAAAAGGATTGATAAAAGATTATATATTTTGAAACGGAACGCCCTACATATTTTTACATATTTTGATTTTGTTGATGTTTATCTTAAATTCAGTAACATCTTCGTTGAGTACCAATCCGTTAAATAGATGGTCGTCCAATATTTGCATTTTCGTTGACTACTAAAAGTAACATTTTGGCGTATTTTCCTCAGTGTTTTTGAAAGCGAGAAACTATTTTCGAATGTCCTTCAACCAAAATATCTATCGATCAAAGCCGTAACACAAACAAATGATAATTACACATATGCAAAAAAAATCAAATAATAATTTGCAACCATAGACTGCACATATTATTTAGAGAAAACAAAAATAAAAGCCGTGTGCTTTAAAAATAAGAACTCAGTCCGTAAAATTTGCAATACTTTAATTAAGACCGTCTATCCATAGTTTTGCGGCATATTGATCCTGCAACTGTAGACTTTGTTAAAACATATTATTTTTATTCATGGATATTCAAAATTATGCTGAGAATGGGTGAGCGATAAGCTGTACAAAATAGTGTTGAACGATTTTATGTGAAAATTTCAAAGCAACTATGGTTTGCTTTGAGTAAAAGGTTTAATTTAAGAATAAAAAACGAGCACTGATATTGGCTCATGATCCCTCTGCCACAAGAACGTGTTAACAAAATTTCAACGAAAGTTGCGTTGACAACGTCACCATAAATAAATATTACAAAAATTATTAAATAAATAAAAATATTCTGAAATGATTTACTCACTTGGGCATTATACTTCCAAAATACGATAATAACCTGACAATTCTATAGCATCCATTCGAAACCACCAATTACGAAACTGCGTTGCGTACAAGAACTAAGTAAACCATTTCTAACGAGATTCTCCAGTTTTATACCACCTAAATTGTGAAAAAGCTTATTACAGTTTAGAGTGTAGCCGTCAAAATAATTTAGAATTAATTTGATACGCGGGCAATTGCCCATCAGTAAAAGCTTATTATATTTGGCTAATAACGCCCCTTAATTAGTTGACCGTCTCTAACTGTATACGTCTATTCGGGAGGCGCTTTTATAATTGACCTTCCGGCTGTCTCGCAAATGTAACATTACTTAGGTGTCATTTATAATTTTCAAGTATATATAAGTAAGTTTACAAGTATATTTAATTTTCCGGATGATTCATCTTCGTTGAAATTAAAATCATTGGTAACTTTTTAACTAAAACAGACCTTTGAGCAACAGAATAAAACACTATTTTCCCTTCTCCAAAAACGGTAAATAAATTAATTAAGGTTTTAAAAATTGCCCTCTCCTATGCTTTGTTTGTTTGGAATATGACATAGATGTAAACGTACAATGACCACGAGTTACCGTAAGTTGAGCTACACTAATCGATCAGATAATAACAAATGACTTCAACGTAGAGGAGGTCCCGAGAAGCTTTCCTGTCATCAGTGATCACGAAACTATTGGCGTTCAAGTGGAAGTTCGAAGCAAGGCACTAGTAAGTGAGGATGTTTATATCAGAAATCTGAGTTCTCAAAATATTAATCAAATACGGGAAGCACTTATTGGTCAAAATTGGAATTACACAAAATATATGTGAATTTTATAGGAATTGTAGGAGCGCTTGATAGGATATCTCCGCTCCGCAAGACCCAATCAAGAAAATATCCGTGGTTTTCATGTGCGATAGGACAGGCGCAACGTGTTAACACGTTAGCAAAAAGTTTAAATGCACCAAAAGTGAAGAAGACTGGGAAGAATATAAAAGAAAAATAAATAACGTTATTTCAGTTATCAAAAATGAAAAACAAAGATACTATAACGAAAAAATTGATGATTGCAAGGGAAATCGAAAGAAAATGTGGCAGACATTAAAAGGACTTGTTGGAAATAAAAATAAAAAAGCAGATTTTACCAATATTGATTTTGGACATTACAGTGACAGAGAAGAAGAAAACATGAATGACTTTTAAACCGATAGCTTAAATGAAATAGCAGAGAGTATAGAAAACAAGCAATGGCACTCTGTGGGTGACATGGTCAGCTGTAGCTTGTCTTGCTTTAAAAAAATAACGATATCGGAGCTTGAAAAACCTATAAATAACCTAAAAAATAGAAGTACAAGTGACTCTGTTATAAATATTAAGCTCGTCAAGGATTTATTTTGTGTAATAGGTTATCCGTTGTTATATTTGGTACATGCGTTTTTAAGTGCCGGAAAAATCCCTGATAAACTAAAAACAAGCATCATAGTGCCCATACTTAAAGTGTCAAAACCGAAAACACCTGGTGATTTTCGACCAATTAACTTGCTGCCAGTAGTGGATAAATAAAATCCTGGAAACGATAGTGTGTGGGCAGTTGAGAGACTACCTGGAGCGGAACTGCCTACTCTACAGTGGACAGTCTGGTTTCAGGAGCAAACACTTGTGCGAATCTGCGTTGCAATGTGTGCAGTGTGGCGGAAAGACATGAATGAATCAAAACTAATTCTGAGTGTTTTTGTAGATTTTAAACGTGCATTTGAGGCTATTATCAGGGACATTCTTATTACAAAATTAGGTATATATGGTATTAAAGACTCTGCACTAGAATGGATAAAGAACTTTTTATCTATTAATTAATAATGTTTCTAGTCATAGGGAAAGCAGATGGGGAGTACCGCAGGGAAGCGAGTTGGTCCCGCTTTGATCTATTATTTATATAAATGATATGTATCAGGTTTAAAAAAAACTCTTTTGTTAACTTATTTACTGATGACACGTTTATTTTAGTCTCTGGAAACGATTGCAAAGAAATAACTACCAAACTGAATACCGAAATGCAGTATTTCTACGAATGGCTGTGTCAAAATAAACTGAAATTAAATAGCTCCAAAACCAAGTGCATGGTTATCGGTTCTAAGGTTAACTGTCAAAAATTTTATAAGTCGGGATATACAGGTTAATAAAATTGAGTTTGTTTCCGAAATTAAATATTTAGGGGTGATCTTGGATCCACAATTATGCTTTAGTAATCATGTTGAATATCTATACAAAAAAATGGGTAAGAAAATAGGGTTTTTTAACAGTGTATCGCGGTTTTTATTTTGCCTCATTTTCATATGTTTGTTCATTGCTAATATCTTGTACAAAAGAAGATTTAAATAAGTTACAGGTACAACAAAACAGGGTTATGAGAATCATCCTGAACTGTGATAGATATATTTGTATAAAGAGTATGTTAGACCAGCTAAATTGGCTAAATCGACTAATTAGAAGAGCAAGTTTAATGTTGGTTTATGGAATTGCGCACGTTCACCAACCAGGCTATCTTAAATTATGGTTCGAAAAAAGGTCAAACTTTTATCAATATAATATACGTTCCAATCAGCACTTCAATGTTTCTATGGTAAAAACAAAAAATTTACAGAAAACTCTATTCAACGATGGTGTTTGTAATTTTAATGAACTGCCGGATAATATTAAGGGCGCGCCTTGCCCAAGAGTGTTCAAGAAGAGACTTACGGGGTATTTGCGAAGTTTATAGTTTTGTTTGCAAATTTTACTTGCTTATGTAAATAGCCAAGTGCTAAATAAAATAAATAACTAAATAAAACTTGAGACTGATACCACCTCTATAAACCGTTTACTGCAAGAAATGTTGTTTGTGATGATAGTGGTTGGTGTTATTATAGGTGATACTTTGCTTTTGTGAAAATCACCACAAGAATAAATACAAAATATCTCAAAACTATTATTAATAATTACTACAAAGTAAATGTATATTTCTAATAAAGAAAACGAATGTTACAAGAGGAAAAATTATGTACTAATAAATTCACAGCAAACAAAATTACTATAAGGCTTGTTCCATGTTAACGTATCTTAGAATATAGTATGTTGGGTTTGAAATTGTTTGGATTAGAAGATTCCCCAGGTCTTACAGATGCTAATTCTCACGATGGAATATCATTCTATAACAAGAAAGCCACCTTATATCATAGAAGAAAGCCGATAGAAATATTAATTTAAGGACCATTTTTAAATAACTTCTAGGTTTTTTAGATATGATATGAAATTCTATTAATAATTTTGTGCTATGTATCTAATCTAAATAACAGGTGTTTTTTTGTGACGATTATTATCTATAAAAATTAGTGTGTATTTATTTGGTGGCGTATCGATTTTCATCCCTGGAAAGTCTGTTTTAGTTTGACCGTAGGGGAAAGTTATAACGAAACCAATTTACTTTTTGTAAACACTCTTTCGACCTGTTCCGTTCGACGGTATTGTCGGTAGAAGTATTAGCCCGGTCTTCCATAATGCGTTAATGTAAAGAACAAAAAAAATGTCTCCTGAAATACATCATACATCACGTATGGGCATTGCTCAATGATTTATTTTATTTTTTTATAGTACTTTTAACTGTAAATGAAACCGAAAAAACTATGTGAAATAAATATATTGTTTCGGTTTTTTCGTCCTACAGAGTAAGAGTTAAAGAGCGTTGGGAAAGTATGTTCGAGAATTTAATCTAGGCCTTCTCGACAATTAGAGGGTTGGTCATATACGTTAAGATATTTCGGTACCATAGAACTAAGTTTCAAAAGATATTAAAAAAAAAACGTTATTTTAACGCGAATTATTTAAACACCGAATATAGAAACAAATTAATTAACTAAACGGCTGGGGTTAGACAATTGAAATTTGTTTAGGTTTAAACTAAACTGAAAGTTAAATATTGTCGGCCAGTTCACAAACCGTATCTAGGTAAATACCAGATTATTACGGCCAACAATAAATTAATGAATAGCTGGTTCCGCACATGCGATGGAATTGTATGTGACACTTAAGTTTTCTCCCGAAGAGAGTTTACTTTCTTTTGAAGGACGAGTGAAAGATTCGTTGGACGTCAGTTCTGGCGCACGATTTATCGAATGCGTCTTAACTTCATCATCATTATATCATTTTCTTCAACAATTATTAATTTTCGGCAACACCACGCGGACGCGCATATTCGGTTTTAAATATCGACATGAGACGGAAATAATGCGGGAAAAATCAGATTGAAAATGAAAGTGAAATTTGGAGCAGCTGTAATTTTCTATTCCATTTTCATTGGATCCAGCACGTGCTATGTAGGAACGGTACGTAATTTTTTAATTATTTGTTCTATAGATCAATTATTTTTGTCACTTAGTAAACTTTGAATATTGATCAAGAACTTAGAGATATATTGTTTGCACGACTTAGTCTGTCTTCTTCAAAGTTATGTGGTTGTTGAGTAGTTGTTCTTCTATGAGAGTGTTCAAAATTTGACATGACACAAATAAACAACCAAATTTTAACAGAATCCGATGCACACAATATTTAGTCTGGTTAGTCTACTTCCCATAACCCGATCTTTTCTTTTATTAGGGCTTATCTTTGATGCGATTGCTGGAAGTTGATAATCTCCAGCTAAACTAGTTTTCTGGGGAAATATTAGCTTGAGTTTAATTTTTAAGTTTATTTGAAGATCTGCTGGCCTTTTTGAAAATAAACTCTTAAGGGCACCATTAAAATTATAGTTTATATTTGCCGTATTTTATGTAACGCCTTATGAAACATCTATTGTTAGGAACCGTGGTTATTATTTAAAATACAGGGTGTTACATCAAGTAGATCCATCTGGTTAAACATATTATTTTTATTCTAGAATAATATTTTCTAATGCTATTTTCAATTTCAAATATTTTCTATGGTCAGTTATATGTACTTTTTGAAGTATCTTTTTTTAATTAAATTAATTAAATAACCTTTGACCCGTTTTAGTTTTAAGTTAAAATTTAATAAGTTTTATTTAATTTTATTATTGTTTCATTTTTATGCATTATGTAAAATTTTGACTGGAAGCTTTTTTTCATATAACACATGATTTAATTTTTCTCTTTGATGCTGTAGTTGCAAAATATCTTCAAACGAAAATTGATATCAGTACACCTTGTAAAATTACGTACTATGTTTTAACAAGCCTTTCAATAAATTTACAACTGAACCTTTACTTAATTATTTCTACATAGATTTCCAATTATAGTTTATATATCTTGATTCGAGATTCAATAACACTTTCTTATAAGTAATTACTCTATGCCGTTCTTGTCTTCTTAGCTTTATAGAACTATAATAATCGCAGCGTTTCTCGCTGGAGAGATGCACGTAATTTGCAATATATTTTTTGTTTATTAATAACAAGCAATTTAAAATAAATTAAGAGGTTTGAATTAATTTGCACGTCCGTTGCATTATTCATGATCTATTTAACAATATTCTAACGAAAACTTTCACATTTGGTATTCGCACTACAATTTATCAAAAATTTTACTTTCTTTGTCTACCGAATAAAGCGGATTGGGGACTACCGGTCACCGCCGTGATCTAAATGAGTTAAATATGCAAATGGTCTTCTGGACATGCATGTTAACATAAAAGCGATCACAAATATTTCGAGGGACCTCATTTTCGGCATTGTGTTCGGTTAAGAAAAGAAACTAGCAACATTTGAAACACTATTATTTACTTTTGACAACAATGTATGTTCCAGTTATGATTATGAGGATTTACAATTTACTACTGATATTACTTTTAATTATTCCTAATAGCGGTCAGTCTCTAGAACTGTTCACCAATTTAAAATATCTTTTTAATTCAAACCATTTAATTGTTACTCCACAAGATGTACATTATCCAACTAATGTCAAATATTAGTTTCCTAAGGAAAATGTCCAACCTTTTAATTCATGATGCCATTATATATTAAAAAAAACAAAAATTTAATCCAATTATTTTACAGAATAAAATTAAATTCACTAACACAACCACACCGTTGTCTGTTAGACAAGGCCGCATATTTTTCAATCAGCTGTTTGGATTCACTAACATATTAGGAAGTGCTGATTCGATTTTGGACGATGGCGGACATGAAACTGAAAGTGAAGATGAAGATGATGGAACGACGAAAAATTGTACTTGCGGTAAGAAAGACAAAGACAAAGACATAATAATAATCACTCATATATACCTTTAGTTTCGAGCAACCATAAAAACAGTAACACAATTCAGAATTTTCACACACAACATAATATAAATGGTGGATCATCAACTTGTAAATTTTATGATCTATGCATAAAATTTCAAGCAAATTAATTAAAAGCAAAATGTTAAAGGGGGTTTTTATTATCGTATAATTCAATGTAAATTCTAAATAGATTTTTGTTACTTGAAAGCAAGTTTACTTGGTATTCATATTTTCTTTAAGGACATGAATGAAGTCAAAGAAAGAAAAAAATACTTTGATAGAGCTATAGTTAATTAAACAAAACTACCATGACATGCAAAGATTTGGTTTTGTTTTTTTTATAATTAGTTAATTTGAGTTTATTGCACTTTTAAATATTTTGGATGTATATCACAGGGAGATTTGGCAAATATTTTTCACTTATTATTGAGTTTAATTTGTTGAAACTATTTTTTTAAATGGTAGAATGTGGTCACTCCAATCATGAAACCAGAATAGTTGGAGGGCGTCCTACTGGAGTCAACGTTTATCCTTGGGTTGCGAGAATTGTTTACGATGGTCATTTCCATTGTGGTGCATCCTTGGTTTCGGAAAGTTTTGTGCTAACGGCAGCGCACTGTGTCAGAAGGTAAATTGCAACTAATTTCGGGACTCTTCGGCGATAGGGCAAATTACCATGATAAAACTGAGAAACTAAAATTTGATTTTCCTTTTAAACTTGTCCAGATTGAAGCGTTCAAAAATTCGTGTCATCCTTGGAGATCACGACCAGTCCACAACCGACGATGTGCCTGCAAAGATGAGGGCAGTGGCCGCGGTTATCAGACACAGGAACTTCGACAGTGACACTTATAATCACGATATCGCTCTACTAAAACTTCGAAAGCCTGTAGAATTTTCGAAAAACATCCGCCCAGTGTGCCTTCCTACCGGTAAAGTATTTTCTACATCTTTAATACGGACATTACATTACATTATACATTTTGCGCTACTATTTATAAATCTTCTCGATTCCTCCTGCGTCAGTTGTTGATGAATCGAACTTGGCGACGTTTCGCCAATAATTCTGTTTAACAGAAACTGAACCATGTTCAGTTAGCTGTGAAGAAGCTAACAGTATGATTGGCGAAATACGTTCGATTATCAACAACCCACTCAGAAAGAATCTAGAAGATTTGCAAATAGTATTACAGTAGCGTGTGGTTTCTTTGAAAATTTACATTTTGCGCTATTACAGTAACAGATCCTGCTGGCATTATGGGTACAGTGGTCGGGTGGGGAAGAACAACTGAGGGAGGAATGCTACCCAACATTGTTCAAGAAGTTGAAGTTCCGATATTATCTTTAGCCCAATGCCGGGCAATGAAATATCGGGCATCCAGGATTACGTCTTACATGCTATGCGCTGGCAAAGGATCTATGGATTCGTGTCAAGGCGACAGCGGTGGGCCATTGCTAGTCCATACTGGAGATAAATACGAAGTAGTGGGTAAGCATAAACAACGTGAACAATTTCAAGTGAACACTATTATTGTTGAAGGTACGAAGTTTATAACATTTGTCAAGTTATTATGTGATTGTAATGGGAAAAAAAATACGTTCCCAATTAATTTAAAAAAAAACGTATTTTTTTAATACAATCATGTATTCAGTATTTGATTGACATTTATTTTTCCAAAATAAAAGGCAATTATGATTTTTTTATAAACAAAAATAAAGTTTATAACATTAGTCAAGTTATTATGTGATTGTAATGGGAAAAAATACATTCTCAATTAATTTTTTAAAAAATCGTACATTTTTTTGTCAATATAAACATGTATTCAGTAATTTTTATTTCTTCAAAATAAAAGGCAATTATGATTTTTTTATAAACAAAAATAAAAGAGTGTTACTATTGAAAATAAAATAGGGCAAACTAGTGGCATTATTTAAGGTTTAAATTAATGCCCAAATTTACACTGAACATTCTAATACACATCTTTTGTATTCGGTACATTTTGTGAACACATTTAGTTAGTGGTTCTTGCTGTCTGTGAAAACGTATTTTATTTGGTAAAAAAACATTATTCCTCACTTAAAAAAATATATGTTATTCAGTTACAACCACTTTAGTAAGAGCAAAAAAAAAACAACTTAACTAATTGAAGCTACATCTCGGCTTTAATAATAATAAAGATGGTAGCAATACAGCCGTTTTGAGTTTGAAATGAATGAATGATTTAAAAAAAATTGAAAAAAAAAGTCTGAATGCGGAGTAACTGTTTAATTTTTTTTGTTAATTTTAATAGCGAACACTGTATTTCAAAAATATAACATTTATATGTTATAGGAAGCCTATTATCACACACAAATAGTAAATAGTAAATATGTAAATATATCCATACTGCAGATCTTCTCACTCACCATGTAAATTATTGCTCTTCCTATTATTTTCAATTGCTCAGTGAATAAGGATTTTTTATTTCCCAATTTTGTGAAAATTTCACGTTAATTTTGAATTAATCAAAACCCATATCAGAAGCTTTTTGCTTTTCTATGAAAAAGAAATTACTTTTGCTAATTTTGATGGGTTGGAATTTTCCGCATTACATTATAATTTGTTTGACCAATCCATTAACATTTAGGATGGAAAAATATTTCTTTTATTAAATTAAATTTAATTGATTAACTTTCCACGGTTTCCTGAACATGAAGTGAATTTTCTATGTCCATAACAAAAAAATACATTTCCAACAGAATGTTTTTAACAAATTTCAAGCAATCGAAATGTATTGAAGGTAAAATGAATATTTAAAGCCTTACAAAATTTAATTTCTTAATCTCTTCTTTATATTTTAAATCTGTTACAACTCTTACTGAGAGACTCGTTTCCTAAGTGTACTTATTAACTAAATTTGGAATAAAATTATGCTACTTGCCTTCTTCAGATTATTTATAATATTGTTATAATTAACAAACAAATCATTATTATATAAGTAAACGAAGTAGCAATGGTTTATTCCAAAATTGGCAAATTTAGCAAAATTAGATTTGAGCATCATTATTAGTATTTATTAATGGATTTAATGCTAATGTACTTGATGATGGTATATCTTTTCAGGTATTGTTTCATGGGGGGTAGGATGTGGAAGACCTGGCTACCCTGGAGTATATACGAGAGTGTGGAAGTACAATAACTGGTTAAAATTAAACATCGACGATGCTTGCTTGTGCAATTGAGGTGCAAAGTTCCTGATGCGCTGCCGACCCTCACTACTACCAGTACATAAATAACTGTATTTATTGTGATTCAAATTTATTTTCGTAATAAATTTCTAATGACAGAAAGGAAGATTTCTTTCCAAAGTCAAGTGGAACGATCAACACAACATTAAATTCTTCAAATTCTAACTATTCTAACTGCAGTTTAACCGCACCAGTGAATGAATTTGTAGCTACCGAAATTTTTCTATCGGTGTGGTTTTGTTGTAAGCGTTTAATGTGACTCCTTTTGATAAATATTCAGATTATCGAAACACGCCGGTTTATTTACCACCGACAAAATTAACATTGCTTTGATCCGATTACAAATTTCATTAAAGTAAAACGGGTTTGGAATAAACACGTATTATTGTTCAAAGGTGATTTTTAGGGGGACAATGACATAGACTGTTTAGCATACTTATTTGTGTCTCTTAAAAGGTCATGATCAATACCAGTTTTATTATTAATTTATCGTGTATTTTTTTTCTTTAGAACGTGCCTGCGAAATGATGCGATCTGCGTTACGAAAAAATCGGAGCCTTAAAAGATGGTTGGCTAATATTTTCCAAATGGTCCAAGCGATTTAAAAGCGCTGTCTTCACCTGATAAGATTTTTTTTTAAATACGATTGAAACAACATTGATCCAAACAAAGCGCCAACCATACGAATTTAAAATGTGTGTTTTTATGTTTTATGTTAAATAAAACGACATGGAAATAAAAAATGATAAAAATTTACCCACGATATTTTATAGGGGTGGAGGTATATTGTCACTTCCTCTCAACCCAAAAGCGACAGCTAACTCAAAATACTAACTAAAATAAAATTTTTAAAAAACTCCAATAATTAAATTTGTCCTGTACGTTTCAAATGCAAAAATAATAAAGAATATTTTGAAAATGAAAAAGATAGATGGCTAGCTACGTTATTGCAGAAGCATATTTAATATTTTCTCTTATACGGGATGTCTATAAATCACTTCGGAAATATTAAAAAAATAAGAATATTTTTTGATATGAACATGGACCCGAAAATGCATAGATGCAAGATGCAGGGTGTCCAACTTTATTCCATCTACCTAATTGGTAACAAATTCTAATAGTTTTTTTTTATTAATATCTTTAATAACCGTTATCCAAATTCCCTAGCAAGTTTATGGGTAGACAATTAGAGGCATGCAATAAATTGCTTTTTATTTTTTTATAGAAAACGAAGCAAGATAGGAAACAAAATTCAAGAGACCAAAAGTTGCATTTTTAGTTGCTTTATTTGCCAAAATTAAAATTGGTAAAAAATCAGAGGCGCCCTTTTTTTTTAATTCTATGGCGTGCCCACCGGGGCGCTATTGCAATTCATAATTTCAATTTTATTAATCCTAAATGACGCTATTGTCACCACAAACAATACTACCAAATTTCAACGAAATCGGTAAAAGGATTAGATTTTTGAGATATTTATTAATTTTAATTAATTTAATTTATTGTGTGCATGTTTATATGAAGAAAATTTATTTTTTATGTACAACCTCTTAAATTATTCTAACCAGATATTGACATGTTATCAATAATATTAAGCCTTCTTGAAACCGAACATCCTTCAACTCTCACTACTCATATATTCAAACCCTAAACAAAAAATACGATTGCTTTTAAACTTCAGGACGGTAGAAAAATTTTCTACTAGATCCTTCTTCATCTTATAGACTCTATTTGATAAGTTTAGACGGAACATGTTACATTAATTACACTAAATTAAAAATAGAGAGTAAAAGCGGAATTTTCAGTATATTTTAGTATCGTTTATTGTACTCTCTGTAGGTAAGAAATTGTATAAAAAAAAATTGAACGTGGCAATGAAGTGGGCTTTCACAGAAGTGTCTCAAAATGTCAGCAGTGCCTACTAAATATTGATAAAATGTATAGTTTAAAAGGACATCTAATTAATCAAATTTGACTAAATTCCAAATTATAGAAGTCGACAAAAGAGATCAATTGACTGGCTGAGCAATAATAAAATAAACTACAAATTTAAATTATGAAAAAAATTGTGAAATAATTTTCAGTTCCTTTAAATTCAGTAGATTGACATAAGAAATAGCAAAGAGCATTTGGAGACAAAATATTATAAACAAAACAAAAAGAAATTCTCGGCAAATCGGAAAACAGGTATGTCCACAAACGACTAATAAACCCGAAGAAACAACCTGACCGGGAACAAATGAAGATAATGTAAAATGAAGCAACGCAGTTGGCTTTGAACTTGTTTCTTTAAAGCTGATGGATAGACAGTTGAAGACAAGGCCTCGCTCGTCACACTCTTTGATCCAATGTGGTGGTCATTAAACCTTGGAAATTCATTAAAATAATCGTTTTTATCGAGATCTGTTTAAGTTTAGTGTTTGTCGCAGTGTTTGGTGAAATGTTTTGGCTAAGATATTCCACTGTGCTATTTGTGTGTTTTGCGTCTACCCTTTATGGAGCTGCAGATGTAAGTATACCACCAAATAAAGTAACTTAGGTAAGACGTATCGTAGAAGAAATCTAGAGAACCGTTTTATTACGTTTTTTGTCTAAATTATGTAAAGCGTTCTTTTTAATTTGAGAATAAGAGAAATGATAAGTTTATTTACACTATAAATCTGACGTTGCACAGGTGGGTAAATATTTGCCATTGTGCCCTACACAGTGGTTGCCTAATACGCCGCTTACATTTATTGTTTACATTAATCGCAAAGCATGTTCACAAAACATAAAGTTTAAGTTCCTTTTGACTCGACTAAAGAACCGTTAAGTAAATTTATTTAGGTGAATACACTTAGCGCGATGAATATTAATTACAATTTGTTCGAAAATAATTACGGACGAAGAGAAGCTTTACATCCAGCAACTATATGTGGTCTATGAAAATAAACTAAGTTTTGATTCTATCGAATATAAATGACAAATCGGTATTAGTGTTTAGTGTGCTTGAAATAAAAAAGGAGTGTATAAAAAAGCGAACTGAAAACTAATAGATATTGTACATTTATTTCTTAAAAATATAGGAATGTTAAAAAGTGTACTTGAAAAAATAATGCTTTAGAAACTATTAATTAATTTTTAAATTGCTTTTAAATTGATTAATATTTGTTGATATAATATTTAATTATTCAATTCGAAACATAAACTATTATTTACATTTTTGCCCTTAATTTATCTACTTAAAGTATCCAAAATAGTAATTTATTTTCTACGCTGTGATTTCAAATATGTGATAACATTCTTAATGAAGAATTCTAAATGAAAAATTATTGTCTGAGATCCGTACATACGTACGTGTTTTGGATCCTTGTGACATATTTCGCGCGATGAAATTTGTAATTCTCGTGATACGAAGATAGGTACATACTTTAAAAATATGATGCTATGGAAAAAAAAATAGAATTTTTACCTGCCGTACTAGAAGGCATTACCGCTTTCTGAATGCTGAAAATTTGTTAAAATGAGGTTCCGTTAGTTTCACGTGATTTTGCTTTGGCCAATCAATGTCGCAAAACCGTTACTTTATTGGGCATATCCTTAACGAAAATCTATTTATTATCCGATTATGCATCGCATTGACACCGTTTCAGCTTATGATTCGCGAATAAAGAGAACGAAATTGTCAAATTTTACATGGTTTGTCGTGTATTCGGTTGAAACCTGTCCGAAAAAAAAACGACCTGGATTTCGTACGTATATTGCAAAACCCAGCTACTTGTTTAAAGGAAACCATTTAGCATTAGCTGATTAATGTATCAAAACGGAACCAGTTTTCTATATCTTCACCAAGTCGAAAGAAAAAAGCCTAATAATTTCTAATTTTGTTTAAAGGTAGAAGCTTCGCCGCAATCTGATACCACAGTGTTTAGAAACATCCTAGGGCGTCTTGGTTTTGCTAATCAAAATCAACCTCCTCCCAGACATGACACACCTGCCTCACCGTGTCATTGCAGTAAGTATAAATAATTTCTCATTCCCGTCGTTTTCGTACCAATTCGAATAATACAATGGGATAAAAGTCAAATAGTTAGCTCAGAGAGTCTTTTGGAATATGGTTTCCTTTATGATACATTGCGAATTGCAACGTGTTGTGGGAATTTCAATGATAGGATGATGTTACCAACCATTCTTTTTTTATTCGAACTTATGTCAAGTTTGTGTGCTTTTTACAAGAATTTGATTGTCGTCTACTACCGGAGCAGAAATATAGTTTACGACACTCGCATTAATTTAAATTGACACCAAAAAGGTATCAGTCCAGCGTTTACTATTTTTGTGTGTGTGGGCATTAAATTGAACAAAGTTTTTTTTGGAGATATAGAGACTTATTTTTTTCAAAGGTCGCTCCTGGCTTTTAATTACAAAGTAGAGTAACAATTTTTTATTAGTTTTCAATATAATCCCCCTTACCTTCGATACACTTATTACATATCTTTATTAACAACTGAATCCCTTTAAAAAACTATTCTTTTGGTTTGTCTGCAAAATGAGCTAAAACCGCCTCTTTTAACTCAACTCCGTCGTTAAACCGCTGTTCACGTAAGTCTTTTTTCAAATATCCAAACAAATAATAGTCGGTGGGGGCCATATCTGGACTATAGGGAGGATGATCTATCTGTTGGAACCCACAATCTAAAATGGCAGCTTATGCAACACCAGCAGTATTGTATTGCATTATCGTGCAAAAGACGCACGCCTCTGGTCAGTTTTCCTCGACATTTTACACGTATGCAGTCTCGCAATTATTAATTTCTTTAAAATCCTTCAAAAGAATTCCTTCATAATTCCAAAAGATCGTGGCCATCATCTTTTTTGTTGACTGGCAGACTCTGAATTTTCTTGGAGGTGGTTCACCCTTACGACGCCACTACATTGATTCTTTTTTCGATAGAGGGTCATAATAGAGAACCATAGTTTCATCTCCCGTCACAATAGTTTCTATCACAGGCTTCAGTTCCGTCCCACAGAGTTCCAAAAAAGACCGCGCACACTCGACACGGCGTTGTTTTTGAATAGCCGAAAGGTTTTTAGGAACCCATCTTGCACTACCCTTATGCATACCTAAATGGTCATGTAGGATTCGACGCACACTTGTCTCAGAAAGCTTAGTAATTTCTGAGATTTCCTTGACCTTTAAACGGCGATCACTCAACACTACCTCTTCCACAATCGCAACAATATCTTCCGTCATGACATCCACTGGTCGACCAGTTCTTGAATCATCTTCAAGGGACTCCTGGCCCATTAGAAAACATTTTGCCCATTCTTTCACTACAGAATACGAAGGAGAACTTTGGCCGTACACACCATCCAGCCTTTCTTTAATAATTTTAGGTGTTAAGCCTTCTTTTGGCAAAAACTTTATGACTGCTTTATACTCAATTTGCGGTATTTGCGACATTTTTTCGGACATGCCTTTTTTAAAATGCTGTCAATAAAAAACTATTTGACGCAAGACTTCAATTTTTTTTTCACAGCCTACTATGATATATATTTAAAAGAAGACAAAGTTTTATCGTGATACTAGAGCTGCATCTATGTCGGGCCGGGAAATTTTGGCGCTAACCTCCTAAAACTGGACGACAGCTATTGGTGGTGTTAAAGATATACAGCTATAAAGGTCTATTTAGCAGATTTTTATGCATACAAAAGATCCTTTGATTTTATTGAGTTATTTTAATCGCAATAGTGATAGATTTTTGCAAGTACGAGTATTATTAAAATTTTGGCCCCTTACGCTGAAGACTAAGTAATTATTTATTCAAGTAATTGAGAGAAAATAGTTCTAATAGAAATTGACATATTTAATATATATTTAAAAAAGAAACTCTTCGACAAAACAACAAGGAGAACCTTATCCTCAGCGACGTGTAACTAACTTATTCGTTTGAATCCATGTTAAACTAACTGGACCAAGTTACTCAGCCAAACATATTTCTAAAACACGTGGCTTTGGAAAACAAATAGATTTCTTTGTGCGACATTAAATTGCGCACGACAATTAAAACTAATTTGGGAAAGAATTGTCAATTTTAAAATGCAATAATTTATTTAGAAATATTATAAATGCAACTTTCCTTCTTATGTTTATATAAAACTAAACTCATCTAGGGAACTTACGTCAATGAGATTGAAAATATATTGTTCATGCTTTAGATAATACAAAAAAATCTGCTCTTCTATGTATATATTTGATACTTAGGTTAATCTTTTGCAAACAGGCTTCTCATATTTTGTAATAGTATTATGTACTACGTCTTTAAAATTGATCTAAAAACCACCCACAATTTTTTATCTGGCAAATCAACCTCTTCTTAGGATTTTTTTTTATTCGATTTTGGTTCACTTTTTCATAAATCTGACAATCTGTATTTTGCACCCATCGCCAAACTTGACAATTTTAATTATTCTGAGATGTTTTTCTTCTAATTAGAAAAATAGAGAAAGGCTCCTTGCACGCAGATTGAAACAAAAATTAAAATAAAAAAAAATCAGGCAATCTTCACTTAACATTTAGGCGAAATACAACCTTAATTTGAATTATAAATTTCGCAAAACCAATTTTTTCTTCAATAGAGGCTATGGCAGTCAAAATTACCAGTTTCTTTTATATACAATTTTATCGAAGTATTTGGTTGTGAGGCATATCACAAATAGGTTACATAAATTGCAATTTATTTGCTTGCTGTATGGTTATACAAAACGAATACGCTTTAAAGGCAGCGCTAACAGGAAAAAATGTTGTAGCATGTGGAGAACGCAATGAAAATAGTAGAATAGTTGGCGGAAAGCCGACTCAAGAAAACGAATTCCCGTGGATGGCGAGGCTGTCTTATTTCAATAGATTTTACTGCGGAGGTATGCTGATCAATGACCGCTACGTCTTGACCGCAGCGCATTGTGTAAAAGGGTAATTATCATCTGTTTTGTTATTATTACGGTTTCTCTGATTATTCGCGTAACCAGTCGTTAAACGCGCATGCACGATATGTGAGGTAGTTTGCGAATGCGTGTAAATTCTGAAGAAAATTCGTGCCGGTAATTCAAGTAATTTAGCGGGAACGCGGCCCGTGGTTTGGAATTCGTTTGATATATGAAGGGAATGAATTCGTTCGCTTTTTCAGTTCTCTTCTGATCTTTTTAAATTAATATCAAATAGATCAATTTTCTGCGATATTGGTATATACAGTCTGTCCCACTTAAGTATACATCCTTATAAAAATTTTGTTTATGGGTCGATTTTGATTTTTTTTTTGTTGGTTGGATCTCTCAAAATCTCAGTAAAACCTTATTTTTCTTATAACAACCTGAAGTCATGGCTAATTGGGACTAATTCTTGGTGTCAAATATCGAGAAGGGTCATTAGTGTCAACGAATTCTTATTCAGGACTACATAAAACATAACTATACTAATTTTCATGAAGTTCGAATACAGGGTGTTCGAAATATCGCGAGTGCCGCGCTTAAGCAAGAATTTTTGTTCCGATGTTCGATATTGTGTTTAAAATGCGTTATTAAAATGGAATATTATGCAACATATTTTATGAATTTTAGTCACGAGTCAATTAAATGAATGTGGGAAGAACTTTATAAACGTATTGCAACTTATTTTACTGCATTCAGTGAATGACGTGTTCAATGCAGAATACATGCAAGAACATCAAAATTCATCTGATCGCTTCCACACGCGTGCCTGAAGTTCCGGAAACGCTAGAAGTGTTTAACGTCTTAAAGCGACACGCGCACGTCGGACAGAGCGTAATAGGGTGTTTTAGAGTACTTTCAAATATGATTGAAGTGTACACACTCACTCCCACATCTGTGCTCTTCTATACTAGACTACCTCTCTTCCACGGCCCATAATAGGAAAGATGACGGAGGTTGCTTGATATTTAAAAATCCGAGAGTCTATAGAAATCTATAAACAACCAAACAATCTTAACCGCGACTCAGGTCTCTACATGTCACCAATATGGGAATCAGTCATCCGAGATGGTGTTTATGCCCCTCATTTAGCTCCGCCTCCCTCAATCAATATATAAGCAGGTACAGAGTAAAATGCGAGCCAGTTTCAGTCAAATGTCATTTGATAAAGACACGGTGTTGTCGAAACAATTGTCATGTCAAAATATATAATTTCGTGAAAAATCTGAACTTTTAGTTTTTATTTATTTTCAGCAAACATCGACTCAGGCGGAATCCAGCAGTTTTGTAAAAAGTGTTACAGCAGCCTGTGGAAGTTTCTTTGAAAAATTTGCGCCATTTCTGTTTGTTTCAAACATATTAATTGTAAAAAGTTTCGAACAGGTCTTAGCATCTTTTTCAAAACGCTTAGGCACATATCTACTTTGCTTAAGTAGTATGTTTGACGCGAATTTTGTTTTCTTAGGTTTATGTGGTTCATGATCAAAGTTACATTTGGCGAACATGATAGATGCAACGATACAAGAAGGCCCGAATCGAGATTTGTACTGCGAGCCATATCGGGAGCGTTCAGTTTTCTGAACTTCGACAATGACATAGCCCTTTTAAGGCTCAATGATAAGGTGCCTATAACCCAACACATTAAGCCAATTTGTTTGCCTAAAGGAACAAGTAAGTACCCCAATTTTTGGATTTTAATGTTCAGATAACCAAAATACTGCGCAGGTAACACGTACGTGGGGCAAAGGGCCACGGCGGCAGGGTGGGGTACTCTTAAAGAAGACGGAAAACCTTCATGCATTTTACAGGAGGTCGACGTTCCTGTTATTAGCAACGAAGAGTGTCGGAACACAAATTACTCTGCGAAAATGATATCCGACAACATGCTCTGCGCTGGATATCCGGCAGTTGGGCAAAAGGATTCGTGCCAGGTAAAAACTGACACACAGATGCCCCAGTAGTAACTCGGAACGAAAATGTTTAATTATAGGGCGACAGTGGTGGACCCCTCATAGTAGAAAAACCAGATCAGCGATACGAACTTATAGGTGAGTCAAAGTTGTTGGTGATCAGGAGCTATTGAGGTGAAAATGATCACAATTATTTACAACTTATGGCTTATGCCAACTTTTGACAATATTCCCTTTTTTATGGTTGTTCTTCTCTTATTCTTTTTTGTTTATCAGATTTGGCATGCCTTAATCGCAGTTTATCGAGATTGCTGAAACTCTAACTGGTCTCTGGTTTCAAGTCGTTAATTTACTTTTCTTTATTCGTATCTCTTGACTACAAGTTATTCAGTTGATTACTATTAGTCTTTAGAAACTAGTACAGTTTATTGGAAGAAAATAAGTAATCTCAGAACTCGATTTTGAATATCACTATCAAAATTTTAACCAATAGAACTTTTAAAATAATGGACTTCTAATTATGCAGAAAAATAGTCAACCTGTTGTCCACTGCCAGCATAGTATCATGTGGTTGGTGTTTAAGCAGCACTGATTCACTATTAACCCACCTTATATCAATATGATTAATGCATTTCTCTTCGAAACCACTCCCGTTTTTATTAGTTCGATCTACTAAATGCTATCTCAATGATTGCAGGCGTCGTATCTTGGGGAAACGGGTGCGCGAGGCCAGGGTATCCTGGCGTATATACCCGAGTAACAAGGTACCTCGACTGGATTTTGGAAAATTCAAAAGATGGCTGCTTCTGCGATGACTGAGACTGAACTGAACTCTTAATTTATGGTGTGATATTTTTTTTGGAAAATTTAATTTTTCTGCTTAATTTAACACAGCGTTTCAGGCCGCGAAATTTATTTATCTAGATGGTCTAATTATTATCGGTAACACTGTTGATATAAATTTTATATATTTTTATTAAGGAAAATATAAAAACTAAATAACGCGATATTACGTTTATTAGCAAGGCAAGTGACTAGAACACCTACGTACTGTGCGTTGAAAATTGCTTAACTCTAGGAACTCTAGGAATTAACATGGCTAAATATTGTTAAGATGATGTAGGTACACAAATACCTGCATTTCATTCCGGAATTTCTTTGTCCAGAGTTAAATTAGAAGTTTCGTTTGTTGCATTACTACTGCTAGGGGAGTTGTTTGGCGGTGAATCAGAAATTATACTACGTTTCTCCTCTACATCTCCATCGTTCTCTTTACTTTCATCAATTGTATTGCTATATGCAATATTTTCACGAACAGACTTTTCAGATATATCGGTATCATCTTTACTGCTACCATCCGAAATTTCATCACAAGAGTCCTCGTTATTTGAATAATCTTCCATGCCTGCCTTAATACGATTTTCACCCGAAGGCCTCTCGCTATTTATAACTATCTTATTACAATCGCTACTATCATCAGATTCCTTATCCGCACCTTCATCAGAAGATCTATCTTCTCCTTTGTTGCCATCAACAGAGATATCGGAAACATCTTCATTCCTAATCAATTCATCCGACTTTTCGGAATCTTCCGAGTCTGAACTTTCTGATAATCGTTTCTGATTTAATTTTCTTTTAATGGCAACCATGCCTGAAAAAAAGTATCACGGATGCCTTCAAAGACTGATGAAATGACTTACACTTCAAGGTTTGTACAAGCATACTCCGGTTTTTAGGCTTGCGTCTTGATATCAATCTAAAACACAATGAAAAATGTAGTTTTAATAATCGAACAATATGTAGAATTTTCATAAACACAAGCCTTTAGCACTAGTAATAGTAGTAGTCAACTGAGTACTAATATTCAGATAAATATTTGACAATTACTTACTCTTGCTGACGTTCCTTCATTTCCTTTCTTAATATTTGCAAATGATAGGCGTCGTCATTCCTTGGTTGAAATAGTGCGCATTCTAAAAATTTGTTTGTGCATGGTACATTTTCATTTGCCTTGGAATGATACAGCCAATGATCAAAGAAATTGAGTACAACCTGCGGGTAGTTATTACCAATTGCGTGTTTTGAAAGCTGCGTTAAACCTTACCGATTTATAAATGTCTAGTACCAACCAAACGAGTAAAGAGCAATATAAACATATTAGCATAACATTCGGATAATCTGACAAAATTTTTAGGCCGAGTGGCACTGCAAAAGTTAGGGGTATAACAATTAGTTGAAGAAGAACACTGCAAACGAAATAGGTATGTGAAAAGAAATGTATATTGTTTACTCTGAATACACTCACTAGAGCCCCAATGTAAGGGCAAATAGGCCAAAGATAAGCATTGACGACAAATAGGTATTTTTTCTGGAAAGGCTGTAAATCAGCCTGGTTAGTTCAGTTGCAACTTGCGTTATACTAATAAGGCCCGTTAAAGAATACATTACTTCCAATATCCTAAAAATGTATGGTCATATCGCTGATACTCATTCTTCGCTTTAAACTTACCTCAGTATGTATGAAAATATACACAAAAACGCTAGAAACAAATACTTGATGAATGAGCTTAGCGATCCATTTTTAATTCCTTCCCAGAAGGCGGTGTGCAGATAAAAGGTGCATATTAAAGTATATCCCAGAACAACCTGGTCTGATAAATTTGTGTCTGATGGAACATGCATTCGTTTAAAATTAAATAATTCCATCTCGTTTAGCGCCAAAGTTGCCCCGCAGTAAATCAAGACAGTGCCAGAAAAGCCCAAGTACCATAAACTATCTTTTATTCTCGAACAGACATGTTGCTTGAATTTCAGCCTCCGCAAGAACGCCTGAAGTGGAATTGTCATTTAGGATGCAGACTCAAAGACCTTATCAAAACTGTTTTTACCGAACATTTTTTTCGTCAATTTTTGAAATAGGAATTTTAAACATTTTTTCTTTAAAATATAAGTCCAACAGTGGTACGGTAAAAATCAAACCAATTTTCGATAAAATCTTATTGTAATGCAACATCTTACGTGCAAACATTTGTCGTAGACAACATGCAAAACGTTCCATAAAAAAAACAGCCAGGTTGCCCCATTGCAATGGGCGTTGCTGTAGTAATTTTCAATAATTTTGTTTATTTCTCCTGGTATGCAAGTTAATTCGGCATGTAGAAATTTGTAAATATAATTTGACATTCTGTTTGTGCTACAATATTTCAGGTTATGTTTGTTGCGTTTAAATATTTTACCTTATTGTACTCACCTGGCAGATGCTTGCACAACGAGTTTATTTATAAACATCAGAGTTAAGGTGCGGAGAACTCCATTTAATTTCAGGAGCAAAACCGCACGAGAAAATACGATTTTTATTTTTAAGTTTCGTCATTGCAAAAGCTTATAGTTGGGCTAAATTGGGACAACATTCTAGCGGCATTCTCAGTGTAGGCATACGCATGCGGGCACGTGGCCCTGGTTGCCTAACAGCTTAAAAAAATCGATAATTTAATTCAATTGGCTGTCCGCAGTTATTCTGTTGGAATTTAGATAACGTACATAAAGGATATAATCCATTTTTAATATAAAAAAAGTTTTAAATTTAATTTTTTTTCATCGATTTGAATAAGCAAACCACGTGCATATTTACAGTAAAATTGAATAAGTACTTTTAACCAAAATGATTGGTTTCCCAATGGCGGTAAAACTGAAAAATTTCCCATTCTCTTTATTTTAAAATTACTATTAGAAATTCTAGACGTTCATTTCTCAATTAATTTAATTTTTATAGTTAAAATTGAACTTTTTCTATTTTTCTACTAACAAATAGATCATTTCGCTGTGAGAACAACTCAAAGCTGTCTTTATAATTTGAACATCAATAAGGTAATTTTCGAAACTAAGATATATTTTGTTACTTTCGAAAATCAATGAAATCGAATTTTCGAAAGTATCTGCGTTCGTATAAAAATTTTATATTTCGGTAACGGTAGGTCCTACGGGATCGCCGTTGGTACAGATATGATCACCGTCGAAAAAAAATTTTTTTTTTGTTTGTCCGTTTTCCTTCTAAAAAAATTAAAAATCGCCCGTGCAAGGATCTCCAAAAAAAAAACATTTTTCAAAAACTGTTTACGTGACCAAAAGAATTCTTGAACCAGAAGAAGCAGAAGATACGGTTATATAAAATATATAGGGTGCGCAGCAAATTAAAAAAAACTGAAACATGGGTCCCCCTTTTATTGAAAATTGACAATAATTTCAAATATATAGCCCATATAGACAGCTTAAACTTTTGTATTTGCGGTTTTTAAGTATTGTACAGGGTGTTGGCGATATTCCGTGCAATATTAAAAAACATAATAAGTACTCCAAATTTGTAGCTACCGACTTCAGACTTGGGAGAGAAGTTGAAGTCTGGACCCGCATTTAGACCCTTTAAATTGGGAGCAATAAAATAACGCGAAGTATTTTCTTTTAATTTTTTTTTTGTGTTTATCGGATCCGAAAAATTTTACATCCGTAATACGTGGGAGACTCGGTGCTATAACTTTTGTTTCATGCATTTTTTCGATTATATACAAGGTGTACTAGTTATAGACAAAAATCTACAAGACCCTGAAAATTGTTCTTTTAGAGAGTAAATTATTAACCGTAAATCAAAATTCGTACAAACAATATCTAATCCGTTCATACAGTGTTATAGGCTATATCAAGGGCTACATTTTTTGTATTTACGGTTTTCGTCTATCACATACGCTATTCGAGATATTTGAAAAAATCCAAATGAAAATCACTATTTCTCGCCCTCAATCTACACGCGATGACGTCATTTAATATTACCACCTATTGCATGCTTTCAGGTTACAAGTAGTTTTTCGAAAACCATTTACTCCACTGGAAAAATTTCGAACATTGTTGGAATTATATACAGGGTACGTCGTTTGTGGGCAAAAAATTCTAATAGATCCTAGAAATTTCCGGTTTTGTGAGTGAATTATTGGCGATACTTGATACGTGATAATTTAATATGAACAGTACTAGACAGTTTAAGGTTTCGTCTATAATACAGGGGTCGCAAGATATTTAAAAAAATATAATTTTAAATTGCAATTACCAGTACAAATTTTAATATTTACCGAAGTGTGCTGTAACTTTCAAGTTCGACGAGATGTGAAGGACACTTTATACAGGGTATATTCACAATCGAATTACATCGATTTTGCGAAAGTTCCATAGTGGTCCGCGGAAGCACGATAGAAAAATAATGCGTCCCTCTAGGACAAGAATCCGCGAAGCGCCTTCTTTTTAAAATAAAAAGGTGATTCGGGCTACTTGCTACGAGCTTGCCCCGCACACCGTCGATTTTTCGAAAGCAATCTTATTTAAGCTGGTATAAAAAAGTCCCTTCTTATAATTATTTTAGAGTATTCTTCGAATTTTCGTAATTGTTTAATTAAAATGCTTTAAATTTGTATATAATAGCTTCCCTCTAGCTTCTAAAATATGCGAGTTGAAAACAATTAATTTACTAGTAACAATTCTCCTTTACAATATTAATTTTATTGATGATTTTTGTCCCGTTTGATGTTAAACTATTTTTTCTTTCCTCATTATTTCTTGGTGAGTTCTGGATATTATTTTTAAAGGTTTTCGAGAAGAAACCTCCGAGTGAATTATTTGCGAGACCGGAAACGTAAACACCCATTAGAATGAATCATTTATTACGGCTATATTTCTAAGTTATTACATTATTAATACTTACGGACTGACGATAAGCTTTCATAATGTAAAAAAAATGGAATTCTACATTGAACAAATAAATACGTTCAAAATATACAAAAGTTACGAAAAAACGTAAGCCGAGTTTTCGGAAATACGTGAAATTTATCTCAGAAATAAATAGAATAAAATTTTGCTATAATTTTGGAGGCAAGTTTTGCATACCAGTAATAACTTTTTTAATTTAATTTTATAATTTTAATTCAATATTATCGTAGCTAGTTGGCTATGTTCGCCTATTAGTTTAAAAAAAGAAACTTTACTATTAAATAAAATCACAGTCAAAAAGTTACCTTACTCTTAATATACAAAAATATTTTGGAACATTACCAGCGAGTTACATAAATTTCTATTGGGCAAGTACGCGTAACGATGGAATGTACGGCCAAATTTAGTTAGCGATACGACCAATATAAATCGGTACCTAGATCTTATATATAATATATAGATCAAGTTTTTCTTATGGCAGAGTGTCGCCTCCTAGATCATTGCTTAATATTGACCTGACTGACTGACTGACCCTAACCCTGTAAGTTTCGATATGATTTTAAAGTGTTTGAAGAGGTCGATTAATACTAGACATTTATTTAAATGGACTCTCGACATTATCCAAAGTGGTCCATCACTGATGTGGTATTAACTTAACTGAAAAGCAGTGAACCACATCGCATGATGCATGCAACTATTCAAATACTACACGCAGCTACTGTAAACCTCAAGGAAAAATATAATGAGTGCATAATTTTTTTTAGTGTTGGTGGCCTGTTAAAATCGATAATAAAATAGAGAAGGAATGTGTAATAAGTCGTGTATCCAGACGCGTAGCCCTCATATGGTTTTCGAAATTATAGTGCAAGTTATTTACGCAATGTTGTTAGGCACTCTATGACCGCTACCGATTTCCTATAATTGGCCAAATACCGCTTTCGTTTTTAAAACATGCGGCAGTTAAATTGCCCAATAAAAATCCGAAAAACATAGAAGACATACTCCAAGAAATAGGTTTCCCAAATTACGATGATATGGAAGCCGGTGTTCTACTACGACTAGTCGCTCTTCTCGGAATTGATGAAGCGTAGCGCTGTGGTGATGGTGATTCATCAGGTCGACACCATAACCTTGGTGACCTTTTTGTAGGTGAACGTGAGCTGTTCTGCGCGATGCGATTATGCCGCTTGCTCTGAGACGATTCATTCGCACTGGAACAAATTTTATTTTTCATTTGCAATTTAAGTGACATTTTCAAATATTTGGATAGCCAGAGAAGTAAGAAAGTAGTAACTGAGAAATGCGAAGAAATCATTTCCTACTTAGATTCAATTAAATGTAACATATAAAAACTCGGGTTTCAATTTAAATAGGTTGGTCTAGTTGATTTTTTAGTAGTTCCAATTAAACTATTTTTTTTTCAAATCAAAACTCAACAATTTTTTGTTCTTTGAACTTGAAATTATTTCAATTCATTAAAATTATGGTAATGTTTATCTATATTTCCTTTAAAGATTTATTTATGGATTATGTGAAAAAATTGTATCCCGGTTTGGAAAAACACGGTCGATATCAATAGTGTCCAAAACCGAGAATGTACGTGCATAAGGTATCTGCCAATACTAAGCTTACCCGAAATTGCTACAGGGAAGCATGAAAATAGAAATACTATATTACAAGCACTGGTAATTTATGAAGGCACTTAAAACGGATAACAAATTAACTGCTTTTATTTCTTATATGGTTAAAGCTATTTTATGTTCAATTGTGGTATTATTATTATTATTAAATTTCCTATAACATCACAAAGTTTAGGTACTTACATTTTAACAACCGTTCTCTTACTGTGGGGCAAAATTCAATTTCATTTCGTTTAGAATGCTGGTTAATTTCGTATCATAATGTTTGAGTTAAATTGAACTAATTCTATTAAAACCCTTGCCCAGCATTGAATTGAAACAAAATTGAATTTATGTCTTGGTCCGATTGTTATTTAACGAGACTTTTGAAATAATTAACACATATAACAATATCTTCCACCACATGAAAATATTTATACAATCTAAATCTGCTACAGTGTTAAATTTTAAAACATGCACCAGTTTGTAGAACTAATTAGATCTGGTTAAAGCTATTTGAAAAACTTATTTGTATAGACTAGTTTTCTTTTAGAAGTTACTAGTGTTACCCAAAACGCAATAGCCGCATGAGTACATCAAATTTATAAGGCACAACAAATTAATTGCACAAAGGACAGTCACACCAAATATGACGTCTGCCAATACTACCTTCCCAATCCTAAAGCTGTAGTCCCAACCCAGGAACGCAATGACGAGAAGCAGCATAAAAAATAATATACAATTCTAAATCCAAAGAAAGTCACTTTTATGTTTCATAACTATTGATTATCCGATTGCCATTTTTCGAAAACATTTGATAAAAAACAACTTAGAGGTAACGACGAGTATAACATTCAATAAAACTTCCATAAACATTCGAATAAATTTTGCATTGGAATGTGGCTTGATTCTAGATAAATAAAATGATTAGTAATTAGTAAAACTACAGTCCTAAATGCATCCGAGTTGAAAATCGATAATTAAAAAAGGCAATTCGACGGTGATGGTATCGATATCTCATAATGTCAATAGCCAAATCACAGCGCTATTGAATTTTTTTTCGAAAATCCTCAGGAAATTGTGAATCCCTGTTATCTAAACGTAAAATCTCAGTGAAACAAGGATTGTTTTAACTCGATTTGTAAAAAGATACGGTTAAATGCTGCGTACTGATTATTTTTGTTTTAAATAACGTGGTAGTTCACCTTGCAATGATCTCGAACTTGTTTTGGCTTTGTATGACTTTGTTCGATTGATTTTAGGCTGACCTTTTCTTTCAGAATTTAACCTGATAATTCTAGAAGCTTTGCACATTTTTAATAATATATAAAATAATAATAATATATTACGCTCCTGATTAAGGTCTGCTAAGGTTTTTTTTTACATTTTGCAATATTCTGGGCATTTTGTGTAATTTGGAAGGTCCAAATCCAAAATTTTATCACTTTTGATAAAATTTGAAAAGTTTCCAAGCAATATAGTGTACTTAATTTAACAATTTGTTTTTAAGAAGGGTTTTGGCCAGTGTCCTTATTAATTTGTAATCACGGTTACATATTTGAAAGTATGTATATTCCATAAGGTCTTATTTCAACTTGAAAAATATGTGCCTCGAATCTGGGTATTGAATTTCTTGACACCGCGTATGTATGCAACATTCGTAAACATAGATGTGAAGTTAAGCAACAAACACATTAGGATTAAGATTATAACTAATAAATTAGCGACCTTTTGAAGGTTATTTTTACAACGTTCTCGTAATAATCACGGTTGAAAAGAACCTTCTAACGCGCGTTAATTTCTTCATTTAATTTAACATTAAATCAGGCTTCAAAGAAAATATTTAACAGCAGAATTGAATGTTAATAGTTTTGTACAAAGTTAGTTTTTATTTGTTTGAAAAAAACTACGAAGAAATTCTACTAAATCGTATATTAATTCATTACCTGACTAACGAACCCGGCGATCCGTCAACGGAAGAACCATTTAGTAGAGATGGACCGGCAGATATAGGGCGAATCTTGAAAATATTTTAGAGAATTATCTGCTATCCAAAGCTTCCCAGTGACAGGCTGGTAAAGCCTAAATGACTAGTTTCGATACTGCATCTTAACAGTTTTCATATCTTTATGGTATTAACATAAAAGGTTGGTCAAATATAAAATTAGTTTCCAAGTAAACTGTAATTACATATATCTAGTTAATTACCCGGTCTGTTTGTGTTGCGGCGTTACATCTTAGACTGTCCGATGTGATAGTAGAAGCTGGTGCGGAGTTGGATTGATAATTTTGATCTACGAGCTGCACCACTTGTTCCTGCAGATGCTGTACCGCTTTTTCCTTATCTTCTAGTTGGCCCTGAATCAAAATTTAATTTATCCCAGTGTTAACTACTTCGTTTGGTTTTTATTTCCAAATCAGAAGCCTAAGAGCAAGAAGGTAGGTTGGCGATATCACAATTACCTGAAGAAAGATGACTTGTCGTCTTAGGTCCGCCAATTCCAATCTAGCTTCTTGCATGTTGTCCTCGTTTTGTGCATTTGGCTGCTCCGTCGGGTAGATAGTGTTGAAGAGCCCATTCGCTAGAACCTGGTTCTCGAATGGGTTGTGAGTATCCGACTGGAATTGTAGAAAAAAAAATAATTTCACAGTTTGCACTAACTTAAAGCTTGGCTAATCATATAATGCACTTACCCTCAACAATAAATCTTCTTCTATCTGCTATTGAGTAGACGAACATAGAACATGCAAAAAAGTATTAAAATAATTAAAAGGCAACATTTAAACGAACATCATGCGCTAGACAAAACAAAATACAAACTAAATCCACCAAAATCAACACAAAATTAATTAAGCGGGAATTAGATGTTGCGATTTTAGTAAAGAACACGTTACTTACCTCGTTTAGGACCCTTCTCAATTTCAACAGCATGGTTTTTATGCCTACAATGTCCTGCTTGATGGCAGTATGGTTAGTTCTGTCAAGCCTTATACTGTCATTGTCTGAGTCTAGACCTTCAGATTGGTTAGGCAAATGAGAAAAGCGCGATCTTATTGGACTACTTGTAGAGGAAGGACGTTGGGTATGACGCAAATTAATTCGACTGTCCAGCGAACGGGGTGAATCTGGTACCGAATTAGGCGTTCCGGTTCGTGATCGGGAAAGAAGGCGTGCTCTTGAGTTTGTGCTGGAAATAATATTGGAAAATAACGTCCTTTTTCTTTAACGGTCGCTTATTAAAACTAGATATTAAAATCGCTCTGCCATAATAATAAAGTAATTGTACCACATATGCAGTGTATCATATATCACAAGTAATGATCCAATGAGTTAATGCATCCGATCCCTCAAATTCAAGGAATTCAGGAAACCCTTTAATGGTGATATAAAAGGTCATGTTGATTGTGATGACGAGTCAACAGTTAAACGAGAATACCTCTATGTGTCGAGACGTTTCAACAAGAATGGTATTTATTTTCTTTTAAATAACTGTAGATATGGAAGCTACGCAAAAAAAAACAAATAAAACTAAAAATTGGACTAGCTTTTAATATCCTATTACAATAAAATTACCTTTTAGCAAGTGTGTTCTTAATATCTTCGCTAGATGATTCGGATTTATTAACGAGTGTCGAAATGATATTATCTCTCCTCGCAAAAGATGGTGATTTATTGAGTCTTAACTCCGTGGTTCTGTTTGTTCTAATAAATGTGCCATTATTCATTATATTTGCGCAATAAAAATATATATTTTTTATTTACAACGTGTAGATTATCGAAAATAAGTTTTGTGTGTGTTGGGGCTGCACTACAAGGCACGCTGGTAGCAAGAAAATAAAAACGAAAGTCATGCCTCTTGAAAAACCAATTTCGACCCCGGAATACTCGGAATTTAAGCAGGTCACATTTTAGAGACGCGTTTCGATTGCAGCGTCGAAGAGAACTGACGCGGTTGCGCCGACAGACCAGAGTTCTCCATTAGCAGGAAAGTTAGTCGTTTAGTGAGAATTCGGCAAAATAAATGTAGACAATCGACATGTGAAAGAAAACAAATCACTAACGAAGATAGCATCAATAGCATAGCATTAATAACATAGCCAAAAATTATATTTTCGAGAATATTTTATAAAGTCCACATGATTTTAAGAGTTTTACCGAAGGTTTGAAATCAATAGCAGTTGGCATTTAATGTAATATGTCTTATTTACATTAATTGATTGAAAAGTAAGTTTCGTGCACTCAGAATTGATGCACATCATATTTTCGGAGGAATTCGTTTACTGGCATACATCGAGGAATACATTTTTTTGAATTTATACTTTGCGTAGAATTGAAACCAAATTGCAAAAGTCGTTTTAAATTTACTGAGGAGTGCCTCGCTTCTTTGCGAGATCGGACCAAATAAAGAATCACAACTAATTATCATGAATAATTCTAATTGAAAATTAGTTTTCTACGATATTCTTAAATTGTTAATTTGAATTTTGAGTATTAAAAATCCATTGAAATAATAAGTTTAAGAGAAATGTCCTCGACCTTATCCGCACTAATGTAATGCAAAATGCTTTTTCAGTTTCGGGCTGAGGGTGGAGGGCAGGGTTTTTATTTTCTGTGTTATAAGCCGTAGCTTAAATGAGCACTTGAGTTATCGAAACGTGTTCTGACGTATTGACGCATTTTGTGGACGAGGTTGTTTGTTTTCTCTTGAGTATATTACTCCACTTTTGGAATCTTAATAAATTTAAATATATTTAATAAATTTGATAAAAGGTGTGAAAACAAATTAGTTATACTTAGCTGTCCCAAGTGTTAGTTAGCTGATTAACAATAAAGAGCCAATTAGCATAGTAAGAACTTAATGAGCTATTTGATTTGTTTTGACACATGTGTAAAATAAATCCCTTAATATTAGTAAATATATTGCTAGATATACTACTTACTCCTAGTTACTATTATACTATTTTTGTATGGTAGTTTGAATGTAGGGCTAACATCTCAATAATTTTATTTATCATAAGCATAACTGTATACTATTTCGCCATTTCACAATGTAATGTTTTGGTTCAAATTCATATTTTTAAATATTAAGATTTGATATAAGTATGGAAATTTTTATTATTATATGGAAAACTATTTTATAAAAAAATGTCTTATTATTTTTGTTATTTTGTCGAATTTTCGAGCATCTGATGTGGCCTGGTATCTTTAACGCATAGAATCAACCCACTGTTGTGGCGAACACTGCGATTGTCGATTGTTGATTTTTAGAATTCGAGTACGCTGATGCAAGACATCCAAATATATTAAATCGGGCGATTGGGATGATCGTTCAAGTATAGTTAGGTTTTCTCAATAAACCGTTATTTCACTAACTTTAATGTGTGTTTAATTGTCCTGTTGTAACTGTATTTTAAAATACCTCTTTGTACTGAAATTGGTTCATTTTCCTTTGTACCTGAATGATTGGCCCTGTCCCAGCTCAAGAAAAACATATCCAGATCATTCCTCATGTTTTAGAGCAAGAATTTGGTTCTTTGCCTTCAATTTTACACCAACTGGTCTTCTTACACATTGTATACCGAAACAGGGGAAATTTTCTCAGTTCAAAAATCTGTATTCAATTTTTTTCTTGGTAAACTCTATTCGGCCCTTTCTATTTTTTCATGAGGGACGCGGTTTTTAAACAGCACCTTTTCCATGAAGACGTTCATTGATTAAATTGTTTTTTACTGCTATATTAATTACTTCAATGGCAAATGCCGGATTCCATTTTTAATTTGTCTGGATGATTTTCGGGGGTTCAGTTTCGATATTCTTAAAATGGTTTTAGAAAGTAGTTTTAAGAGGTCCTCCCAACAAAAGTATTTAAAGACTGCAATAACCGATTTTTTCCCCATTTCAAATCAATCTATAATTTTTTGTCTGAATTCAGATGAAAAGTAACGACCACTGGACATGATAAATAACAATATTTATACGATATTTGCAACGTAAAATCAAGACTGAATAATTTAGAACACAAATTATAAAAAGAACATAACAAACATTACTTTATAAATAAAATAGTAAAAGGTTATGTACATATGGAATACAAAAAATCATACTTGTCATACTTTTTTCCACCACTGCATTTTTACTCTTTTTCTGGTCTCTAATAAGGGCGATTAAATAATTAAATAATTTCTCGCAGTTTTTAATACACACAACCACACTGAATACACGATAACTTTTGGTAAAAATCACGGCCGAAGAAAAATTTTCTGCGATTAATTTAGACCCGAAATTTTGATGCCAAAACCGTTTGAAACTAAAAACGTAACTACTTTTATTATAGCTGTCAAGAAAGCAAAATTTTCATTTATTAATCTCAAAATCAATTTTGATTGGTTAAAAAGCACTGGTGTCAAATTTTCACTAGTAATACCAGTAAACGTCAAATTTGATAAGAAAATTCCACACCACCACACCAGTAGCCAGGTGTCAAAAAAACATGTTTTCGTTGGTTAAAAATTACAAGTGTGGAATTTTCATAAAAATGCTTAAAAAAGAAACAAATTTTACCATTTTATTGAAAATTTGTGATATAATAAAAATACCAAGTATTTGCCCTACTCTCTTCAACAAGACAATGGCATCAAAAAATAAAATTGTGTTGTTGTTTAGAATTCCTCCTGAAAAATTCCTGCACCCTTTAACAGAAAATATCAGATACATTCATATTCCGCTCGTTGCTTACCAAAGCAATTTTTTTAAATAATTAATTTCCGTAAAGTCGATATTAACGTCACGGTCTGATTGACAGCAATCTCCGAAAATGTATTTCCAAACCTACATTTCTCGTTCGGATGAACGACTCCGCTGTTTTGAAGATCGGCATCTTGAATGTTATTTCTGTTTTCGAGTAGGTTGTTGCGGCTATTGATTCGAAGAGCTATTATTTATCCTGCAGTCGAGCGTAACTCTAATAAAATACCTTTTTGGAGCGTCATTAAACGCGGTACCAGGCAGTAAGCTAACGACGAAATTGAAAAGGAAATACGAACGAAAATGTAATCGTCAAGCTATTTGCTGCCCTTTCCGATAGATAATTTATTTAAAACAATTGGAAAAAAACGGTAAAGGTGTCGTCAACACATTCCAAAGACATGCATTTATAATTCGTGTATAAGTAGGTTGATCAAGCGAAAAGTGATCTTATATTACGTCGTAGCCATTAAGCAATTTTATCGGCATATTGCTAAATGTCATGGCAATATACCAACATTGTTAAAAACTAACACGATTTTGCCATTTAACTATGAATTTATATTTATATTCCGAAATGATAAAGAGATATCACACTACATATTGTTTTATAGAAACTTGGCTTCTTGCAGATTATACTTAAAATTAGAATTTACTTTGTAAACATAAAGGTATACTGGGATCTCATTGAATATGCCATCAAATTAAAGTAAGATAAGGGGTGCCAGAGGTGTAGTACCTTTAATAGAATATTACTTTTATTAAATGTAACTTTAGTAACAACGACTAAAGAAGTGTTGAATAACTTTTTTTTTTGTACGACAATTAGTTTTTAGATAAGTTTTTACGAAACAGCACTGAGTGACGTCTAAAGTGACCATCAGAATTGTCAAAGGTTACAGTCCTATGGCTAAAATCCCGTGACTATTTATTAAAAATTTCTGCCTACTTTTAAAATTATTCACAGCATTTCTCTTAACCATTTTTTCATCTTTTTTTAGCACATGGGTAATACACCATATTTTTGTTTCGTGTTTAGATTCTTCTCAAAATGCATATTTCTTATGACTATATTCGCCATGATATATCTGTTGTGATTTAGTTTCAAGTAGCGTGCCTTGAATAAATATTTCAATCGAGATTTTTGCATTTCAAATTACCGCTTTAGAAGCGCTTGTATAAAACTTTACGCATGCATGGTTTCGTTCCAGGATTGGCGATATGTAAAGATGCAAATTTCCACTGAATCTTCCATGCAAAAACACTGCAAAGGCCCCCAAATGGATTTTTTTATAATATAAGCGAAAACTATTGATTTTTGTCTTAAACCGTGAGCGCGAATCCATTGAGAAACATAATGGCACAGTTTCCTAGCAATGCGTTCGAAAGCAACAACGTCTTCAATGCGTTTGGGCGGAACGTGGTAGGCAGGAAATTATGAGATCGCTTAAGAGTAATTTTGCTTCGCCGCATAAAAATAATGATGGAGTTGCTCAACCCAAGTAGTCGGTGTGCGGATGTTCGCTAAACGAAAGAGGAAATTATGGCTCGGTGAGATTGATCGGTAATTATTGTGAAACAACTTAACCTTAACGTACTTAAAGAGTGTTTGACGAAAGCTATTTAGATCAAGCATCAACGCACAAGAGAGAGTTTTCAGTAGAATTTGTTTATTATATTTTGCAATTTATTGACTCAATTAAAATGTTCGCGCCTCATGTCAATTTAGCACGTTTATGACCAATTTAATTTAAATTAAATTTGTTTACAGTGTCATTAATTATTAATGCATTATGGGATATAAAATTATTACTTTTCAATTTTCAGAAGATGTCGTAATAGAAGTACTCAAATTTCTTGCATTATCTCAAATAGATATAAAGAGTTTTGAAACATAACGTTCTATATCTAACTACTTTGTCGCCTTTAGTTATTCTGTATCACTTTTTTTTAATGTTTCCCTAAAGTTATCCATTATTTTTTTGCATTCGTTCTTATTAATCATATACAAACATCGCTTAACCTCTCGCTATCTAAGAATATTTAAATTTAACCACACTCTTTGCTTAAAAAACATTTTAGGTGATTGTGTACTGTTAAATAGTTTATATTAATTAACGTGTAAAAAACTTTGACATGACAAATAAAAATATTTGGTTTTAAAATACTTTATTATATTTTTGTATGTAAAGCGGTTTATTTATTACATTCAGCACGACTACAGCTCTTGATTTTATCTGAAACTTTATGCTTCGCGTAGCAAATATACACTTTTTATACTAGTTACTACTAAATATTGATCTCGCAAACTAAAATTGTAAAGTCGATAATTTTCTCTTTTAATTTTAATTTAATTATTCGAAATCAAGATACACCTTAAAATACAAAAAAAAAATAAAATAATAAAACATTACCAGTAAGTATTACTTTGTGGGTTACTTAGTTCAAAAAGTCTCTCGAATGCATAATTCAAATTTTGTCACCTTTTCATACAGCCATCTTGAAAGAAATTCATTGTTCTAATTCTTTACTCGATTTGGGTTAACTAATATATATTCGTTCTCTATGACTGTGTACTTGATGATATAGCATGTATTATAATATAATTTGTTTTTTCGATCCCATGCAACACCTAATGAAAAAATATAGTAAAAAAAAAACAATAATTTATGTTTCATGAAACAGGGATATATGCTTGACACTGGTTAAAATGTAATGTACTCTTTGGCATCCAACACATCATACACTTAGAACAGACATATCATTCTCATAAAGATTCATCCTAGAAATCGTAGAGAGAAGATTGAAGAAACGACGCTGAATTTCTTTAAGCACCGAGCACTTCACTTCTAACCTCTCATTAGCCAACAACAACAATTTGATAAAACATGCCAAACTTCAAATACTTTTAACATTATCCCGTCAATATTGATAACAGGGTTATCCCCCAGTGACGTTTGCAGGTATTACAAACAATGTCATATGGCTCTTGTATCGATCTGCAATCGAAAAAAATCCCCGTACGACTGTTCATATATGATCGGATCATCGTATATATGTAATTCATTTTAGAGGATCTTATCGCAGTTCAGTTTGAAACCGCATTCTGCAATAACCAACCGCACAGCAGGAGAAGATGGTTATTCCGATCGACAAGTCTAAACTTTATTCCACTTGCCCCGTAAATTATGTGGGTAACAATATGAACCTCCAATTTTCCACAAATTATAAATTCTTGTTAATTACCGGGAACAACATTAGCGTGGACATCGGAAAGAATTACGGCTTGCTTAAAGTGTTGGGTAACAACTGCAAGGTGAATATTGCAGAGTGCCATGGATTTGTGGATTACTGTGGAAACAACGGGCGAATTGCGGTATCTGGTAAAATAGATGATGATACGATCAGTTATTCTGGAAACAACGGCAACATTATCACTGAAGTTTATTCCAAATGGAATAGTGATGTGAAGAAATATCCGACTCAGCAGGTTTGCTCGAGTTTTGAAAATTGTTTTCCCAGCGCACCGTTGATAATAGAAAATAACGTCCTTAGAGCTTCGAGAAGTATCAAAATGCCCCAGATAGTGTTCGGTAGGCATTTCATCAAAATCAACAATTACTAGTTGTTATCGACGATTAGATAGTTGGATTTGAAATGCCGAATATATAGTTTGGTTTTGAAGACTTCGTCTTAGTTTTAAGTTCTAGCGCAATATGTAATAACATTTTTAATTATTCATTTAATACTACATAAAATTTTAAGAAAACCTAAAATAACCAAAACTAAAATTATGCAAACGATGATACTGTACATGAATAATGTAGTTGTTAGCGACAATTATTTTTATGATTGCCAGTTTGATCGTATGGTTAATCGATGGTTTTGAATAACAGTGAATTTTATATGCTATTTTTTCAGGTTTAGTTTCTGAGTTTCTGAGCTGGTTAAATAGATAGTTTAATAATCTTGTTTTCCAATTTATTTCTACAACAAATAAATATTATCTTTATAACTCATGATTTGTTTGTTTGCTGGTTTATTTATTATTAATGTATATAACAACTATAAAAAACATATAAAAGACGCATATTTAGGAATATATCCAAAATAAGCAGGTATATAAAAAAAAATTAAAATAACACAAAAACATGGAAAAGTTAATAATGAAATGAAACTATGTCAACTGTTCATCTTTTAGCAACTAAAACTAAACTAGCCATAGCCACTAGGGATGAGCTATTTAGTCAAACACAGGCACGCTGTACACGCTTGTTAAGAGCGAACACTTTCCATTATTAGTCCTATCAAAGTTGAATGAAGAAGGTGATAACCGTGGATCCAAAAAATCATCATTATCGAATTTTTTCTAAGGAATATCCAACAAAATTAGGAGAGAATCATATTAAATATCATCGTTCAGTCTACAGTAACAAAAAATAGTAACATCATGATGCTTGCTGCCGTTTATTTACGTACCTAAGAAATATAAAAAATACACACTCTTCTTGAACAGCACATGAGTAAAACCAAAAAAGAAGTCACCGCCTGTTTCGCAATGTAACTAGTAATTTTTCCATCTTTGCTTAATTATAATAATTTGCACCTGGCATTAGAAGTCGTTGTCATTCTATTCTATTATTCAAATTACAAAAACTTTAAACTTGTATGTTTTTTTCCAAGTTTCTCAATTATATTAAGTGAAAAGGGAAACAAGAGAAACCATTAAGCTAGAATACTGTAGTACAGTAAATAAGGTGTTCAGTAAGGAGACGGATCTATTGAACTAAAAATATCTCGAATTACACCCATTTTCACTATATAGAGGCGTTGGAAAATAATGGTAGAGCTTATAACATTTTTTGTGACAGTTTCGTTTAAACTCCTTATACATAAGCAAAAATATTTCTACAATTTTTTGGTTGTTCTAAATTGTCCGAGCTCTAGACTTTCAAGGGTTAGCGCAGCGGCTGTGAATAGATCAACTTTATAATGTATATATATTTATATATACAACATTCGCAAATTTAAAACGAATGGCCTATTAAACAAAACAAATGCCTCCATTTTATAGTTAATGCTCTGATTATATCTATTACACCACACAGCAGGTTTTTATGACCACGTCTTCGTTTAAGGTGTAGTATCACACAACTTTACCGCAATTACATGATACGTGAAACCGTGAGCTTTTAAAAATAAAATACTTTCCTGGGAACGAGAATAAAGCAGCCTAACGTTTATAGCGGAAATATAACAACAGGAACAGAAAAAATACTTATTTTTCCGAAACGTATAAATTCATAACGACAGTTAGTTTTCGTCCAAAAATGCCACGAAATACCCAAAAGCATTCAATTTATTTATCTTTCGATTAAAAAATATCGAGTCAAGGGGTGGGTGGGTATTTCTTGAAACACTAGAGATTAAAAAAAGGAATGGTATATAATATCTATGTTGCACGTGATGTCATTATTGCGTACCGTAATTGCTTATAGCTGATAAGATAGTAACACATAGTCTTAAAATGTAATTACATTCGTCATTCAGTATTTGTTACGTAAATAATTTCCAGTGATCATAGGTGTATGAAACGTGGTATCGAAAATATATCAAAATTAGGATCCTTTAACAAAATTTTTTTCTTTCCTTTTTCTTCTTAAGAAATTTACAAATAATAAAAAAAATAGATTATCAACAATAAGCAATTTCGTGTATTCCATATGTTTAGATTTTTAGGCCTAATTCTTCAAACTATTATAACATTCATTGATTTAACCGTCAAATGGTAAATTACTTTCTATTTCAAAACTCTGAAACCTCATTGACGTTAAGAAGGACAAACGCAAAGGCTGTCATTACAAGGTTTAACCATTTTAAAAGCGACTTAAATTTAAAAAATTGAAAAAGAATAAATATTTGAAATAAAATATTTTCTAGCGATAACAGAACTTAAATTAATAAAATTCAGTTTATGGAAATAAAAAAAACCATATGACCCAAGAGGACGAGAACTGATTCTATCATAAGTCGATTTAAAATGATTTAAAAATAATGTTGCATGGGTGCTATATCCGCAATTTAACCCCTTTCCAACCGTCGCTTTTAAATGAAATAGGTGTATTTTTTTTTAAATTAAAATATTTAACAAAAAAGATATCAGTAACAATTATTGTTTATCTGTATTTGTGTAATAGTTGTGTTTGAGTTTTAGAAGTGGAAAAAGAGAAAAATGTAAACTAATATTTACCTAATCTGGCAGTTTAGAGGGACAGGTATGTTTCCTCCGCAATTGTGACTTTTTAGAGCGTTAATGCTGTCTTTCATGACTTTTGCCGATTCGTTCATGTTAAAAGTAAACACCCCCGATTGTGAAATTTTATCACTAATATTCCGCGATATAGATAACGCTGCCTGCCTATTAATACATTAGCAAATACCGCACATTATTTAAGTTAATCTTGTAAATACTCAACGTTTTGTTGCCGAAGGGCGCAACATTTTTCTGCAGACGGCAATTTTCATTGTGAATGCCGACGGAGTTATTACCGGCGATGTAAACGCAAACACAACTGAATCACCTGTCAGGCAGGTAAAGCCAAGTAAAAGCGATGTTGATTTCGACGTTGCCAAAGATATTATTAGAATTTGTAACAAGATGGAAATTTGCCAGCCGCGAAGATTTATTTTTGTTAGTATTTACAAAGATGCAGAGAACCTTTGGTTGAACCCATTCCTATCTTCCGACTGACAGTTGCGTTAATTTAAAAATAAAACATTAAACAGGATTATTTCAAAGGAAAATAACGCAACAACATATTAACGTAATACCTCAATTGTTGAAAAATTGTAAAGATTCTGGTGCACTTTTCTATACTCTGTTAAAATAAGAAAAAAAAATGGCATAGGAAAAAAAATCCTGGATTACAAAATGTTAAGACGAAACGTCATATCCGTTATAAAACACCAACGCAATTAGATCTAATTAGATAAATTGGACATGAGCGATTGGAATACTTCAAAGAAGCTTTTTTAGCCGACAGAACCGTTTTGTGGTCATGAGAATGCATGAGAGTTTTAAATCTTGAAATGTTGTGTTGAAGAAAATTTCGTAAAAGACAACCTGCACCAACCGAGGACTCATTACAAATCATGGCAACGTCGCAACGTTAGATTTGGGGAACAGTATTTCACTAAAGAAACAGTTGTTTTTTAAACTGTGAAATAGAGCGAAGTGTGTAAAACAATTATTGCCCACTGCTTTGAAACAATATTGCTTTTCGTATTGTCTTTAGATTTTGCATGAATTTCGAAACCACATATAATTAAAGCAGAGAGAGTAATAGTAGTAACTATACAACAAAATTAATTGTCATTTAATTTCGGCAGTAATAGTTCCTTTATTTAGTTAAAGTTGATTCATTTTTATCATTTATTTAAAGTATTGGCAATTTTGTCATTTAACGGAGAATGAGAAGGTTGAAAGAAATGAAAGGGGATCAAGGATAAGTTATGCGATAGTACGCATACGATTAGCATTAAAGTAGGTAAATAAATTAATTTAATTTCAAACTCTTTGTTGTTAAAATAACATATTGATAACAAGTTTCGACGTAGAGCGTCTATGCAAAACGTTTCTCTTCGGTCTGCACTTATTTGTTGCAAATTTTGGTTATATAAAAAATTAACGATGTAATTATATCAATAAACAGCTAACAACTAACAATCTAAGCCCATTATATTTTTTACTTAGTTTAAAATTAATGTGCGGAGATAATCAGTTCATAGACATACGCTAAGATTACGCTGTTTCAGCAGTCAATTGAGGTTTTATTATTTATTATGGATATTACTATATTATCAACTCTCTTTATCAAATTTATTAGAAAACTGTCCATGTTTTCAAAAATAAAGAGCAACAAAGACCTGAATTTCTTATAGTTGTTTAGCATATTATAGTTATCTATACATATTTTAACAGACTTGACTATATAAAACTCGCTCACCTTTTTGTTGATCGGTCATTATTAACTATCCAGTCTTTCGCGGTCCGACAGTGTTCGGCTTCTTTAAATACTGGTGGTTCCTGAAGTGATGGAAATCCATAACTATGCCTATTAAAGTTAAATTTTATTTTGTACTTTACTAAATTATCAAGCTTTTACCTATCACAATCATCCAGTCCACTACTTTGACTAATACTTTGGCTGACATCATAGTCCATCATCAAATCATCACTGGCAATACTTTCGCATGGGGACAAGGTATCCAAACTTCCTGTTCTACTCTGAAGGAATTTTCTGCTTTTGATGTTTAAAGGACTTCCTTCAATTGATCCAGAAACCTTTCTTCTTGGCTTCGGAGTTGCATCCTGGAAAAAGTTACATTGCTATTCCATTAAATTGTCGCAGCGAATCAAATATATTATGTATATTTCATTTTATAATCAAATATCCACTTATTTAATACCGGAATATCAGCAAAAATCGAAAACTAAGTTCTAGAGTTGAAGGAAGTAAGCAAACATTCTGAACTATTTTGAGATCTTCACATCTGCAAAATTAAGAGATTCTGTGACACGGACTTCAGTATATGAAAGCTAATTTCATCAGTTTTTTTTACAGAGGGTTTATTTTTTGTATTTTTGATATTATTAAAGTTAGTAACATAAATAATTCAAACCCTAAATAGTTTTTTTTAATTGTCCTGTTTTTAATTTATTGTTAATGCTTCTTGTTTTACACAGTGTGAATAAAATTTTTAATTAAGTTTATGTTGAAAAAGTGTTGAAAATCTTGTAATTAAAAAAAATTATAATAAATAAAAATTCTCCTTTTCTAGAACTATTTTTTAAATTTAAATACTTTAACAATTTAGGAAAAAAATTTGGTAGGGATTTAAAAACCTCTGTAAAAACGCAGCGATAGCAGGTGAAATGAACCATCACATATACCGAGTGTTTGTTTAAATATTTTTCTTAGTGTTGCAGATATGGGCCACCCAAAACAGCCCATAATTCTTTTTTTCCAGAGTATACAGCAGCTAATTTATGAAACAATTATCTACTATTTTAGTTCCTATATTTGTTTATCATAAATACCTTAATTGTTGGGGTATTTTCCGAGTTATTTTGCGAAGTGCTGAAATTGTTGTCATTGGTAATTGTATCCTCAAACACCAACGCAGGTTGGTCGGCGATCTCATCATCAATAAGAAAATCGTCTTTACCATCTGATAATGAAAGAGAGTTAGTTGCGTTCGTAGGAGTCCCAGCAGGTGACGTGGGGGTAAGGTTCTCGTTGACATCTTTGGAGTTAGACGATGAATGAATTAACTTCTTTTTTACCAACTCCTCTGTGTCTGAACAGCTAAGCAAACTTTCAACGGGGGAGAGTATTTCGTCGTCTAATAAAGAACCTACAAAATCAAATACGAATATGAACAATTGTTACAAAATCGTCAATGGACTAAATACCCGTCGTGCTAGATGCAGCTACTGCGGCGAAATTGGGATCTTCAAAAGTAAGAAACACACTCTTTAGGTCTCTAGTTGCTTGAGTGAAGCAGAACGACGAAGACGTTGTTCCTAACGTCTGCAGAACCGTTTCAATCACTGCAGTCGATGCAGGGATGGAATTGTTATCGCTGTCATCGTCTCGTTTATCCTTGCTTTCATCACTGGAGCTCATGGTGAAACTTATGTCGTCGGCCATTGCTTCTCCACCGTGAACCTAAATAAAAACGCGAAACCAACGGTGATAAACAAACACAGAAAGAACGAATTGAATATATTGGAAAGAATGGCATCAAACAAAATAGAGCTGCGGGAGAAAAGCGAAAAAGAAACTATAAATTTAAATTGAAGTGCTATTATAAAAATAAATAATATTTAAACATGATTAATTTTAATCAAAATTGAAAAAATTAAATTAGTCAGTTACTTGGCGTCATTTGCTTTGAATGTAGTTATTTAGTTTTACCCAGGCATACGCGCCAATAAAACAAAAATAATTTTTGATTGAGCAAATTTTTGGATTTTGTCCACAGAGGAGGAAATGATATTTTAAAAATTACTTTCTGACCTCCTTTATTGTCTTATAACTTCTTCCCAGTTTTAGTTAGTTGTGTTAGTCAAGTTGGCATTATATTTGTATATTATCTTCGTTGTCTTAGTCATCTTAGAAGCTTTCTTTCTTGCATTATGCTGAGTTGTTTTTACACTCTGTTTTACCGTGTTATATTGAAATGAAAGAAAGCTCACTTGTAGTCAAAGGTTCATTGTCCAATCTTGTAGTTAACACTAGTTATATTATAGTTATTGTGGTATAATTAAAATAAACATATATTACCAATGCGCCTTTTTAGTTTAGAGGTTCTCCAATACTAAATATAAATAATAATAAAAATAGTAAAATAGTAATAAAAGTGCTTTTTTGGGTTTCCTTTATTAATAAATTAACGGTCTCGAAAAACCGCAACATACCCAATCTTGTTCGTCTGAACTTGGCGGACTGGAATCAGCTGCTTCTTTGATTTCATTAGCTCTTGATTTGAGGAATGTTTTGTGTGGAATTGTTTTGATAAAGCATTTTTCACTTTTAAATTTGTCTCTAAACGTCTTTTCTTCCTCTCCATAATCGTCGCTAAAAGAAGAACGGAACCCTTGAAAATTGCGCTGCTTCGACCGTTATCGAAATAATTTACCTAAATCCTTCCGAAGACGTCGCCGAAATTTTCCTTCCTCTATTTTCCCAATCTATATGACGCTGATACTCAATTGTTCTCTCACGTACTAGTCCCAATGCGTGTTGGGCGCTGCAGAGATAATAATAATAAATAATCCAGTTAAAGAAGAACCAAAATACTGTACTTATTCTTAGATGCGTTAAATGCGCTTGGCAACTGCGGCAAGGGTGGTGGAGCACAACTTTCTATGGAGTCGTTGGAATCGTTCATGTCTCTCACATCAAAGGTGTTTTTGCTGGTGGTGACTACTTCTAGGTTTCTTGGTTTCTGGTGACTCCTCCATCGTGCCCCAAACGTCGGTGACTCATTTAGCCTTTCGATTTCCTGCGCACCATCGTTCTCACCTAAAAACAATAATTACATATTCTAGCACTCTCATTATGAACACTTATATGGTGTGAGTAAAATCTTTCTTTCTACCTTATTAAGTTGTGATGATTGCGGATAAAGGTTTACATTTAGTCTTTCAATGAAACAAGATAGTCAAGTCAGAGATGTTTTAAATAACAGAAGTTATAAATAAAATTGGCTCTGTTGCTAGAATTTATACCGTTGTTACTTCTTTATAATAGGACTCAGACCCAACTTACGCACACCCTGTTATTTACCCAAGTATCCGCTAAAATGACTACCGACGCCGGAATCTTCAGTCAGTGAACCGTCTTTGGATGCCGTCTCTTCCTGGTGGTGTTGCTGATACATTCCAGCAAATCTCCGATGGTTATTGGCCAATGTTTTCGCCGTTTTCGATTCTATGACTTTTATAGATTCGGGTCGTGGCAACTGATTCGTTTGAAATGTAAATCTGCCGGTCTAAAGGAAGAAAATTTGGATTTCATTTATTCATTCACCCAGCGCCCTAAGTTGAGTATCGCTACTTCACGATGTGATGATAGTATGCTGCGGCTCCGTGCACTTAAACGTAATGTAATGTTAATATTGTTTATTTATGAGTAGAACATCATCAAAATTTGTTATTTACCTTCTAATTTTATTTAAGACGATATTGAAATATATATTAAGTATACATTAAATGAGGTAGGTCCCTTTGTTCCTCTTCTCAACTTATATTCTTAGATTGGTAAATATTTCTTATCGCTCTTAATACTTAATAAACATTGTATATTTTGAATCTTGTATTTTTTTTCTTTTATCGGTTAGTAATACAATTTACTCTTAAAATGTTTACTGGTCACCAAAAGTTTATCACTGATGAAAATAAGATTAATTTTATGTTTTTTTTCTCTCAGCTTACAGGGTGTGTGCCACAGAATTAAAAAAATATTTTAACTCACAAGTAATTGCATAGGTATTTCCAAATAGCAAATTAGTTTTTAAACGTAACCACCACCTATTTAAATTTACAAAAATTGAAAAATACTTTGCAAAACTATAAAACACAATGTGAAAATTCAAATTAAATGTGATTTCACAGTAAATTTTATCAATCACTCTAAGGAATCGTGTCATTTGATTACTGGCCCTGTGATGCTTCAAGAAACCGTTTGGTGCAGTGTCGGCCATTTTTCTATTGTCCATCAACAGGATTTGTGCCAATTCTGTAACTTTCTGTTATGTTTTATACATTTTGTATAGCATTAAGCCTATAGTTTTGCTTCCTTCGATTGTAGCGGTCCATGTTGTCTTAAACGTTAATATACCTAAATCCGATTTTCCTTTTATAAACAAACGTTTTTGATAGCAAAGCAGCAACATTAATAATGGATGTGAAGATTCAGAAATGTCAATAGAGAACACCATAGCAAAGGTAAAAGTAAAAAAGAATTTCGATTTTTTTTCAGCACATCAAAAACACATAACATACATCGCAAACAAAAGAAAAAGGTGTTTTAAGTATGTATATTATGTAACAGTACTCTATAAAACTTTGTAAATACGCATAAGTTAAATTTGATTATTATAAAACTATGTTTACACTTTATAATTTTAAATTTTCGACAAAAAATGTGTAGATATGACAAACAAAAATAGTATTCTACTTATATAAATTATGTAAAAGTACTCCATAAAACTTTATAAATAGATATAACTTAAGTTTATATAACTTATGTTTATAGTTTTATAGTAATTTATAATATTATTACTGTGTAAGTACATGTTGAATATAGAATTTCAGGTAAGATATCATTTCACCTTGCGTAGCATACAGATAGCGAATGATCTTATGTGTAATGTAAATATAAAAGAATACTATATATTTGTCCAATTTCAAATGAATGCTTAGTTATGAGCTATCAGTATACCGTAATTGCACCTGATAGCCAAACGCGTATTACCTCGATAGCGTATTGTTTGTAAAAAATGCTAAGTACAACCACACAGCGGTACATTTTGTATTTTGATAAGGTCGTAAATTTCTCTTTTTTTGTGAGAAGCAGTTCCGTCTCTCCCCAAATTGCTTTTCCAATTTTATTTAGAGTGTGCCCACAATCCAAAAATAAATACCCGTTTTGATTGCAGCATTCAACACATAAATAGACTGCCATGCAGTGCAATATTTCATACCGGGCCGTTTATTCACACGAATCAGCGAGATAAAAAATTATGAAGAAAAATTGTTTATCAAAATTATTACTACAAATTTTACTAACATTGTGACCGACACAACAAGCTTGCTCATAAGGTAAATCATTTTTTTAAGTAAAAAAGTCGCGATCTGGGAATCGGAATATGCTTTTTGCCGTTTTTTTTTTTAATTCGAATTGTTTAAAATAATACCTGATTCGGTTGAGCCGATCCTGTCGGTATTCTCTTCTCTACATTTCTATTATTGTCCATCACTTTTCCACCACCCGTTACGGCACCGACGATACTCCCATTTCTCGCTTGCACGGCTGCCACGCGTTTGCTGCCATTAAATTGAACACTGTCTCCTGTGGGAGACACGAGACGACTGGAGACCGGGACATTTTTTACTGTTGTCACGCCAAACTCAACAGGTCGACGTGCCGAGTTTAGATCCGCCACTTTGTTCAAACGATCGGTCGGATTCTGGCGGAAACCGAATCTGCAACACAAAAATAAGATTGAATATGAGTATTAAACTTTGACTTATTCGATTATGTTATTGAGTTGTAGTTATTTAAATGTACCTCGATACTCTGGTGCTCGCGTTAGCTTCCTTCTTTGGCGGTGCCAGTCTAGGGGTACTTCGTCCTGTCGAAGCTATATTACTTGTCAAAGGCTCAGCTTCACTCTCTTCGTTTCCATTTCTATCTGCAAAAAAATTAAAGTCAGCAGTTCCCACTACCATTGCTCTTCTATCGAGTTAAAAAAAATCTGTTGATGAAAATTTTCACCAATACCACCAAAAATATAGTGCATTTATTGATTTGACGTTTCAAGTATTTTATACCTTAACCGCAGACCTTCCCAGGACCGTGGTAAAACCCATCCCAACCGATGTTTATTCTGCATTTCCTGAGATGGATCGTAACGGATATTTGTGGAAACTTGAAATTTTTGATTAAGCATTGATGCTGCGGGATATTTTCTAATAAGTAGAATTGTTCATTTTAACATCAAGTGATATGTATCTTTCTTAAGAATTTAATCTAAATTGCAATATATTCGTATATATTACGGAGGTATTTGACTGTGATCCTTCCAGTAAGTATGCATTTATGAACCTGATTCTCGAGCGTTGACCCTGTGAGGATGTTTTCACTGGATAGTTCAAGGGGGTAAAGGTAAGACTCTGTCAAAATAAATAAAAACTAAAAGTTCATATTCTGGCGAAATTATATATTTTCACATGACAATTGTTTCGACAACACCGTGTCTGTGAAACTTTGGAAAAACAACGCAGAATTTGAAGAAGTGGAGATGGTAGTCGAATCTAATAACAATTTAGAAGACGAACTCAGCATATAAAAAAAAACGGATCCATTTGTCTTCGGATGCTAAACAAATTGTTTTTAATTTTTACAATTTTATAAGAAATTCAGAAGGGGAAGTAGGAGCAGCAATAAAAACCAGTGACATGACCAAAGCTCCGAAATCAAATGTAAGAAAAATTGTTGCAAAAGATTAGTTATGCCAAAGAGTCGTTTCGTACTTTTTTGAAGAAAATGGATTTTCAATTCCAAACAATTAATAAACGTCAAGTGCTAATGGAATCTCGAAGAATTCTGCAATGGAGGGTGGATTAAATGCAAATTCCCAAAAATTCCAAATACTTCTTCAAATAAAGCAGAAATTAAAGAATTTCTTTACGAAAATGATTTATATTTTGAAGACAGCTACAAGAAAAAACGGCTTATGGAATTATTAGAATTAAAACATTTTAATAAATACTACAAAATCGATTCGATAGTACAACATGAAATCTTGAGATTATCCCCCGTATCATTGTATATTTAACCCGATTGAGATGAGTTGGTCTGAGTTGAAAGGGCATATAACAAATAACACGGCACCAAAATTTAGTCATAGTACCATAAACGAAATTCAACAAGAGTTAGCTAAAATATCAGTACAAAGCTGATCTAACTGTGAAAAACGAGTAATAAAAAAAGAAAATATTTATCGAGAACGATTAGTGGGAAGTTAGTAGCGATAGTGACCATTTTTTTTAAGTGACTGATACTTAATTATCATTATATTTAATATTTTGTATATTAATAATGATACTATGTAGCATGTATAGTTACTTCGTACTATTTTTTTATATCTCGCTTGTTCGTGTAGGTAGATAAATTCCTAGAATTATTGCGGGTAAAGGTCTGCTCGGCAGAGTCTTCGGTTGTAAAAGCACTATATTTCTGGTCAAACTATACCTGTATTTTCAATTGCACCAGAATTTGCCAAACGCCTTGCTGCGGACGCGTTTGAGGCTATCGACGGCGCTCCAACACGTCGTTTGAAGCCAAACGACATCGCCACACCCTTCGTGCATCCTGGATTTACTTTTTTATTGCCGTTGGTTGTTAGAAGATGTCGGTCTTCATCCGATGTGATAGGAGATCGTTTGTTATTGTCATCATCCGGACTCTGAAATGCAAACAAATTTTGGAAAAGATCCAAAACAGAACAAACATCAGAAAATTCAAGGTTGCACCGCAAACGAAATAAAATGACAAAAATCATTAAAGAATAAATTATTAATTTACAAAAAAAAAGTTTCCGCATTCGAGAAAGTCGTTATAGGCAGTCGGCTATTGAAATATATTCAACCCTTTTTGTTTTGCACGTATTTACTTCCAGGCGATACTCCGTACTTTCTCAGCGTAAAAAACCGACTTGGACATATAAATTTGTTACACACGTATGAGCACACCGCTGCGAGAGTAGTTGATAGCATCGACTAATTTATCTTGTATGCCGTAATCTCTTTGATCAATTTAATAAATCTTAACAATCTCTTATATTACAAAAGATCATAGTGACCATAAATAATAAGACTGCATTTATATCCCGGAACAAGTTTGACACTTCAAAATAAAATATTGCGTAATATCCATAAATTTATTCTTAGGTTCTGGACCGTTAATCCTTAACTGAATATTTAGCCCTGATATATCCATCCATGCATCTAGCTTTATTGTAGCGTTGCTCCTATTTCTGCAGAAAGCTTAAAAATTATTCACGCACCATTATAACAACATAATATTAATAAGCATCGACTGCGAGTAACAACGATATGCACGGTTTGTTAAGTCGAAGCAAACTAAGAGGTTTATTAATTGTCACCAGAACTAATACAACAAATTGAGATAATTTGTAATGATCTGTTTAAATATTGATATACACACAGAAATTTGATTTATCTAATACTTGTTTCTTAGCTATAATTTATTAATGAATAATTCAATTTAGTTGATTCTGATTTTGGAGTGTCTTTTTAAAAGGGACTTTCAGGAACTCATATTGCCTACGCCTATTGAAAAATGTGCAAATCAGTAATTAGTCAGTGATTAGATGAATAGACGAATGTAATTAAATAAACGTGAAGGATATTTTCAATTAATCTCAATTTGATAGACTAACGGAACGAGTCAAAGTGCATGGTACCGTTACCATGCCAATTACGTAGTTAGTGTTAATTACATGCCGTAAATTATACAAACGGTAGTTACCTGACCTTACAGATGTATCTGCAATTATTTGAATAAAAAAAACTCCCACCTACTTTAGTTGGATGACGAATTTTCATACGGGGACACTTAAAATCATTCGAATCTGATCAGAACTCCCATTAGCAAATAAACAAAAGAGTTCAATAGAAGTTTCCGCAATAAGGCCACACATATATAGAACAATATTGAATATTCCGTTAAAGACATTTTTCAAAGAAAACTTGAATGGTACGTAACCGTAAGCAATGCCATGTGGACACTGTGACAACTTAAAGGGGCACTCCGACCCTTAGTGTGCCGCGGGAGCTCGGTTTTTAATCACTTCTCTAAGACTGGTTTTCTTCTAATAACCTCATACTGAATGCAACTAAAATGTAGAAAATTATATCCTTGCCTATAATGACCAAGAATGTTTGGAATTACTAGGGGATTTGATATATATCAAATGTTGACTGTATCAGAGTGAAGATTTGTTTAACAATCTGTCCATCAAAGTATACTTTCTGAATTATTAAACAAAAATTCTTAAATCAATTTTTGAATGTCCATACAACATAAGGACTTATAATAGACTACCATTCTAGTGAAGAACGTTTCATGCCGATATTGAATTAGGATATAAAAAAGGTATTGTCCAAATCTAACTTATTTTATATTATTCAAATGTTATGTTGAATACCACCTATTTAACTTAATAAATCTTCTATCATAATGAAGTGTTCAGAAATAAGTTTGGAGTAAGATTTTATAGATTTTTAATCATTTGTTTGTTTTAAAATAAATCCTTAAATGCAGGATTTGCCAACCTTATTTCGCAATGTCACATAATTTATTTAATTTAGTTTGAAAAGTCTAGTCTATTAGCTTTTGTAATGTCGGACTTAATATTCAATTATAAGATGAATTATGAATTTATTTATTATTTATCACATGAAACTCAGCAATTTCTAGTTATGAAAAGTTTGTTTTGCACGTTTATTGCTATCAGGACAACTCATATAATAACATTATAGTTCAATGACAATGCAACTAACATTGAAACCAAATTCGGCTTTTCACTGATAGACGGGACTCAAATAGAACGGTTACAGCTTGGTCTGATAAAATTTTTCTCACGTTAAGACATTTTTATCGGTCAGATTTTTCTTTGTTGTTATTATATAACCTACAGTGTACTTAAACAAAGTCTTGCGTGAAAGACAATTGCGGATCATTAATCTACTATCTGAGAATTAGGTTTGCGAGATGGCTATTGTCTTTGAGAGTTATTGCCCTATTATTCTAATTAGTTTCGTATTTGCAGTATTCAAAAGAACATCATGATTTCCTTTCTTCTTTCACGTCGCTCCGTTATGATGTATAGACGAGAAGATAAATTGAGCAATATTTCTCTTCTGAACCGAAGGATATTTAATTGACTGTCACGTCGTTTTAAATTTAAATTGTATGAGCTATTACAAAAATGAAACCAAAATAAGGAAATTACTGCAGTTCTTACCAAAATTACATTATCATTAAACCCCTAAACGTCCTGGATCAAATCAATTGTTACTTTTACTCAAACCAATTTCCTTCTCAACTTTTTCAATCGAGAAATTGTATATGATATAATAAATACCTTAACCGACAATTTTTGTGCAGTCGGTTTCAATTTCTCTTAAGGCATTAACTTATCCCAGCATGTTTTTTGCATCGATCGTTATTTGTCGTTGTTCCAGTCACTGAATGTTCAAACGAAGTGCGAATTGCCGTACGAATAACCATTAGTCATGAGCGCGAAAACAAACTTTGAAGTCTACATCTCCATTCATTTGTGACAATTACTTATGCCTACTAATATAATAATTACGCCTTTCCAACATTATATACTGGGCTGGCCATATTTTGTCGATTGGCGCCGACTTAAATGTTAATTGAGTAATTAGTATTTCACAATGACAATTTGAATAAGTTTAAGACCCGGTAATTAAATTCCCGATTACGTACCTAGGAAAGTGATCTTTCAAACCACGAGACCTCTCATTTCATTTAAAATTTTAAAAGTGGATGTCCCAGTCAATTTTACATAAACACAGCTTATTTCTCCCTCGAACAAATGTGTTTTGCCGCCTTTGCTAACTTCTTTTTCTATTTCTATATAATTATGCAGCAGGACTTTAAACGGCAGCTCATAGCAGATGACTAATTAAAAGCATCTGGAGAGCGAACTAAAAAATGTATTTGAAATTATATAAGCGGTTTGAAGGGCACAGAGTGTTATTTTTTTTGCATTTATTTAATTTTAAATGACTGTTAATTGGGTGCGAATTGGTAGTTTCATTGGTCCTATTATCGGCGTCAAAAAGTTCAATATTTTCTATTTTTATTTTTGTCATAAAATCAATCAATTTTTTTAACGCATCTAATAACCATACAACTTCCCATTTAAGGGACAACAAAAAATTGGGACAAATTTTAAAACCCAACGATATGAACAATAATTTTTTCACTGTTGGTTTGCTTCAATCATAATAATACTGGACACTGGAAAAGGTTTATTATTGCCTATAGTATTATCAGATAAAGAAATGCCTGTTTTTCCATTTTCAACCTGGTTCGCTTTGATGATCTTTAAAATGCTGCTGCTGTACATTTGTATTGAAACAATTTTTGCTGTCTGCGAACCACCCGGAACGTGAAATAATTCGCATCAGCCATTAAGTAGATTTTGATAACATGATAAGACTTTCAATACCATCACTATTCTAAGTACGGAATCAAGAAACACATTTTTCGTGACATTTGCGAGAAATTAAATTAACGTACATATAAAATGTTAATAAAAGGACCAAAGTAGCACGGTGTGGTGGCTGACATACTTCCGATATTAAATCCATTCACGTTGACCCCACAACTTTCAGACCTGTCCCGATTCAATTGTTCACAAAGCAGGTCCGTTCATTTAAACCTCTAGGGCATAACATTTCGTTTTGAAAAATCCGAAGATGCATCCATGGTTCGATCAGATTTTCCCCAGTATTTTATTTTAGTTCGTAATCAAATTTATGAATATTATTAACTTTTTCACCATTATTTTATTATTATTATTATTATTATTATTATTATACCAACGAACAAACATAACAAAAAACAAAAAACATTCAATTTTTCAACGGCAGATGGTATATTCATCTTGTTAGCAAATATTTATTTTGGCTCACGGTTTTTAAAGGTCAAATGTTTAAAGACCAAATGTTGTCATTCACATATTTGGAAAATCAGTTTTCATTATCAATGAATGATGTTGATATAATGGATAATGTTGCGGTAAAAAGATGTCCAAAGTATTTAATAAAAGTGCCGTTATTGTTCGCAATGAAATGTCAATGTCAATCATTATTTAAGAAAATAACTACTTTTTAATAAATTTTCCTTGTTGAAGCATTAATAGCACAATAAAGCCACAAGAGGAGAAGGTATGTGATGTCGTTACCTTTAAATTGGGCGGACATTCATCTTCCAGATATCCAACATCCATCACGTCGCAACTATTTAAAAATCTATTGAAATAATCACGTTACTTTGAAATATGTGTATATTTTCAGTATGCGGTAAAGGTATGATCATGTTTCTGGATAAGTATATCGATCACCGGTTTTGCGTCTCGGCAATGTCGGGACACTGAAATTGATCGTCGGGAAAGCGTCTGAACTCAACGCCACAACGCCATGCGCCGTAGGGTGAATGGGGGTGAGACTACTATTCCGTAGTGAGTGACTAAGACTCATACATTATTGAAAAGCTTCATGCTTTTGATTGTTGCTTATTCTTAATTTCAAATTCGCTAACCATGATCATTTAAATTGTGATACTAGATTAGTGTGATTAGTGTGATTAGAGTGTGATACTAGATTAAATAATAAAATTTTGTCCACC